GGTCGGCGGGTGCTAGGTCGGCGGGTGCTAGGTCGGCGGGTGCCAGGTCGGCGGGTGCCAGGTCGGCGGGTGCTAGGTCGGCGGGTGCTAGGTCGGCGGGTGCTAGGTAGGTGGCTGCTAGGTAGGCGGCTGCTAGGTCGGCGGCTGCTAGGTCGGCGGCTGCTAGGTCGGTGGGTGCTAGGTCGGTGGGTGCTAGGTCGGCGGGTGCTGGGTCAGCGGGTGCTAGGTCGGCGGGTGCTAGGTCGGCGGGTGCTAGGTCGGCGGGTGCTAGGTCGGCGGGTGCTAGGTCGGCGGGTGCTAGGTCGGCGGGTGCTAGGTCGGCGGGTGCTAGGTCGGCGGGTGCTAGGTCGGCGGGTGCTAGGTCGGCGGGTGCCAGGTCGGCGGGTGCCAGGTCGGCGGGTGCCAGGTCGGCGGGTGCTAGGTCGGCGGGTGCTAGGTCGGCGGGTGCCAGGTCGGCGGGTGCCAGGTCGGCGGGTGCTAGGTCGGCGGGTGCTGGGTCGGCGGGTGCTAGGTCGGCGGGTGCTAGGTCGGCGGGTGCTAGGTCGGCGGGTGCTAGGTCGGCGGGTGCTAGGTCGGCGGGTGCTAGGTCGGCGGGTGCTAGGTCGGCGGGTGCTAGGTCGGCGGGTGCCAGGTCGGCGGGTGCCACGCTAGGTCGGTGGGTGCTGGGTCGGCGGGTGCCAGGTCGGCGGGTGCTAGGTCGGCGGGTGCTAGGTCGGTGGGTGCTAGGTCGGCGGGTGCTAGGTCGGCGGGTGCTAGGTCGGCGGGTGCTAGGTCGGCGGGTGCTAGGTAGGTGGGTGCTAGGTCGGCGGGTGCTAGGTCGGCGGGAGCTAGGTCGGCGTGTGCCACGCTAGGTCGGTGGGTGCTAGGTCGGCGGGTGCTAGGTCGGCGGCTGCTAGGTCGGTGGGTGCTAGGTCGGTGGGTGCCAGGTCGGCGGGTGCTAGGTCGGCGGCTGCTAGGTCGGTGGGTGCTAGGTCGGCGGGTGCTAGGTCGGCGGGTGCTAGGTCGGCGGGTGCTAGGTCGGCGGGTGCTAGGTCGGCGGGTGCTAGGTCGGCGGGTGCTAGGTCGGCGGGTGCTAGGTAGGTGGCTGCTAGGTAGGTGGCTGCTAGGTAGGTGGCTGCTAGGTCGGCGGCTGCTAGGTCGGCGGCTGCTAGGTCGGTGGGTGCTAGGTCTGTGGGTGCTAGGTCGGCGGGTGCTGGGTCAGCGGGTGCTAGGTCGGCGGGTGCTAGGTCGGCGGGTGCTAGGTCGGCGGGTGCTAGGTCGGCGGGTGCTAGGTCGGCGGGTGCTAGGTCGGCGGGTGCTAGGTCGGCGGGTGCTAGGTCGGCGGGTGCTAGGTCGGCGGGTGCTAGGTCGGCGGGTGCCAGGTCGGCGGGTGCCAGGTCGGCGGGTGCCAGGTCGGCGGGTGCTAGGTCGGCGGGTGCGAGGTCGGCGGGTGCCAGGTCGGCGGGCGCCAGGTCGGCGGGTGCTAGGTCGGCGGGTGCTGGGTCGGCGGGTGCTAGGTCGGCGGGTGCTAGGTCGGCGGGTGCTAGGTCGGCGGGTGCTAGGTCGGCGGGTGCTAGGTCGGCGGGTGCTAGGTCGGCGGGTGCTAGGTCGGCGGGTGCTAGGTCGGCGGGTGCCAGGTCGGCGGGTGCCACGCTAGGTCGGTGGGTGCTGGGTCGGCGGGTGCCAGGTCGGCGGGTGCTAGGTCGGCGGGTGCTAGGTCGGTGGGTGCTAGGTCGGCGGGTGCTAGGTCGGCGGGTGCTAGGTCGGCGGGTGCTAGGTCGGCGGGTGCTAGGTAGGTGGGTGCTAGGTCGGCGGGTGCTAGGTCGGCGGGAGCTAGGTCGGCGTGTGCCACGCTAGGTCGGTGGGTGCTAGGTCGGCGGGTGCTAGGTCGGCGGCTGCTAGGTCGGTGGGTGCTAGGTCGGTGGGTGCCAGGTCGGCGGGTGCTAGGTCGGCGGCTGCTAGGTCGGTGGGTGCTAGGTCGGCGGGTGCTAGGTCGGCGGGTGCTAGGTCGGCGGGTGCTAGGTCGGCGGGTGCTAGGTCGGCGGGTGCTAGGTCGGCGGGTGCTAGGTCGGCGGGTGCTAGGTAGGTGGCTGCTAGGTAGGTGGCTGCTAGGTAGGTGGCTGCTAGGTCGGCGGCTGCTAGGTCGGCGGCTGCTAGGTCGGCGGCTGCTAGGTCGGCGGCTGCTAGGTCGGCGGCTGCTAGGTCGGCGGCTGCTAGGTCGGCGGCTGCTAGGTCGGCGGCTGCTAGGTCGGTGGGTGCTAGGTCGGTGGGTGCTAGGTCGGCGGGTGCTGGGTCGGCGGGTGCTAGGTCGGCGGGTGCTAGGTCGGCGGGTGCTAGGTCGGCGGGTGCTAGGTCGGCGGGTGCTAGGTCGGCGGGTGCTAGGTCGGCGGGTGCTAGGTCGGCGGGTGCCAGGTCGGCGGGTGCCAGGTCGGCGGGTGCTAGGTCGGCGGGTGCTAGGTAGGTGGCTGCTAGGTAGGTGGCTGCTAGGTCGGCGGCTGCTAGGTCGGCGGCTGCTAGGTCTGTGGGTGCTAGGTCTGGGGGTGCTAGGTCGGCGGGTGCTAGGTCGGTGGGTGCTAGGTCGGTGGGTGCCAGGTCGGCGGGTGCTAGGTCGGCGGGTGCTAGGTCGGCGGGTGCTAGGTCGGCGGGTGCTAGGTCGGCGGGTGCTAGGTCGGCGGGTGCTAGGTCGGCGGGTGCTAGGTCGGCGGGTGCTAGGTCGGCGGGTGCTAGGTCGGCGGGTGCCAGGTCGGCGGGTGCCAGGTCGGCGGGTGCTAGGTCGGCGGGTGCTAGGTCGGCGGGTGCTAGGTCGGTGGGTGCTAGGTCGGTGGGTGCCAGGTCGGCGGGTGCTAGGTCGGCGGGTGCTAGGTCGGCGGGTGCTAGGTCGGCGGGTGCTAGGTCGGCGGGTGCTAGGTCGGCGGGTGCTAGGTCGGCGGGTGCTAGGTCGGCGGGTGCTAGGTCGGCGGGTGCTAGGTCGGCGGGTGCCAGGTCGGCGGGTGCCAGGTCGGCGGGTGCTAGGTCGGCGGGTGCTAGGTCGGCGGGTGCTAGGTCGGCGGGTGCTAGGTCGGCGGGTGCTAGGTCGGCGGGTGCTAGGTCGGCGGGTGCTAGGTCGGCGGGTGCCAGGTCGGCGGGTGCTAGGTCGGCGGGTGCTAGGTCGGCGGGTGCTAGGTCGGTGGGTGCCAGGTCGGCGGGTGCCAGGTCGGCGGGTGCTAGGTCGGCGGGTGCTAGGTCGGCGGGTGCTAGGTCGGCGGGTGCTAGGTCGGCGGGTGCTAGGTCGGCGGGTGCTAGGTCGGCGGGTGCTAGGTCGGCGGGTGCTAGGTCGGCGGGTGCTAGGTCGGCGGGTGCTAGGTCGGCGGGTGCTAGGTCGGCGGGTGCTAGGTCGGCGGGTGCTAGGTCGGCGGGTGCTAGGTCGGCGGGTGCTAGGTCGGCGGGTGCCAGGTCGGCGGGTGCCAGGTCGGCGGGTGCTAGGTCGGCGGGTGCTAGGTCGGCGGGTGCTAGGTCGGCGGGTGCTAGGTCGGCGGGTGCTAGGTCGGCGGGTGCTAGGTCGGCGGGTGCCAGGTCGGCGGGTGCCAGGTCGGCGGGTGCTAGGTCGGCGGGTGCTAGGTCGGCGGGTGCTAGGTCGGCGGGTGCCAGGTCGGTGGGTGCTAGGTCGGCGGGTGCTAGGTCGGCGGGTGCTAGGTCGGCGGGTGCTAGGTCGGCGGGTGCTAGGTCGGCGGGTGCTAGGTCGGCGGGTGCTAGGTCGGCGGGTGCCAGGTCGGCGGGTGCCAGGTCGGCGGGTGCTAGGTCGGCGGGTGCTAGGTAGGTGGCTGCTAGGTAGGTGGCTGCTAGGTCGGCGGCTGCTAGGTCTGCGGCTGCTAGGTCTGTGGGTGCTAGGTCTGGGGGTGCTAGGTCGGCGGGTGCTAGGTCGGCGGGTGCTAGGTCGGCGGGTGCTAGGTCGGCGGGTGCTAGGTCGGCGGGTGCTAGGTCGGCGGGTGCTAGGTCGGCGGGTGCTAGGTCGGCGGGTGCTAGGTCGGCGGGTGCTAGGTCGGCGGGTGCCAGGTCGGCGGGTGCCAGGTCGGCGGGTGCCAGGTCGGCGGGTGCTAGGTCGGCGGGTGCTAGGTCGGCGGGTGCCAGGTCGGCGGGTGCCAGGTCGGCGGGTGCTAGGTCGGCGGGTGCTAGGTCGGCGGGTGCTAGGTCGGCGGGTGCTAGGTCGGCGGGTGCTAGGTCGGCGGGTGCTAGGTCGGCGGGTGCTAGGTCGGCGGGTGCCAGGTCGGCGGGTGCTAGGTCGGCGGGTGCTAGGTCGGCGGGTGCTAGGTCGGTGGGTGCCAGGTCGGCGGGTGCTAGGTCGGCGGGTGCTAGGTCGGCGGGTGCTAGGTCGGCGGGTGCTAGGTCGGCGGGTGCTAGGTCGGCGGGTGCTAGGTCGGCGGGTGCTAGGTCGGCGGGTGCCAGGTCGGCGGGTGCCAGGTCGGCGGGTGCTAGGTCGGCGGGTGCTAGGTCGGCGGGTGCCAGGTCGGCGGGTGCTAGGTCGGCGGGTGTTACAAGCTTACAACAGTGGCGCCCCTCCTCTGCCTCTCTCAGCGCAGCAACCGCAAGCCTCCTGCACCTCGCACCTGCCACGCCCTGCCCAGCCGCGCACCCGCACCCACGGCCCCGACCGGCCCTCGGGCAGGCACTCCCACCCCTGCCCACGGCCGCGCCCCCCCGCCGCACAACACTGCCGTAGGCAACCGGGCTAGCGACCCCCATGATGTCGTACCTCCTCCTCCTCCTGCTGCTGCTGTTCCCATGCGGCTTCCGAAATCCCCGCAACACCTAGGGACCACACGGGACACTGCTCCCCCCGCGGCGGCCCCCACCGCAGCCCCGATCCCCGCACCCCCTAGCAGCGGACAGCACCACCCCCGCGCCGCCGCCGCACCGGGGACACTCCTCCCCACCAGCCCCGTCCCTGCCCAGCAGCTGGCTCCTCCCGTCGCCCCGGTGCCGCCCGCCCCCCCACCCGCCCCATCACCTCCCGCATGCAGCGCCCGCCGCTTGCTGCCCTTGCCGCCCTGTTTGCCCTGCTGCTTCCTCCCCCGGTTCCCCGTCCCACCAGCCCCACCGCCGGCACCACCTCCGCTTGCAAACCCCCTGCCTCCTGCCCCTCGACCTGGCTGTGTGCTGGCTGCCGCCGACCCATGGGTCCCTCTTTCAGAGCCGTCAGCCACGGCCTCCCGCATGTCCCCGGCTTCCTGCTGCTGCGAGCGGGTCGCCTCCTCGGGTGTTGCCTCCTCATCCTTCTCCTCCGGCCGCTGATCCAGAGGCATCACCATGAGGTTGTGTCGGCCCCGCTCGCCCTGCTTGAAGACTCCAGGGCCGGGCGTGAAACCGAAGCGGGAATAAAAGGCCGCGGCACCGGGGTTGTAGTCCGCCACGTGCAGCCACATGGCCCGGGCGCTGAGGGCGGTGCGAAGGTGGGGAACATGGGGTTGGGAGGGACGTTAGGGCCGTTAGAGCAGCGGAGAGGTCCCATTATCAAGCAGTTCCAGACCCTTACGCCTTGTCGGCCCCCCCACTCACCCTCCTTACCCTCCCCCACTCACCCCGCCTGCCGCCCCACCTCCCCTGCCAGCTCCAGCAGCCGGCTGCCCAGCCCCTGCCGGCGGTACTCGTACGACACACCCAGGTACCACACCGCAACCGCCAACTGCTGCGGCTGCTGCTGCCCCCGCCCACTGCCGCAGCCGCTGGCGCGCATGGCGGCTCGCAGCTCGGAGGGGGTGACCCGCAGCGGCCCCACCTGCCCCACGTTGCTGCTGCTGCACAGCTCGCCTACCAGGAAAGCCACCGGCACCTCCTGGACACCACCGCCGCCAGTGTCGCCGCCGCCAGCATCCCCTTGCTGCCCATGTTGCTGCGGCTCCTCTAAGTGCTGTTCATCCTGCTGCGGCTGACGGGCGAAGGCGCCCAATGCGATGTAACTGTGCATGCGTTTGGGGGGAGGGGCAGGGGCGGGGGACAGGGAGAGGCGAGGAGGGGTATTTGGTCAGCGGAGCCAAAGCTGCGAAGCGGGTTTTCTTAGCGTTGAAGGAGGTGACCAGAGTGGGGTTGGCAGGCGTCGCGAGTGCAAGTGGGCTCTGACGTGAGGCGTGAAGCAAGAGGGCAAGGGGAGGAGACACGGAGTGCTTGAACGGTGCCAATTGGCAATAGGTACAGGAAGTTGCTTGGTCTTCTCCCCGATGGGTCAGTCACCACGAACTGCGCAAGACGTGGTGCCACCTGACACCTCTTTGTAAGGAGGGAGCACGGACCCCCACCGACGCCACCCTACTTTGGCCTGCAGAGCTCCTCCCAGGTTATGTCAACGTCGACAGCCTTAAAGCCATACTCGCAGCTGCCAGTTGTTCGCTCCTGTGAGATACCGAAATGGGCGGCCACAAGTTCTGGTCAGCGCCGTGAGCGGCGGCATGCCGGTGCAATTCACCACGAGCAAGGATACCAACCTACCTTTATCAATTGCAAATCAATTTCCTTTAAAGCGCGATACTCTATTTCTGATTGAACTAACAGCTTTCCTAAGACGCGCCTGGCTTCTTCAGGAGGCAATGCCGCGACAAGTTCGCGGACATCTTCAGGCAGCAAAGCTAGCGCGTCGTCAAGCGTAAGTGAATTGTCCATAATGTATTTCGCTGGGACTTCTGCTTCAACAAGCCTCCGTTCTGTTGCCTTTGTGTGCTGCCCAGTGATTGCGACTAGATTTGCCGGACAGCAGCAGCAGCTACGGCACCGGCCGGTACTAGCTACCCAGCTTCAAACGTAAGGAACAGGGAAAGGCTTAATAGCAACGGTTCTATCTTCAGCCACTTGGTTGCTGCGCGCGTGCGCAAAGTTGCTCCATCGCCTCCTACGAACTGCAACTGCCAACCACAGCAAACCCTCCGCATGCCCACCTTTGGTGATGGTCCAAGTCCTACTACCTGGCATTCTAGTTGAGATGTGGCCTTGGAGTTCTGAGAAAGCCAACAAAGCCCGCATACGCGGCAACAACAGTTTCTGTACAGCTTGGGACAGGGCATGTGTGCCCAAGACCTACGTAGCAACTAGCGAAGGTCTCTTCCGGAACCCTACTACTCCTAACGCCATAGCCTGCATGTAATCCCACAGGCCAAACACCGCGCAACACCAGCTTGCACTCTGCTGCAGCAACCCATGTGCTTTCTTCCCCTTTCCTCTACCACCGCAGTCCCGTACTTCTTTCATGCGGGGCCAAAGCTAAAGCATGAGCTTGAACGTGCATGACTGCCGTACATCCCGCATGGTACCGTACGGCTGACCCGCGGGACGCGCTCAGATAGACGCTAGCAGCTGTCCTGTCTCCTAAAGCCCCAACTCATGCAAACGCAGTACGTGAACTGGCAAAATGCTTCCCCCAGCAATTCCTCAACAACAGCACTGCATGGCGCTGTCCTCTCACCCCATCCACCCACCAGCTACAATTCTAAACTGCTACTCGGCGCTGCGTATGCAACTGTAAAAACCGCCGCATCCTCTCTTGTCTCTCTCTTCCAGGCATCGGTGCCCAAGCCATTCATCCTCCTCCCGAGCTCTCAGCGTGAACGCCAGCACACTATCTCGGCCCCTACCCTCCTGTTAAGACCGTACACCCACGCGCATCCTGCCCACTGCAGCTGCTCCCCAATCGCCACACCTCTGCGCCACCTACAGTGCCATCTCTGCCTGCAGGGCCTCCAGTTCCAACTCCTCCTGGGTCTTGGCGGGCTGCTGCTTCTGCTTCTGCGGCACCGATGGCAGCTTGTCGGGCGATGCTGCTGCTGCTGCCGGCGCCTTGGTTGCCGGTACAGGCGCCGGCTGCAGCAGCTCCTTGTCGAGCTCAGACGCCTCGATCTCCTCGAGCTCGCCCATGAGCTCGTCGTCGTCCAGGTCCGTGCCAAGCCCTAGCGGATTGGCAAAGACCTCGTTGAGCTGACGCATCTGGTCCGTTGTCTCGTTAATCTCGTCGAGGACCTTGTCAACGTTCTCAATCTTCATAGCCTTCATGTTGTCCTTGGCGGCCAGCGCGGCGGTGTGCATCGATGCCACAACCTCGGTCGTCGTGCGCTGACCCTCAAGCATCATCCGTTGCTCGTTGACGCGCATAATCATATTGTCGAGGTTGCTAATCTCGTTCTCCAGGAGCTTCTTCTTTTTAAGGCATTGTAGCGCTTGGGGCTTCTTCTTAAGACGGGTAAACTCCTTGGCCTTCTCTAGCTCCGCCTCCACGCGCTTCTCCAGAAGAGCTTTCCGCTTCTCAAGGGATTCCTCATGCTCAGTTAAGTTCTGGATAGCGGAGATAGTCTTTGTCGCTGCATTTGCCGAAGATTGGGGAACTGTGCTAGCAGCAGGCTTTTGCCCAAACAGCTTCTTGAACATTTTTCTATATTATGCTAACTATGAAGCAAAACGGAAGGACGCAAGGACGTCAGGCACGAAGCATTTTGGGTCTGTGCGAAGCTGGGTGGTCGCCCGTTGAATATCGTTGCAGTGGGTAAGTGCGCAGCGGTCTACTTTTGATATGATATGGTTAACGGTTGCTTCAACGCAGTTATCTGCACAGCCGATCAGAGAAAGCACCATGAAGCTAGGGGTACGGCATCATAAGACAGGTGCATGAAGGTAAGCAGGGGCTCCTGCTATTCAAACGGCAATCGATTGGCCAAGACACTTCACGTGTATTGTAACGCTCGCTCGTCGCACTTAGGAAATCCGCATCGCGGTTAGATCCTCGCGATTAGATCCTCAACACTTAGTAGCCATATCTGCTTCCCGGCTGCCATCTTACTAGCTCCTGCATCACCCCTCTGGGCTATTTATCACTTGGCCGTCGCACGATGGCGTCAGCGCGTGGAGGCAGCCCACCCCTGAGCGGCGGCAACCCCAACAGCATCGGCGACAAAGCCCGGTTTGGAGTGCTCACCGTCAGTGATCGAGCCAGCACGGGTGTGTACGAGGACCTGAGCGGGCCGGCCATCCTGAACTTCTTCGCTGAAGCGATAGACTCCCCCTGGGAGGCGGTGTATCGGGTGGTTGCGGACGAGCAGCCCGAGATTGAAAAGGCGCTCATTGACATGGTGGGCTGAGTGGGCTGGGTGCGCTGGGTGCGCAACGTTGTGGAATTGAATGGAAGGGAGTCCTGGCAACGGGGCGGATGGCGTAACGCCAGGGGGGTTGGAGTCGGGATCAACCGTGCCGAACTGGAGGGCGCAACTGGTACGTGGCAGTGCCGCTGCCGTGGCAATGGCGGCACCGGGAGTGAGCCGAGACGGAAGGAGCGAGCCAAGCGCCGTAGATGGGGAATGGGAAACAATCACGGATCCAAACTCACGGCAGCAACATCTCCTCCCCTTACATCTACCGGTATCCTACTTAGGCAACGCCCCATGTACGTCTGCACCTCCCTCGACCGCCCTGCTGCCCAGGTTGACCGCGAGGGCTGCTGCCTGGTGGTAACGACGGGCGGCACCGGCCCCGCCGCCCGCGACGTCACCCCCGAGGCCACGGAGGCGGTGTGCAGCCGCATGATGCCCGGGTACGGGGAGCAGATGAGGGCCATTAGCCTCAGGTGGGGGGGGGGAGGGAGGGAGGGAGGGAGGGAGGGAGAGCGGCTGCGAGTGTGTGTGTGTGGGGGGGGTAGGAAGCCGCTGGAGGCCGCTGTGAAGGGGACCCGGCTCTTTAATGACCTGCAATGGCTCGCATGTGACTTGTGCTTGCCACGAATATGGACTAACTCACGTTTCCCTTGCCCCTTTCTTTCCTCCTGCTGCTGCTGCTGCTCTGCTCGACTCGCCTTCCCCCCGCAGGTACGTGCCCACTGCGGTGCTGTCGCGGCAGACCGCCGGCCTCCGCGGCCGCGCCCTCATCATCAACCTGCCCGGCAAGCCCAAGTCCATCCGCGAGACGTTTGACGAGGTGTTCAAGTCCATTCCCTACTGCATTCAGCTGCTGGAGGGGCCGTACATTGAGACGGTGCCGGCGGTGGTGCAGGCGTTCCGCCCACCTAACGACCGGCGAACAGCCAAGCCGCAGGCGGCTGGTGGTGCTGAAGCGGGGTCAGAGGCGGCAGCGTGAAATGTTGTGGGTGTAGGGTTGGTGGCAGCGGCTTGGAGAGAGGGATGGGGAAAAGGAAGTTCCAATGTGTGGTGTGATAATGATACAGGGATGGGGAGGGGGTAGGTAAGTGGCACTGATGCACGTGCTGGTTGCTGCAACAAGCAATCACAGACTGGTACTCGACTACATTGACGCTCGTATGAATTGCCTTGGCAACGGGGCCATATGTATAGTTGGTGACAGTGGTAGTGATGTTTAGGTATGTATGGCGCTTGGGAGGTGGTGTCGTGGTGACGGGCGACGCCAATGTGGGTACCGGTATGTGCAATTGGGTATGTTGCACAGCAGATGTAACTTTCTTTTGCATCCTAACGGGCCTTGTGTAGTCCGCTTGGACTACAGAGAATGCGAGTATTATGCAGAGAAGAGGGCGGAATGGTGCCATTCGATGGTGTACGGCAGTGGCCTCGGAGCGGATTAACGGCAGAAACGCGAGGGAGCGAGCTATTCCAGTGTATTAGTTTTTAATGTCGGCTGACGAAAGTGTAAATTGCTCTGTATTGGCTTACTAGGCTGCAACATTCTGATAAGGTATTGTACAGCCTCAGTAGTTGACAACAACGCATCGGGCTCTCAAAAGGTCCCCAGTAACTTATTAGGGTCTACGTCGCATTATGGATAAAGCTGAAGCCTCCGACTCAAGCAGTGGTTCAGAAACCAGCGGCGCATCGTCATCGGTCACGTTCTCGTCGGCAAGTACAGCTTATTTGATGAGTTTTGAAAAGCGAAGGAAACACAGCAAGAACGTACATGCGAATACTATGTAGGGCCCGGACTACTTCACCTTCTACGATGTATTCTTCTGGCGTGACGCCCCAGACTGGTATCGGAAGACGTTCTACGCAACTGGCTTTGGGTTAGCGTATGCGGGCCTCAAGCAGTACCTAAACAGGTATGCGTGGCGTGGCGGGGTCTAGACGAGGGGCAGGGTACTGTACTGGCTGGTTAGATGGCAGGTGGGCAACTGGGTATCCAGGGGCGGGCAACTGGGGGGCATGTACCAAGCACACGGTGCTTTCTGATGCCGAGCTACCTGCTTACGTGAAAGGCAAGCAGCGTACGGGAACAACACATGCCTATGAAGCATGGACGGCAGCGCCTGGCCCTTCCGGTTGGTGCAAGCGGCCCAACCATGCATAACCCCGGCTCATGGGCTGCTGCTACCTCGCCCATCATTATACCACCCCCCGCCTGTTGCCTCTTGCAACCCGGCACCCTGCTTTGCGCCGTCTCCCCTGTAACTCCCACCATCCCACCATCCCTCTTCCGCCCCGGATTCGGGATTGGGACTCCGTTGATGCACTTATCTATAATCCCCCCCTTCCGCAGGCATGAGCTGGAGGTGTTCCTGCCGCCGCGCTCCAAGGTGCTGCCCACCAAGCTGCAGTCGGGGTACCGCAACTCGCAGATGCTCAAGTACGGCTTCCTGCGCGTGGGCAAGGAGGTGACGGTGATTGCTGGGGTTTCAGGTAGGGTGTGAGATTTAGAGGGATGGACCAGGGAGAGGATTGCGGGGCATGGGAGTTCTTTGTAATTGCGGGGTGCAGGAGGAGAGGAGTGCCTGGGGATAGGGTGCATGGGCATGTGGGTGGGGCATTGAGTCGCGCTAGGGTGTCCTATTGCCATGTGCGTTAGGGTGTCCTGCCATGTGTGTACGAGCCACCATCCGAACCACGCCAGCGCCCGCGTTGTCGTCAGCTGGGGTCTGCATTGGCCAGCCAGGGCACGGCACATGTGACCGGAGTGTTGTACGACAGCGCCGAGCACGTACACTCCCTGGCCGCAAGACACTCTTGTACGACAGCCCCGAGCACGTACGCTCCCTGGCCGCAAGACACTCTGCGAGAAGGTTCTTCTGTTGCCATGGCCTGCGATGTTTGTATGCGTGTTCGATTGCACACCCTAGCGTTGCATACGTGTTTGGCTTGGTGTGGTAGTTCGCTGGAACCCCACGGGGCAAGTCCAGGGTAACGTGCGGCTCTCGGAAACAACCTACACATCTGAACCGCTTCATGTTTCCTGCCGGCCCGCAGCCACCTTCTACGGCGGGGCGTACTACCTAGGGGAGTACCGCGGGGAACACACGTGGCACAACTTCGCCGCCAGCGGTGCGGCCGCGGGAGCAGGCGCCGCACTGTGGCTGCTGCGGCCGCTACGAGCTCGGCCGGTGGCGTTCGGGGCGCTGCTGGGCGCTGCGCTGGGGGCGTCGTGCGGGCTGGCGCTGACGGCGCTGGGGCAACCCTACTGGGAGGAGGGACACGACTTCGAGGGCTTCTTCCTGGGTAGCAAGGTCAACCTCAAAACCAAGCGGAAGGAGGAGCAGGAGCAGGGGCAAGGGCAGGGGCAGGCATAGACGGGTGGAATGCAGGGGGGATGAGGGATGCAGGTGATTGTAAGGTCGGAGGGCTGTTGGAATGAGGTGCTTATGCACTGTGCTTGGCCTGGTCTGACGCCTCGCAGCTGCTGGTCGTTGACAGGTTTATAGAGCCACGCTGGATGTAATGTGATGACTTTATGGAAACCTAGGAGACATTACTGTGTGATTATGGACGTGGGAGGTGTAGCTTAGCACAGGATGGCTAGGACCTTTCGCGCATTGGTCGGAAACAGGCATCGGGGCATCCTTATTTTTGTAACATAGTATAGTATGAATTATCTATTATTGGAGCAAAGTATGTAACTTGTCAAGCACGTATGCTGAGCATGGTTAGTCAGGAGGGCCTCCCAAAGTAAGGCCCCTCACCGTTGCCCCACCAAAGGAGGGCAAGCCCCTCACTCCTTCCTCTTTCCAACCTTCGAGGAGCCCGTATAGAAGCAATGGCCCCGAAAGGTGCGACTGCAAGTGATTTGCTTTGGCGGCGGCCTACATTTACCTCGGGGTCGATAGTGTTGTGCTAGCTACCACTCAGCAATTCGGTGCTAAGTTTACCATGTTACCAAACAATAGGGACTTGAATTTGCTAGAATGAAAACTGACGCCGACTGGCCTGCACGCAGGCAAGGGTGACGCTAAGGCGGTGGCCGCTAAGGCCGCCAAGGCCGTGAAGAAGGGCAGCTTCAAGAAGAGCCGGAAGCCCCGGTTCTCGGTGGTCTTCCACCGCCCGAAGACCCTGCAGCGGACCCGGGCTGGCAAGTACCCCAGGATCAGGTGAGGACCTGCCCGGAGGAGCTTGGCAGCATCTCAAGTGGATATCTAGTATACGAAAACGCGCACCAGGCATCAGCAGCACAGCCTTCATAAAAAATTTCGGACAATGCTGTGGACGAAGCGGCGGGCGGCGGCGGAAACAGCACGTCCTGCCCTCTACTCAGCAAGCTGCATTCCTTATTGAATATATGAATCTAGCTTCTTTCGTAAGGCCGCACGGGCGCAAACTATTTGGAAGCCACATGGATGCGGCATGCGAAGGATGGCTTGCACAAGTAGCAGCCGCAGCAGCAGCGACGTGGAGGGCTCGCTGACCCGGAGCTGGCTGTTTTCAGCTGGAGGGCTCATAACAGCTTAGCGCATGGATGCCGGGCTCGCCTTGGTTAACCCACGCAGAAGGGGTTACACCGACACCTGCCGTGCTGCTAGGGCTAGTATTCAGATCCCCAGGCTGTCGCAAATCTAAATGGCCCCCGCATTTCCCACCCCACTTCCCGCATACAGCACTCCTTCGCTCCAAAAGCTTGACCAGTACGCGGTCCTCAAGTACCCGTTGACCACTGAGTCGGCGATGAAGAAGATTGAGGACAACAACACGCTGGTCTTCATCGTGGACCTGAAGGCCAACAAGAAGCAGATCAAGGACGCCGTGCAGCGCATGTACGACATCCAGACCAAGAAGGTCAACACCCTCATCCGGTGAGTCCTCGCCGGGGCTAATCCTGGGGCTTATTGCTGGCTTACTGCCTGCGCCATACGATGTACAAGCAATGCCTTGCGGTTTTGCGGTTTTCGACAAAGCCGTTCCAAAGCCCTGCATTTCGTACTAAACGGTGGCATGGTTTCTTTGCTCCGCAGGCCCGACGGCGTGAAGAAGGCGTACGTCTGCCTCACGGCTGACTACGATGCCCTGGACGTTGCCAACAAGATCGGCATCATCTAAACGACTCGAAGGGGCTGGGGAGCGGCGGGTGCAGTGCTCTTGTAACGCTGTACGTATGTGATTTCCTTTTCCTCTCTCTATTCCCGTTTCCAAAGCATGCAGCATCCCCCGTGGTGCCGCGGTAGCAGCAGCAGCAGCGTGGGGCGTAGCAGCGGCGACAGGCAGGCAGCAGCAGCTGGGGAGTGATCCACAGGGGGCTGCTTAAGTAAGATGCGCAGCATGAGTGCACCGAGCACATTCGAAAGCGGGTAGAGCGAGCACAAGTAAGTGGGTCGGTATGGTCAAACATGCTTGACTCCTTACTTTGGGCCGCTAATTGACGAAATGAAGAAGGGACCGTTACAATCGGAGGTGTTTTCACACCTCCAGCAGCCTGCCCCCCTGTGTGTGACACCACAGCTTTCCCTACAACTAGAAAGGAACAACTAACGTCGTCGACCTTCCAGAGCATTTTTACCCGTCCCTTTGCGACTCTTTTGGGGGATTCGACCATATCCATCACCCGCTTCCTAGAAGCTTATCAGCAAACACAACATCGCAACACAAAGCTATGAGGCCTATGTTCCTACACCGTCATGCACAGCATACATGCAGCCACCGCTACTATGTCCTATCGATCTCGACTCATTACGTACAGCTGTACTGCAGCACACACACGGCGCCCCCCTCACACGGGCGCCAGCTCCTTGAACCAGCGGGTGCAGATCCACTTGCTGCCTCCGCGAACGGGCTCGGCGGAGTGAAGGGAGGCCAGGTCTTCACTGCCGTCCGGCAGGCGGGACCTGGGGTGGTGGTGGTGGGCAGGGGCACAGAAGGCAGTTGTGGTGGTGGTGGTGGTCGCTTGTTGTTGGTTGGTGCAATGCATTGACTTGTACAGCCTGACTGGTGTGCTGGTCTGGAAGCTTTCAGCTCGTGTTGTTGTATACGGTGTTGGTTGCAGAAAGAGCAGGTAGGGTGTTTTTTCGCTTCCTACAATGTTTATTGCTGCAGCCGTGGTAGGGTGTGCTTACCAGAAGACGACAGCGCGGCCCTTTGCGGGGTAGATGCGCAGGCCGGGTCGCACCACTCGCAAGGCGTGCAGTTGCTGCGTGAGCTGCGGGATGGCGTTGAGGGCGGGCATGGTGCGGGAGATGGTGTCCAGCAGGGGCAGGCCGGTGGACCTGGGTGATGGGGGGCGGGCGAGAGGGGAAGCATGGCGAGGATGATGTGTCATCATATGCCGACAGGATGGCAGATGCGGTTGTTGCGGCTCCAGACAGTTTCGGGGTACCAGTGTGCTACACGAGTCGATTTTATGAAGCTAAACCCCACCTCTGTCCATACCGGTATCGGCATCGTCAGCGCACGTCACCCGTCTCTATCTCGCCCCAGTTCACCCGTTTCCGCGCCGGCAGCTCCACGAAACGTGCGTTGCCCAAAACCCTAATCAGCTATGCCAAGGGCTACCCAACCCAGCACCCTGCTCCCGCACATTACCGCAAGAGCCCCGCAGCCTACACAGCACCCGCCCTGCCTGTCCCCCCGCACCCACTTTGGGAAGAAGGTGGCTCCCCCCTGCGGCGTGTCCTCCAGGTAGATGATGATGGTGGCTGCGCGCGTGATGACGCCGCCCGCCTTGTTGTCGTAGTGCTCGCTGTAGAACCCGCCCACGTCGTACGCCACAACCTGGGGGGAGGGAGAGGGGCGGGAAGTCAATGAGAAATGCAGCGCCGGAGGAGCCCAGGGCACACCTCTACACAATCGCCAGACTCCCCTGCATGCTGTGTCTGCAGTACGCCGACCCCTGCACCGCAAACCATACTAGTATACTACATCCACGCAGCCCCGTCCCCATGCAAGCACGCTCCCCACGGCCCCACCTGCAGCGCCTCGCTCTTCACCAGAGTGGGCCGTGCGCCGCCCGTCACCTCGGGCCGCTCCAGCAGCTGCTGGATGCGCGCCTCCACCGCCACCACCTCCGCCATGCGAGCGGAGTCGCCGGTGAAGAAGGTGGAGCGGGACACGCGGCTGGGCGTCTCGGCGCCTGCATGCATGGGGGGAGGGTAGAGGAGAAGGAAAAGGGAGGGGTTACAGGAGGAGGGAAGGCGCCACGTCGACAAGATCCATGCCATCGCGCAGGAGCACACACCGCTCGTGCACCCCCCACCCACCCCCCGCCCAACCCCACCCCGCACACCTGTTGACACCCTGCTGCGGATGAGTCGCGGCTCCGCAGTGGCTCGCAGCGCATCGCACATGGGCGGGGGCAGGAAGCCGTCCACCACCACGATGCGGGGGCTCAGACTGGCCTGAGGGGTTGGGAGGAGAGGGAGAGCAGGGGGAAGAGAAGAATAACTGAGCGGAGGATAAAGTAGTGGCAGGCGCGCAGGTGGCAACGCGGACCATCAATTGGGGGACCAGCCCACGGTAAGGAAGGACAAGGGAGGCACCGGAGTAGCAGCTTAGCCGCACTGTTAGGTACGCATCGGCATGGATGCGGGACCCCGGCAAAGACCTATACCCTCTTCTGCTGACTGACTGCCCCTAAAGAGATGATGACACCCACGTATAGCCCCCGGCCCCCTCGCCCCATCCAAACCTCAAGAGCCCCTCGCGACCCACGGGTCACTCACCAGCAGCACCTCGCACTCCGACACCGGCCTTATCCAGGGCGCCACCCGCAGCGGCACCGACATACCCTGCATCCTCTGCCCCTGCTGCCCCTGCTGCTCCTGCTGCCCCGCATGCCACCTGCTGCCCTCCCCCTTGCCCTCCCTGCCTCCACCGCCGCCGTTCACCACCGCCTGCTGCTGCCTCCCCTCCTCCGCCCCCTGCCCCTGCTGCTGCCTCCGCCCCTCCTGCTGCCCGCCCTCCTTTAGCTCCCCTCCAACCCCCCCTCCCCCCACTCCTCCCGCTCCTCCCCCTCCCCGGCAGCCCGGCAGCCATGCAGGCACCAGGTACCCGGGCGCCCCCCCCGCCCGCCCCAGCACCTCCTCCGCCGCCATGGGCGGGTGCACCAGGGTGGCGGCCACCCGCAGCGTGCAGCACTCCAGCAGGGAGTCCAGCTCGGCAGCAGACAGCAGCGCCTGCACGCCCCAGCCGCGCTGACCCGAGCGGAAGAGGTGGGAGAGCTCGCCTGCGCGCAGGCAGGGAGGGAGGGTGTAAGGCAGGGAGGGAGGGTGCAGGTGGGGGTAGACGTGAGGTGAGGTGGGACGAGGTGAGCGAGGGAGCCAAAGAGGGCACCCCGAGCCACCCAAGCCCAGGCGCAACTGTCAGCTACCCAACCACCCCCCACCCCCACCCCAACCACTCCCGGCTAGCTACCAATACCCACCCGGCACGGTGATCTTCCTCTGCGCCGCCCCGCTGCCATCCAGCCCCTGCACCTCCAGACGCCACGTCAGCCACCACTCCTCATCCGCACACGCTGCCGTCGCCGTACATGCAGCTTCTGCACCCGCAGCAGCAGCAGCCGCAGCAGGGCCCTCCTTCTCACCGCCTCCCCCCGCCGCCGCCGCCTCCTCCGCGTCCTGCTTCCCCGCGCCCCGCATGTCATGGTCACCATGCTGGGGTTGCGCATGGTGGGCTGCTGCTGCTGCTGATGATGATGCCAGGGCACTACCCACCTCACCGCTTGCCGTCCCCTGCCCCTGGCCCCCCGCTGCCCCCATCACCCCCTGCATGCCGTCGTTTCCGCTCCCTCCTGCGGGGCCGGCGGGGCTGGAGGCCGCAGCTGCAGCTGCAGGGGTGGTGGTGAGGAAACCGCGGCGCGGGCGGCAGGAGGTCGCTGCCGGGGTGGCGGGGGCGGCGGTGCAGCTGGGGGTGGTGGTGGTGCCGGCAGGGGCCTGTGGGGAGTGCAGCAGGTAGAGGGAGACGCGGCTGGCGTCATGGTCGAACAGGCTCCAGCAGAGGCGCCTGGGGGCGGGAGCGGGGAGGAGGGTGGGCGGGGAAGAGGGGTGCGGGGAGTGGCTTTGGGGTGAGACGAGACATTTAGGAGGCAAGATGGCAAGGTCAAGCAGTAATGAACACTAGCGGTCTGGAGCGCGAATGCCGCCAACATACCTCGTGCAGAGGTGACAAAACGAATAGCCCGTCTTTCCGCCTCGGCTCCCTCTTTCTCCCACACACGAACAGCGCCCCAAGCCCTTTCCCGCTCCCCTTCCATTGGATCCCCCTCCCCACCAGTAAGAAGTAGCGGGCTCCCGGCCTCCCTCCGCCGCACCGCCACTGCCACTGCCCTCCGCCGCCGGCGCCGCCGCGCCCCCCGGCGGCACATGGAAGGGCGGCGACACCACCCTGACGTTGCAGCCGCACGGCTCGTTGGCGGAGCGGTCGGTGAAGGCGCCGGAGCGGAGCGGGATGTCCCACTCGGCCCTCAGAGCGCCGCCTGGGGGAGCAAGGGGGAAGGAAGGGGGGAGAGTGGGAAACGGAGGATGTAGGGGTTCGGGGATAACGAGGGTGAGTGGCGTTTGGGGATATGGAAGGATGATGGAAGGGAAGCGGGGACGGGGCGTTGCGGATGGATGTGTGAGGGGGAACCAAGGGTGCTAACGGAGAAGGCCGCGCAATGAGGAGTCCGAGCCATGCAAGTCGTACGGCATATGTACGTACGGCATATGACCTGATGCGCACCCTCACACGACAGCACAGCTCAACTCCACTAACACAAGCACGAGGGGACGTGGACGACAAGCTTATCAACAGAAACTACTAACATGCAGCGGTGCTCAAAGTGAGTAAGGCCTCCCACACGGCACCCCCCTCACCCGCCGCTCCCACGCCCTGCCCCTCCCCAGCCTCCGCAAGCCGCACTGCCCCCAGCAGCAGCATCTGGCTGGGGGGACTGGCGCTGGGACGGGGGCTTGGACCGCGCTCGTCCACCGCCGCAGCAGCCGCAGCGGGCAGCAGCAGCTCGCCTCCGGCACCGGGGGCCGCCTCGTCTGGAAAGGGAGGAAGGAGGCGGGTTCAGGAAGACGCCCTATTTCGCTAATAAGCTCTCTTCCCCCCCTGTTTCCCAGTTAGCCCAGTTCCGGCCCCCTCCAGTAAGAGCAACCCTCCCCCCCTCTTGTCCTCCCCCTTATTCCCGGGCGCTCTCGCGCTCTCACCGTCCGTCAGCAGGGGTGGCCCAAGGGTCAGCACGGGCCCAGCCCCCGCGGGCGGCGCCGCGAATGCCGTACCCTCCTCGCCGTACATCGCGGCTGCCCCCGCCGTACCCCCACCGCCGTTGTCGCCGACGCCGCCGTAAACGCCGCTGTTGGCGCCGCCGCCGAGTGGGCCCCCAGTAGGTGTCAGACCGACAGATGTACGGCGCTTTCCGCCGCCGCTGATAGCGCTCGTCTCGGCGGCGCGACGACGAAGCGCGGCGGTTAGGTTGATATCCTCGAGCTTCATTCCGTAATGCTGGAGTTGTTGGGCTAAAAGCGATGGAGCTTGGAGCTCAAAGGCGCCGACTGGAATGCTGACCGTTGTTGCGGCCTGGGCGCCGGTTGCTGCTGCGGAAGCGGAAGAGGTGTTGGATGGCGGTGACATATTTGGTGGTGGCATGCCGGTGGCCGCGGTGGTTGGTGCGGATTTGAAGGAGCCTCCGAGCAGGCTGAGTTGGCTCAGGAAATCAAAGCCGTGATGCTGGTGGTGTTGTGGTTGGGGATGGTGCAGCGAGGAAGGAGCAGCCGGAGCATGCGCAGGGGCACCTGCGCGATCCCCGTCGCCCAGAGTGCTCAGGCGGTTGCCCATAGCTGGCGAAAGAAGGCGGGATGATGATAGCGAGGATGTGTGTGTGATTTAAGAGAAAGGAGCTAAGGAGAAGGGAGAAGGGCTGGGAGGAGAAGGACGCAGCTTGGCGGCTGCTGCTGCTTTGCCGCGGCTCTCTAGCTCCGGCAGCCGTCAAACGGCCGCTGAGCCGGTCAGGACGCTGATTTACTTTGCTGTTTGGACCCCAATACAGGCTTGCTTTTGCTGAATGGGGCCTGGGGAAGGCGACTTTAATCTTTCGGCGGTTGACAGAGTGACGTTGGCGCGCTTAAATGGTCGTCCAAAGAGTCAGCGTTGTACGGCTGTTTTCGGGAAGAATTCCCTTCGCAACCCTTTTACGCTTATAGATAGGTGCTGCTGTGCCTGCGGCCAAAGGTCGAGGCGCCTGAGTGGTGATGGCGTAGAGGCGACAGACCCACGGGGCACGCAATGTTGAGGCGTCCAGGAGCGAATGCAACTAGTTAAAATCCTTAATATGCAATTTAGTGGATGCACAAAGCGCCTTTGACTGATGTGGAAGCACCAAAGCGGCTGTACATGTTAAGGGAGCCTCCAGAAGCAACCGCTCTACGCCAAAACGGCGTTGCCAGCCGGCAAGTCAAAGCAAGTTTTATACTGTTAATAAACTTTAACACACCATACATCAAACTAAGTTGCGCGGTAACCATGCAACGCCAAGTTTGCAGTTGCAAACAGCTTCGCCGCGCCCGTCACGCAGCTCCCGGCCGTTCAGCGGGCCACCAAATATGTAGTGCAAAACTTGCGTATCATTTGCCACGAACTGCTGCTCCGGTTCAGCGGTTTTCGCGCAAAACATGCCGGGCTGTCGGCGCAACGGATTCAAGCGCGGAGCCCTCTCCCGAAGACCTAATGCGTGAATTGGTAAGCCTTTTAGTTCTTAACAAAAGGCATAAAGAAGTATACCCGATTCCTGCCGGCTCTGGTCAGGGTTTCCAGCCCAACCCTGCTGCACAGCCTTGCTGCTGCGGCATCACGAACGATCCAAAGCAGCAGCTGCCTTACCGTGCTGCTGCCGCTTGACGCCTAACCTGCACGGAACACCGAGCGGCTGCACACCCTCCTCGCAGGCAGCCCAGTACGGTGTGCGCATGTACGCTCCGGCCGGCGGGGCGGGCGGGAGGGGGGAAAAATTCGAGGAGGAGGAGGAGGATGACGACTGGGATGAGGCTCTGGAGGAGCTCGGCAACCCCTGGGACCTGCAGCCAGGACGCGGTGGGGTCTGCAGGGATGGGTCAGGGAGAAGCGCTTGTAAGGGTGATGGGGACGAGAGAGGGGGAAGATGAAAGGGAGGGCAGGGTCTAGGTAACAGGGTCTCCCGCAACCCAGCCTTGGCTATCTGGCCCGTTCTAACCAAATGTCATGACGGCAACTAACCCCCCCCAGGGTTTACCCACAGCTGACTTTGGTAGACTTTGGGAACGTGTGTACCTTGGCTTGAGCCCCATCCCCGTGTTTGTGTTTTCCGCACCCCCGCTTCCTTCACCCTTCAGTCGGCCTACTAGACGAGGAAGAGGACGCCGCGGCGGCGGCGGCCTCTCCGGACTCCCCCTTCGCCGCCACCTCCTCCGCCACCACCTCCGCCCCTCCCAGCCGCGGCCTGCCCGCCTACCTGGACCCCTCCGCCCTGCCCCGCATCACCCGCTCGCAGCTGCTGGAGCTCGTGCAGCGGGCAGCGGCGGCAGCAGGGCCGGCACCTGCTGATGCGGCGGCGCCGGCGGCCGGAGGTGATAGGGGTGTCCACAGCTGTGGCAGCAGTAATGGCGGAGTCAGTAGCAGCAGCAGCAGCAGCGGCAGCGGTATCGGGGGCTGCTGCGGTGGTAGCAGGTGCGGAAGTGGTGGTGGCGGTCATCATGGCACAGCAGGAGCAGGAGCAGCGGTGGGGCCTCGGCACGTGGCGGTGTTGTTGGATGTACGGGAGGAGGATGAGGTGGTGGTGGCGGAGGAGGAGGAGCGGAGGGGGGAGCAGGTGGCGACAACGTGCTGCAGGTGAATGTGTTTGTTGCGATGCGCTGCATGTTGGTTGCCCAGGTTCCCACTGCTGCTGCTGCTGCTGTGTGTCCGCGGGTGGGCGGGTGTTGGGCTATGTTGCATCTGAGGCGGTCTCTAACCGCCTTCCCTCCTTACTTCGTCTACCCTTCTGGCCTAGCCTGTTCTGCTCTTTTCCTTTCCATACCGCCACTTCCACTTCCACTTCCTCCATCATCCGTTCCCCCCGCCCGCCCGCCCTCACCCGGCCCCGCCTCCTCAGCTCCTCCTCTGCGCCGGAGCCGCCCCTCCCCCGCCTGCACGTGCCCCTCAGCTCCCTGCGGCGTCAGCAGGCGGAGCAGCTGGCAGCTGCCGCCTCCTGGCTGGCGGTGCTGCCCAGCGGGGACCACCGGGCGGAGCAGGCGGTGGTACGACTGACCCGGGTGTACGGAATGGAGCGGGTGCTGCTGTACGACGAGGGCGGCGAGGAATGAATGATGGATGGATGAAGGGGTTGGTAGTGATGGTGTAGGTTTGGTAGTAATGGTGTAGGTATTACACCTACACCAAAAGTTTATATGGTTGTTTTTATTTAGGACAAGGAAGGGATATAGCGGGGTAATCGTGTTGAGGGTAGGTTAGGGTATGGTTACTGCATGAGGTTGCGGAGGGGTGTCTTAGATGCTGTCGCTGGGAACGATGGGCTGCATGGGATGGAGCAATGCGTTTTGCACGTCCGGTCCAATGGCTATACGTTTGTTGAAGAGGTGTGTGCATGCTGCTGCTGGTGTTGTTTCTGTCTGTTCGGCTGCTGCAGTGTCGCTGCAAAGGGTGGGGTGCTCTGGTGGTTGCGGTGCCAGCTGTGCTGTGTCTGGTGGCAGGCGGTGTGCTTAGGGTGAAGGTTGCTGGCGTGTCGTTGAGCTGGGCAGTTCCATGCTGGCTGCATGCTACTGGTGGGGGTGAGAGCGGCCGGACATGTGGTGTTACATACCTACACAAGGGATGCGACACGATGATGCGATCCACACCGCGATCCACACAGGGGAACAAAACGAGGGGGACAGAGCAGGCAAGTCTTGCAACCGCAGCTCTATTCGGCCCCGCTCCACATCGCCCAAGTGTCGCCCTCAAGCGCCCGCACCGGCACCACCTGCTGCCCGCTGCTGCTGCTGCCGGCCCCTATTGTCCTTCTTCTTTTTCTTCCGGGCCTTCTTATCGATGTACGACTGCAACGCGCCCCGAGGACCCTTCACCGCCAGTGCTCCTCGCCGACCTTTCCCGCGTCCCTGCGGCCCTCCACCCTGCCGCCCTCCGGCCCCTCCCTTCCCACTCGGCCCTGCCCCTGCCCCGCCCTTGCTCCGTCCGCCGTCAACTTCCTCCTCCTCCTCCCCTTCACTACCATCCGACCCAGCAGCAGGCCCCGCACTATCCTCATCCTCATCACTGTCTTGCGCCCGCTGTCCTGTTGCCTTGTTGCCGCCGTCCTTCTCCTCCTTCTCCTTCTTCTGCCCCACCTCCGCCCCCTGCTGCTGCTGCTGCTCCTCTCCCTCCGAGTCCGATGCTAGCCCCATGGCTACCTCGTATTGGTGCTGGCTGATCTTGCCGCGCTTGAGCTTCTTGAGCAGGCTGCGGGCGGAGAAAGGGTGCGGGGGAGGGAGGGAGGGGCAGAGGCAGGAAAGCGTGGGAAGGAAGGTAGGAAGCGTGCGCAGGCAGGTAGGGGGGACGAGGAGGACCTAGCGTATGTGTGTCACATCACGACCCGTTGCCGGGTTGGTGCCGGTGGGAAAGGCGGCCCACCAGTCGTCACTAGTTGGGCCACCTTACCTACCGGGCACCAACCAGCAATCCGAGCAGCCAAATACCAAACCCTGCCGCACGCCTCCCCCTGTCCTCAGCTCCCCGCACCTGTACTCCATGTTGAGGCCCGCCGCCTCATCAATCTGCTGCAGCTGCCGCCGCTTGGCCGCAGGCAGCCGTGCCTCGGGCTGCTCGGGAGCCGCCTTGCGCTTGGCGGCGGGGGCGGCAGCAGCAGAGGAGACCCCCCGTGCCGCGGCATCCGCCTGCCGCTGCTGCAGCGCCTGATGTGCGGGAGGTAGGGGGAGGTAGGGGTTAGGGAAACACCAAGGGCTTACCATGCATGCAGGACTTAGGGTGCGTGCCGCTAGTTTTTAGCAGTAAGAACTCAACCAACCCAACCAAGGTAACAGCAGGTGAGCAGGGGTACGGCATGGTCGCCAGGGGGCCTACGGTGAAGGGCAGAAGCTTTTTGCTTTCGGTCCAACCGCAACAGCAACAGCAGCGGCATCATGACCCGCATGCGGCCCGCATGCGACACAGCAGCGAACAGCGATGCCACCGCAGCCGGCCTTACTCCCACCTTTTGTCGCTGCTTCTCGCGCGCCTTGTCCTTGTACGGCACGCTTGCTGGGTCCACGGCGGAGGGCGTGAAGCAGTCCAGACCCAGGGGCTTCTTGAGGTCGGGCATCTTGGGCAGCCGCAGCAGCCCCAGACCCGTGGCTAGGCGGCCGATGTTGAGGTCCTGAAGGGGGAAAGGAGGGCAAACGTAAGGAAACTGACACTGAGCACCACCACCGCCCCCACCACCCACCACCACCACTCCTCTCCTGCCCCCTCCCATGCCCCCTCCCATGTCCCCCTCCCATGCCCGACCCCACCTCACCTGCAGCCGGAAGATGAACTTGCAGTGGTGCTCCTTGTACCCGCGCACATACGTCACGAACGCCTTGGTGGCCCGCTCCATCACCTCCCGGTCCCGCTCCGCAGCCGCCCGCAGCGCCGCCAGCACCTCGGGCGTGGCAGTGCTCACCACCGCACCGCTATTGTTGTGATGGTTGTGATTGCCTTGGCTGCTGTTGGCGGCCTTGGACCCCTCCTTGCCTCCTCCCTTACCGGCCTTGCCGGCCGCAGGTTCGGAGGCGGGGTCTGAGCAGCCGTCCGCAGACCCCGCGGAGGCTGCTGCTGCTGCGGTGGCGGCGGGCGGTGTGAGGACGGAGGGAGGCAGCTGGGCGCCCTCCGTGAGCGGCACCTGGCAGGAGAGAGGGTGGAGGGAGGGGGCGCTGACGGGAGCTGCTGGCCAGCAGAGGCGGGAAGGCAGGCGGGCAGGCAGGAGCTCTGGCGGAGGAGACCGCAACCGCAGCCGAAGGTACAGCAGCGGAGACAGGATCAGCGCGCGCTTCCTGCCGTCTGCACCCCTCCCCGCGTCCTCCATCCCCTCCTCTACTCCACCACCCTCCCCCCCCACACCCGCCTCGTTATAACGTTCGTCAGTTCCTACTTTACCCCCCCCCCTCTCCCCCGCACCTTCCGCAGCCGGAGGAACTCCACGTACGGCTCCTCCGCCGGCGTCAGCAGCACCAGCGCGCTGCCCGCCCGCCCCATGCGCGCGGTGCGCCCCACTCGGTGCACGAAGGCAGCCGGGTCCTGCGGCGGGTCCAGCTGCACGATCCAGTGCACGTCGGGGATGTCCAGACCGCGGGCAGCCAGGTCGGTGCACAGCAGCGCGCCTGGAGGGGGTGAGGGGGTGAGGGAGGGGGGTTGAGCGGAAAGAGGTAACAGGGCAGCGGGTGGGGTGAGCGGTGGGTGGATGAGCCACAGCCGCATGCGCACTTCGCTATCCACTCTCATCCCCATGATCCCCCATCATCCTCCACCTCCCCCCCATCATCATCCCCCCCCGCATCTCACCCGCCGGCAGGTTCCTGAACGCCTCCAGTTCGCGCTCCCGCGCCGCCTGCTTCATGCGGCCGTGCAGCGCCCGCAGCCGCACGCCCCGCATGTGCGGCAGCCGCGGCAGCACCAGCGCCAGGTGGTCCACCGCGGCGCAGGTGAGCGCGTACACGATCACCTTGCGGTGCGGGCCGTGGAGGGCCAGGAAGCGGACCTGTGTTGCGGGGGGGAGAGCAGGGAGGGTTAGGAGGTTAGGACCGATGCCCCTGAAGCCTGACCCGGGAACTACTGAAGGTGCATTATAGAAGGGCCCTGGTGGGCAAGGGACGCAAGGGAAGGTACCGGTGTATGCGATATGCGGTGTGCGAGTGGGCGGGCGGGTTGTACTATACCCTTCACCGGAGGGGAGTCCGCTTGAGCCTCACCCTGCTCCCGCCCTCACTTCCCGGCCTGTTTGCACCGCCTCCCCCCTCCCCGGACGACGCGACCCCCCTTCCTCACCAGCTGCGGTATCTTTTCATCCGGCTCACACAGCACATACTGGATGCTCAGGCTGTTGGGCGTCTTCTGCTGCGCCACCTCCGCCCCCGCATCCTCCTCCCCCTCCTCGTCCGCCGCCGCCTTCTTCTCCGCACCCTTCTGCTTCCCCTCCTTGCCCCCCTTCTCCTTTCCCTGCTGCTGCTGCTGCTGTGCCACCGCCGCCACCGCCACATTCACCCGGACGGGGTTGCGCAGCCCCGCTCGCGCCAGCTCCTGCACCGCCTCCGTCTGCGTGGCGCTGAACAGCCCGGTGCGGCGCTGCTTGGGCAGGCGGCCCATCACGGCGTCCAGCTGCGCCTTGAAGCCCATGTCCAGCAGCCGGTCGGCTTCGTCCAGGACCAGGACCTGGAGTGCGTGTGTGTTTGGGCATGGCAGCGGAAGAGGGGGTGCGGTGGGCGCAGGATGGGGGGGGGGTGCTGAGCACGCTTGTGCCCAGAAGGGAAAAGTACACTGGGTGGGAACGGGAAAGGTGGGGGGCGAGGGGGCTTACCTCCAGTCGGCGGAGGTCCATGGCGGGGCAGCGCTTGAGGATGTCCTCGATGCGCCCCGGGGTGCCCACCAGCACATGGCCGCCATGAGCCTTGAAGGCAGCCACGTCCTGGGCGGGGTCGCTGAAGGGGGGGACAGAGCGCAGGGAGGGGGCGGTGATGGAGGGAAGAGGTTGGCAGGCCGCGAGCGAGTGATGAGAGCAGTGCCCTAAGAGCAAAGCATGGCCGGTCGTACCGCTGACGCATAGCCCAACGGCCCGTGGGACATCGGAAAATGAGGTGTGGATTTTGAGTTGCCTAGGTATTTATGGTTGAACTTACGTGCCTCCGACCAGCAGCATAGCTTTGAGGTGCGGAACGCTGGCGATGAAGGGTTCTGCAACGCCATGAATTTGCTTCGCCAGCTCACGCGTAGGCGAGATGATGATAGCGCCAATCTATAATGGTATTAAAAGGGGCACCGATATAAATCAATTGTGTATTATTTTGGCCGGCGGCTGCCGGCCTTGCCACATGCTGCGTCGCAACGTTGAACTTGACACAGAACATAACCGCACCTGATGAGGCTTTAGAGGCTCCTCTAATCGCCGTAATCGCTCGACGACAGGCAGGACAAAAGCAAGCGTCTTCCCGGAACCCGTGCAAGCGTCCACAGCAACATCTTTGTGACCGCAAAACAAGGGGATAGTGGCTTCCTGGACAGGAGTAGTTGTGTGGAATCCAAGCGACGTTAATACATTAACGGTTTCAGGAGAAAGGCAGTCCAACTCGGAAAATTTCTTCGGTCCACTAGGACGCGGCGCCATCCTTGCTAGCCGCGTTTGCCTTTGTCGCATAGACTAAACAAATCTGTAGAAACATTCGACCCAACGTTATTGTGGATTGGTGGTTGACGTTGGTCATCAACCGGCGTCGTACATAGCGCGTGAATGCATGTTGGGCCCAGGCGGCTACACAGCGACACAGGCAGGCACCTTAATACAGGCCGCTCGCCACCATGTCCGCCAGTAAAGTGTCATGCAACGCTTTAGGCGTTAAGTCGCACCAGACTTGTCACGTTAAGAACGCACCAGACTTGCAATGCGGTGGGTGAGGGATGTGGCCACCAGGCTACCCCTAGCTTCAGGTGGAATGAGCCAAACCCACCATCACCAAAAGAAGCCAAACCCAACTCGGCTGATGGACAGGATGGGCGGCTGGTCATTATTCTGTGTCTAGCGAGCATTTCGCTCAAATAACAGCCAAAGTGTACGACAATCAAAGCCAGGAAGGCCGTCCCTCCTACACCCACCCTTTCATACCAACAGCGCCAAGCTGTGTGGCGCCGGGACGAATATGAAACCCAGGATAATTTATGCACGAGGATTCGTCACTTGGCCCCTGTCAGGTGAGACCCCACGATTGGCGACACACGCGCAATTGAGCACACGGCGCACTACGGTAGCCCCAAACCATCACTCCACATAATAGTACCCAAACGTGAACATAAACACTAAGAAATGCGTCGACCTGGTCTTGTACTGCACCTCAATGAAAGATATCTCTATAACCTTATATCTAACGGATTTCATGCTATCCCAGACATGCACTAGCTCTTCACTCCTGTAACAGAAAAAAGATTTACTAACGTCCATAAAGCACACTTGGCCCTCAAGTGCATTAGTCAAGCGGCTGCATAAGGCCTTTCGGGCAGATCCGTGTTCTGTCCCTTCTGCAGTTTTCCGCCCTGCCCTCTTGAGCAACTCACACCACCTCTCACGGTGTGAGTAGGTAGGCCCCCACCCGACATGGCACCACCGCCAGAGCTACAACAAGCATACAGAAAGTAGTACGGAAATATGGCAGAGCCCTTCACAGCAATCCATATCTGCCGTCACAGCAACCCAAATCAGGAAGTGCTGAAAAGTTAGTTGGGCCTCCGGCCGCTTAGCCAAATACCAATCGTATAGTCCACATACTACATGCGTAAACCGGGCCAGTCGCATGGCGTGTCCGCATGCAAGATGCCCCTTATGCTGCAAAGATCTACTGAAGAGTATGCTTTTCTTCGAAACCCTAATTTGATATAAAGCATGCCTACTCACTCGCGCGCAGTCACTGCCCTAAAGATGCATAAGCCACACATAAAGACGTACCAAGTTTGTACAATCTTGATCGTGCAATGCAATCCCGCGGGATGGACACCGCTGCGCTCCTCCTCCCAACAAGAAAACCCGCGCTCTGACCAAGCCACGTCCCCTGAAGGGCAAAAGCCCCAGCCAGGCCGTTTGTCACTTCCACCGCCGCCTACCATGAACCCTTCCACAGCCGGCCAGCAAGGACCCGTATGCGACCCCACCAGGCCCGCAACCAACCCTGCAGTCCCAGTATAGCGCTGGCGCGCAGCAGACCAGCAGACCAGCGCTATCAACGCCATACTCGCCATTGCCACCACGCCACGCTCCGCCAAGCTGGTCATGACTACACCAGCAGCAGCACCGGTAGGTTAGGGTGCCGCATTGCTCAGCATCCGCAGGGGCCCCTGTGATGCCCTCCTCCGCCCCTCACCAGCGCTGCCACACCTCACAGCTTGAGCCACTTGGCGCTCATGTCCCGCCCGCCAAAGCTAGCTGCCCGCTCCAGCGCGTCTAGGATGAAGGAGGCGGACACAGGGCCCTGAAGGCAGGAGCGCAGCGGCATGGGGGCAGAAGAGCGGGTGGGCTGATTGGAGCATGGCAGGATTCACAGGGTGGCGGGAGGCCAAGGAGATATGTGAGCAACAGGGACTTGGTGGGAGCGCGGGAGTGTGGAAGGCGGCGAGTGCCTGGTAGGGTGCTGCGAAAGCCCTACGGCTTGGCTAGCTTGGCATCCGATGCAGGAAACTGGAGGTCCGGGCCGAAGCCTACCTGCGTGAAGATGGGGCCTCGGCTGCCGTCCGGGCCCAAGTAGAGCAGCGTTGGCAGAGCCTGCACGTTGGGTGGGGCGGGGCGGAGGGTGGGATGAGGAAGGCTGCATACGACGGCGGAGCAAGAGTAAATGGCGTAGGAGCTTGAGCAGAAGGCAGCACTCCGCAACTGCACTCCACACGCACGCAACACGCACGCAAGCGCGGCAGCCCACCTTGATGCCCAGCTGTGAGGCCAGCTCCTTGTTCTCCTCCACATCCACTACCAGGATGGCGGTGGGCGGCCGGCCCTGCAGCCGGGCCGCAGCCGCCTGCATCTCGCGGTACACAATGCTACATGGGCCGCACCATGTGGCTGTGAACATCACCACAGCGCGGCTGAGGTGGGACTCCTCGTCCAGGCTGGAGGAGGCTGTGGTGGCTCCAGGTGAAGGCGTTTGCGAAAGACCACCGCCGCGAAGGCTGTCCATCAACCCGCTGAGCAGAGCGCCCCAAGGCGAAGGAACGGCCTGAGATTGCAACCCAGCTATGCTGGCCGCCGGCTTGGCTCGGGCCTCTGCTGGTAGCAAGCTAGCGGCTTCCAAACGTGCCATGACCCGCCCGAAATCGGCGGCACTAGCTTCAAGGTTTACGTATGAGAACCCTGGTCGTGGGTTCGCAGGGCTGTCCGCTTCCGTTATTAATCGAACATCTTTTACCGTGTTGCCGGAAGAGAACGTGGCGGCTTTAGGTGCTGTGAAACGGGTTCGGGCGGTCTGATGTATAACAAACGACCTCGTCCTGCCATTGCCCTGACATACCAGCTGGGATTTCTGCATTGTTATTCCTTTGTATTTACGAGTAGTTGTAGGCGACAAAGCTTTGCACAGGTTTGGACTACGCGCAACAAAGCTGACAGCAGCTGCTGCAAACAACCTTCTTAACTTTGAAGCTCTACAGAGACGATAGGTGCTTTCTTGCGTTCTATGCGTTCGTATATTGCATGTCACGTGTTTAAAAGAGGAGAAGCTATGGGTAGGGTTGTTGGGAATTCCTTGGTCGTACCTCTACTGTACGGTACTGTACTTCGCCCATTGTACTTTGGTTACACATCAAGTGGCTGCCAGCCGGTAGTGGGGGGATTCCTACTTGTGTCCAGCTTATGAGACAGGCGAAGGCTCGTGCCTGGCCGTGCTGACCAGCCGTGCAATATGCAGTCTGATGCAGAAGGCCTTTTCTGTAGTTAATGCGCATAGGCCCTGGAGTGAGGCTATGCGCGGATGCAGAAGTTCAAAGACACGGATGGTGTTTTACGTGCCTACCCTCCTGACTGAAGCACTGCCCTTCACGGCTGTGGGGTATGACCAACGGGTAACGCCCGGTTTGGCGGACCCGGACACGCACGCCTCTCCAATTTGTGACAGTCTCATAGAGGCACACTCCTGCCCAGTTCTCCATGGAAGGTGGAGCCCGCACAATAGCCGCAGGGGCACTAAGCTCGGCTGCCCAGCAGAAGGCCCAGAATGCAGACAGCAGAGTTCCGCATCAGGGGGCAACGTTTATAGGTTTGAATCACCCTAATACCTGGGTTATCGATCCGAGTAGGCTTGCCGGCTGTACAGCAAATGTGTCAGGTGGGCATGAGGAACGGTTGAAACCATGTGCATGATTAGTTTGCCCCGGCATTTTTTAAGCATCACATATCATATAAAGTTTCACTGTATAGGATATCAATCTACGGTCAGGCGTTGCGGGTAGTCCTGCTAATTGTTGCTTGTGTGGTTGCACGCCAACGTCATTTCGCCTTTCCATTCATCGTTGCGCTAAAATAGATGTGAGTTGCTTGCTGTAGCGTAAAAATGCACACGGCGTTGGGAGGAAGGCTTTCCCGGCTGTACCGGGAAAAGCCCTGCCCGCAGCTACCTGCTGCGGCAAAAGTGCGCATCTTGCCAGTTAGAGCGCTAAGACGCTGCCGACCACTTTCAAGATGCAGCGCTACTCGGGCGATTGCGTTGACGGTACAGGATACGGTTCGACAGTTCCAATCTTTCCCAGGGCTGTCCGCACCGGGCAACGTTACCAAGCTAACGGATGACGGGGTGTTCCAAGGGCAAACTGTCTTTTCAAAGTTCACTTGGCCGGCGGTTCTCGGGGGCGAGGAGGTCTACATCTGGGGTGAGTAGTATCGGGATTGGTGGGTTGAGCAAGTTTTCTTTAGGCACCCTACCTGGAAAAACACAAATCATGTTCTAGCAACGTGTAATTAACATATCATCCATTACCGTTCAGGGAGCTTCAACGACTGGACTAAGGGTGTCCGGCTGCATAAGGCAGACCACCATAAGGACGCCGTCGTAATCCTGCCCCTGCGACCGGGGACTTACGAGGTGGGGTGCAGGACCGGGGTGGGGTGCAGAACCGGACTAGCGGGGCGGGGTGCAGGACCGGGGCGGGGCTGTGTGGACACAAGGTACATGAAGGGCTGATCTCGCACAGCTGCTGGGTTCCTTGCATGGGCCAAACCGTCGCAACACCCATCTACCCTCCAATAGCACAAACCTCCCACGAAAGACACGGCATGCCCTCCATGCCCTCCATGCCTGCTTGCCGCCAGCCAATAGCAAACTCCCTGCTCCCCGCACCCGTCCCTGACCCACATGCCTACCTGGCCTCCCCGCACCCGCCCCGCACCCTGCACGCCCCCCAGTTCAAGTTTGTGGTGGACAAGGTGTGGACTCCGGCGCCGCATGAGCCCACCGTCACCAATGTGGAGGTGCGTGGGCCGCTGTGTGTGTTTGAACTGGGGCAAGGGATCTGACCTGGGGCAAGGGAGGGCGCGCAAGGACAAGCAGCTGTGGTGCGGCTGCCTGGCCGTGAAAGGATATCACGGAATATGAACCTTGGCCCGTCCCGCCGCTCCCTGCTCCGCCCACATCCCTCCTCCCCTCCCCCAGGGCCACCTCAACAACTACCGCGTCATTGCGCCCACCGCCAGCTTCTCCATCCGCGCGCCCAACGCACAAACCGTGTTTGTGGTGGGCGACTGGGACAACTGGCAGGTGAGCTGGCTGGCGGGCAACCGGGTGGGAGCGGCATGCGAGTACCTGTGTTACAGGGGAGTCGGGACGGTGGGAGCGGCATGCGAGTACCTGTGTTACAGGGGAGTCAGAACAACAGTGGGAGCAGGTGTACGGCACAGCACTGAGCATGATGGGCAGCTTCCCGTTGGCTGCAGCAGGGGGAGAAAAAGAAAGGTTCTGCAGGAGTATGAAAACACTGCGAGCTCACAGCTGGGGTGTTGCCCCCACATGGCATGTCGCTTCATCCGCGTCCTCTTACGGCTCCTGACGGCTCCCACACCCACACCTCCCTCCTCCCTGGGATTGGGAAACTCCAGTTGCTTCACTTCTCGATTATCTTTCTCCCCTATCCGCACCCTCTCCTCCTGCAGTACTCCCTGCTCCTCAAAAAGGACCCAGCCACGGGGGTGTTTAGCGCCAAGGCGCACTTGCCGGTGAGGGACCCGACACTGGGGGCGGGGGCGAGGGCGGGAGGGGGAAAAGAAGAATACCCAATGCGGGAGGGGGGGTAGAAGATAAGTGCGGCACCGCTGGGGAGGCGGTCTGGATGTGGGTCGGCCTCGGCCGGGAGGGCAGGGGGCGGCACGGGGTTGGGGCGTAGGGTTGCAGGGAGGCGCCGGGTAGCTGGGCGCCGGTACAAGGCGAAAGGCGGTACCGGTAGGCAACCTGCATGGCTTAATAAACCCTGCAGGGATGGGGCGCGTGCAGCATGTTGCCGACGTGCCTCTCTCCGGAACAGCAGCCAGCGCAGCTCGGCTAGCCCGCTGCCATTGTGAGTGCTGCAGCGCTCGGGCCAGCTGCTGTGCATGCATCCTTCCGCCACAACGGCCCTGTGCCCTGTCTCTCATTCCTGCCGGCCCGACCCCGTCCTTCCTCCCTCCTCCGCTTCGCCCCTTGTCCCCTCCCCCACGCTCTCCGCCCCTTCCCCTCCCCTGTATTCCCATTGGCTTGCCCTAACCTGTGTTTTTTTTGTATGTCTGTTCCCCCTCCGCCCCCCTCTTCCCCCGCTCTCCTCGCAGCCCGGCCAGTACTCGTACGCGTTCGTGGTGGACGGCAGCATGGTTACGGAGCCCGACCTGCCCGTGCACCCCTCGGAGGAGTACGGAGAGGTGCACCGGGTGAGAGGGGCAGCGGGGGAGAAGGGGGGTAAAAAATAAGGAGAAGGGGGAGAAGGGGGGGTAGAGAGGAGGGAACGGACAAGCTGTACGACGAGGCTGGGAAGGGGGAGGAGTGGGATGGGCGGGGCGAGGAGGGGCGCGGGACGTGACGGTGTGGCAGGAGGGCTAAGGAGGAGGAGGAAGCGTTCTTGCGTCGTGCGGCGTAGCTTGCATGGCGCTTAGGTTTCGTCTTTGTTCCCGGTGCGCTCTTGCAACCCTACTCCTCTGCTCCCCCCCGCGGCTGCTGCTGCAGGTGTGGAGCTTCGAGCCCGACCTGTTCCGCATCTTCTACTGCACCGGGTGGGAGGAGGCGGTGCTGCAGTACCGCAGGGTGGTGAAAGGTCAGCCGCTGTCAAAGGTAAGCGGCGAGGACCGGTGGAACGTGGGAGGGAGGGTTGCCGCCACCACCACAACTACAGCTCCAAAACTCGCTACCAATAGTCAAGTTCTTTGGTCTGCATGTGCCTCCTTGCATGTCCGCAGGCCGAAGCATACACAGCCAGCGTGTATCCCGTTCTGGTGTGTGGTGTCTTCACGTGGTTAGGAGGTTACGTATTGCTGGCTAAACCCCGTCCGCCACCCGCATTCTCCTCGCCTTCTCTCCTCCTGCCCTCCCTCCAGGACTGGCAGCGGCTGAGCATGGTGAACGCCCCCTCCCGCGGCAACTCGCTGGGCGTGTGGAAGATGGCCACCATCGTGCCCTCCCACCCGGCCGAGGTGCTGGAGTTCACGCTCAACAACGGCGCAGCGGGGGAGAAGCTCAAGGAGGACCGGCCGGGCACCGCGCCGCTGTACAGCTGCCCCTTCCCCGGCTCCTTCAAGCTGGCCAAGGGCATGCTGCGGCCCTTCCCGCGGGGCGCGGAGTCGAGGATCATGCTGGTGGGAGGCGTGGGCGCGAGGGGGGGGGCGCGATGGGGAGCTTCACACCAGATGGGGAGCGTCAACCGAGTCAACTGTTCCTGAGTCCGCTTTACGTCCTTTTCCCCCTTATTACATCACCCTCCCCAATGCCTCGTAATGCAGCTCGTCAGTTTCCTCATCTTCACCCTCCAATGCCCGCCCCTCCCCACCCCCTCCGTGTCGGAATGCGGAATCTTCATCCATATTACCCCCTCCGTGTCTCATTAATTTTTACCCCCCACCCCCACCCCCAATGCTGCCCCTGCAGGTGAGCGACATCGACGGCACCATGATCGGCGACCTGGGCTCCCCCGACGCCTTCGAGTCCAGTCACCGCTTCGCCGAGTACTGGGAGAACAGCGCCTCGCTGGCGGGATCGCTGCTGGTGTACAACACGGGCCGCAGCCTGGGGCAGTTCGTGGACCTGATGAAGAAGTGTGAGGGCAGGGTGGCAATTCCAGACGTGGTGGTCACGGCGGTGGGGACCAAGGTGCGGAGGGTGGTGTGGGGGGGATGAGTGGGAGCGGGGAGAGAAGCGCGTCCCAGTTGTCCTGGCCTCTCATCACAACTGAATGAGAGCAGTAGCAGTAGCTGGCAGTGGCAAGGGGAATAGCGCTCTTTGCAATGCCACATGGTTTCGTGTGGCGCGGTTGCCATTCCGGTACCCCCCTGCTCACCCTTCCCATCCCCACCTCGCCTACCTCTGCTTTTCCTTTGCTTTACCCTTCCCCGGACATGGGATTGGCACTCCAGTTGCTTCACTTACTACGGTAATTAAATTCCCCCCTTCCTAAACCCAACCCCCTTCCTTCCCCCTCAGGTATGGCACCTGGACGAGACCTGCGGCCGCTGCGCCGCCTCGGGCCTCAAGTGGATCGAGGACACCAACTGGACTCTCAGCCTGGACGTGGGGTGGGACCTGCAGGTGGTGCGGGCGCTGGCGCGGCAGCTGGTGGGGCACTACCGTGACGAGGCGGTGCTGGCGGTGCTGGATGACGGCAGCGAGCACCGGCACCGCATGGCGCTCACGGCGGACGTGAAGGTGCTTGATGAGGTGGTGGCGCGGCTGATGGAGGGATTCCAGCGGGAGAGGCTTGAGGTAGGGTGGGAGGGGGCGGGTGGGAGGGTGGAGGGTGGGAGGTGGAAGGTGGAGGAGCGGGTGGCTTCGGAGGTGGTGGGGAAAGCGGAGATGGGCTGTTGTATTGTGGGCGCGAAAGGGAGATTGTGACGCTACATCCTGGCAGCACACACGCAACAGCACACACCGCCCTGCCCCTCCCCTCCTGGCCGTGATGGCGCCTTATCACACGGTCAGTTAGTTGTTCCTCTTTACCCCCCACCCGGCCCGCCCCCCGGCTTCAGGTGCGCATCATCACCAGCGGCAACGGCAGCCACCGCTACATCGACTGCGTGCCCGTGGCGGCGGGCAAGGAGAAGGCGCTGCAGTACGTGCGGCAGCAGTTCGGCATCCCCGAGCACCTGTGCGTGGCGGCGGGCGACAGCGGCAACGACATCCTCATGCTGGAGGGCGACCACCCCGCCATCGTGGTGGGCAATGCGCAGCCGGAGCTGCTGACGTGGCTGGTACGACAGGAGCAGAGCGGCAAGGTCATCTACGCGGATGCGTGCTACGCGGATGGTATACTGGAGGGGCTGGCTCGGCACAGCTTGTACTGAGCAGGGGGGAGGTAAAGAGGAAACAACTAACTGACCGTGTGATAAGGCATCATCATGGTTTGCAACATGTGAGCCAGCCCGACCCGCCCAGCCCGAATTAGCCAAGCCAGTACGTGGAATGGACTTACCGTAAATTGTAGGGGAGGGGGAAGGGTGAGGGGGGAAAGGGGGATGGGTTATGGTGTGGGGTTTGGGAGGCGCGGTGGGGAGGGGAGGGGTGCAGCTGGTGTTGCAGTAGAGGTGCTGTGGGGTGTTGGCGCTTGGGTAGTTGGGCGTGGGCTGTTAGATGTCGCCTGCTGCCCCTGCACCTCCTCTTGGGACGGAGGTTTGCGTCACATACAAACGGCTGTAGCGGCAGTAGGTAACTTTGAATAGCCTTTCGTTGATACATAGGGTATGGGTTAGCCCTCTGTCAAAAGGGGTTTTCCTAGGCCAAAGCAATGCGTGTGTGCCGTGTAGTGGGACCGGGGCATCCGCTCCATGTGTACAGCAGCTGTGAGGCGAGGGGCATGTCGCATGTGACATTGGTTGCGGGTGCATCTCTGGTGCGGGATACTTACTTGGCGTTGTTGCTGCGGCCCCCGAGTCAGGGGATGCTCCCATGCCAAGCCGAGTGGAGTGCTTTCCGTGTGTCCAGACAGCAAAGGTCTTGACGCCTGTTTGGACACTTTGTGATAGTGTTGACACTCTGTGGTAGTGTGCTGTTATCATACCGGTAGGTGTACAGCTGTGGAGGGTTGCTGCAAGCTCGTTTGTCATTGTTTGCAGTTAACACAGGACCGGTAGACCAGTAAGAAACGTGGATAAGATGCCATTACTTTGCTTTGTGCTATCTGCTATGCATGTGCGCTTTTGTCGCTGACGGGAGGAGGAAGACGTCGTGACGCAAAGGCGGCGTTTAGGGACATGGTTCAGGTGGGGACGTGGTGTCCGCGTGCCCTAAAAGCTCGGGGTAGCGTTCTTACAGCACGGTGCGCCACCATTCCCCTATAACGGCGCGGTGCAGCAGACATTACATGTACCCTGTGTTTTCGTTTGTTTAGGTGATGAAAGTGCTGTGTTAGGAAAACTGGCCGCGAGTAGGAACGTGTAGAATGCTGTGTATGTGGCCAGCGCCACAGGCCAGTAAGCAGCTTGTGAGCTTGTTGACGCTGGGCTGCTGAAAGAGAGAGCTAGGGTTGCGCGCAGGGAACCGCAGTCGTGCATTGGTCCCGTCATGCATTGCGGCAGGGCGGCCTGCATGGATTTGCAGGCGGAGCGTGCATTGCACTACCGTGCGTCCGAGTGCATGGTGGTTGGGAGACCGTTGCCAAGGTGCTTCGGACTCGAAGTGAGTGACTAGTGGATGGCGCGATGTGCAGAGGCGGGGCGAGACGGGTACACAATTGCCAAGTCATTCGTGCATTTCGTTGATTAGAAGCGGTTCTTACTCAAGCTGTGTAAGAGGTTGCAGGACGAATACCCCTCACGCGCCAACCCCCATCACTGCGTCCGGCGCCAAGATATGTACATTAATAATTGGCACAGAAAGGGGAGCGCGCTTAGCCCGAATAGACCGCTACCGAGCGCTCCGTGCACTTCGTCTATTTGCTTAGCCTTCTATCACTGCCGATTCGCTCTTCCACCTCCTCTTCGCTGCTTCCAACCCTCTCACGTCACCAGCGGTCGCAAACGAAAAGGAAACACCCTGCACCTGGACCAAAGGAGAGGTGCAAGCACGTGCCCCCGAGGACTGGATACGGTGGACTTGCGCACGCCCTCACACCCCCGCCCCACCACGTCGCTGTACTGAGCAGGCTGTCAGCGGGGCGCATGCCGAGCATGAACGCACATGCCGCCCAGCGCTTTTACGCCCTCCATGCACATGCGCCGCACCGCACCGCACCGCAAGCCAGTAATCCCAACAAGCACGAAACGCCGGGACAGCCACCCCGACATCCCTTGCCCACCACACCGTCAACACCGCTGCCCGAGCTCATGGCTGCGTGCCCAGCGCTAACAGAGCACCCCACACATCCAGTTCCGCCTTCAGCTCCAACTCTTAGTTGCAACATCGCCGGAACTATGATGACGCTGCCGCACCCTGCCCTGAGGCGGCCGTTAGGGACGCGGCCGCGGCTGCTGCTCTCCGGGCCGCTAGCTGCTGGTAGGTGCCAGTGGACTCCGGAGCGGCTTTCAGCATCCACCCGTACTTCCAAACGGAGGCGATGCGCTTAGGCTCCGCATTCACGCGCTCGCCTGCGCCCAGTTAGTGGCGGGGTGGACGGGGACAGACGTGGGGTACGTGGTTGATAGGGGGTTACGCTCACAGGGGCACGTCAGGGGTTCACACCAGTCAGTTTGCTGCGACTTGCTATGAGGGGACGCGACGTCCCGAGGAGGGGGTACGCTGGGTGGGAGGTGCCGCGCTGAGGTTCCCTAGTGACTGGGCGAGGCCACACCGGAGGCAGCGGCCCACCTCTGTAGTACTTGACGCCCCAGACGCTCAGCTTCGTAGGATCATCCTATTTAGGGACAAATACTTGGGTCATTACAAACAGCGCAGAAGTACATCCTTCTGTCGTTGGCAAGTAACAATCTTACCGGCAACGGGACGACCTCAACGATTTGCCAATATTTATTGCCCGCTGGATGCCATGTGTCCCTTGTTACAAGTGACCCTACTCCATGTTGTGGGAGCTTGCGTAAAACGTCGGACACTGCGAAAGCAGCCGCAAACACGTTCACGATTAATGTCTGCCAAGCTGCGTAAATCCTAACCAATCATGTCCAGCAACACACGAACAACATCAAATCTATCCTAGAATCGCCATACTGTGAAACCTACACGTGCGCTTGGGGGCTGACCGAAGCAGTTCGAGGAAGGCCATGCGCTTATATGTACTAAGTATATAATGTAATTAGTACCACTTTAAGATGTGCACCAGAACGAAAATGGGAATGGAAAGCCCAGAAAAGCCAACGTGCCGGTCATCAAGTCAGTGGCCTTACGGCAACATGTACGCACGACGCCATGCTGCAACTTAAGGGGCGTTACGCGCATAACTAGAAGCTCGAAGTTCCAAGACAGCACTCAATGCCATGCCCATTGCAAAACGAAAGCAGTGCCTACGCCTCGCGCAACAGTTCCTTGACCTCCTCTTCCTCCGCCTCATCAACCGGCTTGTTCCCACACCCATTCTGCATATTACGATCAGCCCCTCGCGCTAGAAGCAGCTTCACAACTGCCGTGTGGTTTCCGCGCGCTGCGTTGTGCAGTGGTGTGTCCCCGTCTTCGTCAGCTTTGTTGACGATCGCCCCATCGGCTTTTTCAAGCAGCTTCTCGCAGATCTCTAAGTAGCCGCCTGCTGCAGCGTCATGAAGAGCGGTCGACTTGTCCTCAGGGTTGACGATGTTTGCATCGGCGCCGCCAGCCAGGAGCGCTTGGACGCACTCGACGTGGCCGAAAAGGCACGCCAAGTTCAATGCGGCATCTCCGTCGGGACCGGGCGTGTTAACATCACCGGGGAAGCTCCGCAACAGTTCCTCAACGAGCTCAGTCGAGCCGTCCTCGCAGGCCGACAGCAGCTGCGTCAACGCGCCCCCAGTTGGGTCTTCCCAATCAGTATAGCCGCCATTATCCTCGCCAGCTTCAAGCGCTGCCCTTTCTAGCTGTTGTTGCAACCACGCATACTCTTCTTGGGACAACTCAACAGGGCCTTCATCGTGGCCAGCATCCTTGTCGTCACCCGGCATTTTCGCTAAACTTCGTTAAACCTAATGATCGTTTGCATCAAGTCCTTTAGGGTCAATGCGTTTGTACGACGGTATCAGCTCTATCTTTATTTCTCTCCGACGTGTTCAGGGTTGACAAGGAAATTACACGCGTATGGAAAACAGTTTACTTGTGCAATTCACCCATTCTTAATTAGTACTGAGTCAGCGATTTTTGGACGTTGTGGCAGTAGCGAACTTGGTATCGTCGCATGCACTTAGCAGCCTTGGTAGTCTCCTTGTATTGAACATCTTAACTTCATGGAGGAGCAGAAGCGCAAGGTCTGTTGGAACTGCAAAGTTACCATGTGAAGGGTACAATCCGAACCAGCTATGCATCTTGCAGGGAACAGGTTCAAGTGACCGGCTCACCTGGCGTCGTGCCGGGGCGAGCAAATCACAGGGTGCGCGTGGCGCAACACCGTCAGCAGGGACATGTAGGTTTGCAGAAGCTTGGACGCTGCCTGCAAAGCTCCTTAAAGCCACTCAGCAGAGCCCCAATCCCCCGCCAACCTTTTCCTCCTGGGACAGCTACACCCCCAGGCAAACAGCTGCGTCCTTCTCAGGCTAACCGTCCAGTCGCTCTCCACACCCATTCCTACACATACGTCTTCGGCAGGCTCTCGCATCACACGCACAGGTAATCAAGCAGGATCCCATTAAGGCTGAAAGTGGAACATACGGCTTGCTTGCATGCTAAGAGATACTCCAAGCCATACAACACAGCTTACGATTTCTCCGGCCGGGGCCCGCCGGCAAACCACCTAATGCTGCCTGCCCCTGCATGGAGTTCTCTCAGGACGCAAATCCAGCGGGCGTTCTGCGAGGGGCTGCACGGCGCACCGCCTGCAGAACCCAACTCCGGCTTCTATGACGAGCTAGACGTGAGTCACGGCGGGTAATGAGGGCTGAAGGGGTCGGGGCTGGCGGCAGGGGAGTTGGGTTGTGGTACTTCGCCGAGAGGGTACTTCGCTACGTGCCGTGAAGTACCCTTCGCACACCTGCTTGGGCACCTACTGCTCCCACCAATCCCTGGACTGCTGTCCTCAATGAACCCCTGCTTCCCGAGCGACCCAAATACCGGTACCCATGCTCCCCTGCCCCCACCTAACCAATCACCAATGCGACGACCGCATGCTCCCGCAGGAGCGGCTGCGGCTGCAACACAACACCCTGCTGGCGGTGCGCCGCAAGGCGGGGGAGGAGGCGCTGGCGGCGACCCGGCCGCAGTCAGCAGCCACCGCGGACACCGTAGCCCTGCGCCACGCGGTCAACAACAGGTGGGTGGCGGCGGGCGGGCGGCGGCGGCTGTGGCCAGGGATCAGGGGGCTTACTTCCTATCATGCCGGTACGGTACGGTATCGGTATTAGTGAAGTCCTCCGCGCGCTGTTGCCTCGCACACTCCTCGCGCCCATGCGTCGCCTCTGCCCACATCCTCCCTCCTCCGCTCCGCCACACTTCGCCTGCCCTGCTTCGTCCGGATGCCTCCACCAGCCTGGCGCAGCAGCTCGAGTTCTTCACCAGCTGCATGGCCGCATACAGCTCGGACCCCGCCACCGCCACCGCCTGCAGCTGCAGCTGCCCGGGGTGCGGCTGCAGCTGCCGTACGGGCTCCTCGGGGGGGCTGCTGGCGGCGCAGAGCCACCGGTGAGCGATGAGCGATGACTCCTCATGTGGCGAGCTGAAGGCACAGATGAGGACGGACTGGAGCAGCAGTCTGAGGAAGCAGGGGCTGTGGACCGGGTGGAAGGGACAGAGGAAGGGGGGGAAAGCACCGGCCTTTCAGCGGGGATCAGCGGGGTGGTGCGGCCGATCGCTAAGCAAGCATGGGGAAGTAATGAACGATCCTGGAAAGGGGAGGCTGGGCGTCGCGTGCAAGCATGTGCCTGGGGATGTGGGGCGGCTTTGAGGAGCGCATGAGGGGCATGGGAGTGGCCTGAATGGGTTATTATAAGCTCGAGGCTCGTAAGGCCCAGACACAGGCCGAGAGGCTCATGGGCCGCAAGACAGAAAGAAGCAAGTTTAACCTAAATCCACTGGAATGAGAGTGGCCTGCTGCACGACGGCGACGGAGCCAGATGTCACCCGTGTACGACATCGCACGTGCAGTGTAGGATAGCGGTGTAGGGTTCAGTCGGGTTCACCACGCATGTTCTTGCAGGGCATTTCGATAACAGAGATCCAACGGACGTACTTCAATGGCTCGATGTACGACATCGTACTTGCAGTGGATACCGGTTTTGCAGCCCTCTTGCAAGAGTTTGCCTGTATTATGGATGCAAATGTGGGTAACAGCGGACTGGAGGTAGATCTGTCGCTATAAAAATTGGACGGGTGACCCCTTGCATAGGGGGGATTATACTGCCAAGCGGGAACATGTTTTTAATTGCACTTCCGTCTTTGCCTTTGGGGCATTGGAATAAGTCCTCCAGGGGGCAGCCAACGTGAAATGCGCACGTTTGCTGCTTATGCGGCGCTATGGCTAGCACGGCGGAGCTGTGCCTCCCGCGCACGGCGGTGCCTCCCGCGCAGGCATGCATGGTATCCAGCGCGCTAGCAGCACTGCGGCTGCAAGCTCATACCGACGGCTGTGTGCGCTCACAGTGGCCGCGCATCTAGTTGCTTGTGAATGTCTTTGGGGATGGACCCGTGGGAGGGCGGTGAAACGAGCATAATTAAAGATGGGGCAAGCAAATACCCGGGTCAAGTCACCCGGGCTGTGACCGTCAAGGACGGGCGTGGGACAGGTGCGGCCTATGGCCCCCTGGCCCCCTGATGTAACATCTCATCACTACCGCTCGGTGATGTGAATGACCATTACAGTGGTCACTAAAAGGGAACACGGGCGGTGAACCCAACCCTACACGGCAAAAGAAACGGAACACGCCGGAAAGACAAAACCGTAACGGGCCAGCAGATCTATACGTCAACCATTCATGTAGGTCCCTGCATGTGTCGCAAGGCTTTGGAAAGCAGCTCACACCTCATCCAAATCCAATGGATCAACAGCTAACAATCCAACTACCGGTATCCAACAGAATGAGAAACCACCCTCGTTCCAAAAGAAGCACAGCCGGAGAAAATGCATTAGAAAACTTCCAAGAAATTGAGCGCTTGCATGTGTAGCAAGCGCTTGCATGTGATGGGGGTCAGACCCAACTCAGCTCTGGGATCATGAAGGCACCATGCATGCCTGCAATGACAGGCAAGCCCACCAATAATACCAGAAACCATGTGTAACTTTCAACCATGTGTACTTATTTGCATTGTGTAAAGAGTGGCGTAAATAGCGTGTATAAGGGATCAAAATAACCATGCACGCCGTGCAGCCGTTCTCGCAGTGCCCTAGCAACTCACGCTGACGCACGCATATATAGCAGTATTCAAGTTCGCCTGCTGCTATTTAATCGCATTCCCTATGCATTTGGCATTACGCTAACCTAATAAACTACCGTGTCAATCCCCATCATCGATTGGTTCCCCATAAGTACGCACGCTCCCCTGCGCCGCCTCAGCTCCTGAAAAGCCTACAGCTCCGTTCGCTGTCCCTCGCCCCTCTGCAACCGCGCCAACTCGCTTTCAATGGCGAGGCGCCGCTGCGCATGGTACGCGCGAACCAGGTTTGCGACCCGTGGGTCGGTATCTGGCACCGGCCCCAGCTCCTCCAGCCGCCTGTCAAACTCCCCCAGCAGGCGCTGCAGCCGCTCCACCTCCGCAGCGGCCTCGGCATCTGCTGGGCCAGGGAGGGGCAAAATATTATATGCTAGGTGCAACAACGGAGTCCCAATCCCTAATCCCGACTCATGCAGTGAGCCAGGGAGGGGCGGGCAGCGAGGCCGGGGGTCGCACGTCGTCTAGCCCGGGAAAGCCCGGAAATGTGGGGGCTGGCTACGGTGCCGGTATGTGAGCTGGAGAGGTGTGGAAAGGCAGGTTGCAGGCAGCACTGCCAGCCTCCCGTGCTTAACCTGCCCTCACGGCAGAAGGTGGATGTGCGCCCTGGCTGGGCTAAGGCTGGCATGCACTCCTAGCCAATCGCACAACTGCCTCCGCCCCCCGCCTGTATGCTATACATAATATACTACACCCCTTCGAACAGATTATCCAATCCCTCTAGCTATAACCCCCCCGTTTTGCCTCTCTCTCGCCCACCCTCTAGCTCCCGTAATCCCCTCCAGTCAGTTTTCCTTAATTTCACCCCCCACCTGTCGGCTCCTCCTCCTGCGGCTGCAGCTCGAAGAACCGGCCCGTGTAGTTGCGGTGGTCGGTGGCCAGCAGCTGCGGAGGGGAGGTGACGGTGTCCAGGAAGCTGTGGGGGGGCGGGGGGCAGGGGGGTGTGTGGGGGGAAGAAGAATACCCACTGTGCTGTGTGACAATGCGGTGTGGGGGCAACACAAGGTGTGGGGGCGCGACCAGCAGGTACAGGTACATGCCGTTCCTTCAGCGCTCCGCAACGCCCCTCCGCGCGTCCTGCTTCCCTTTCCTCACTCCCTCATCATCTCCTCTGCCGTGCTGTCTCCTCTTCACACCTATTTCACTCCCCTGCCCTGCTGCGCGGCGTGGGGCTGCCCTCACCACATCCCTGCCCCCCCTTTCCCTTTGGCTTGCCCTCACTTGCGCACCTCCCCACCCACCCACCCGTAGAACAGCAGCAGTTCGTCCGAGCGCAGCGAACCGTACGAAATGGTCACCTCCTCGCCCGCTGCCAGGTCCCGACCCGCGATCAGCCTGGCAGGTGGGAGGCGGGCACGCGTGTGCAACCGGGTGCTTAGAGAAATGGAGCCGCGAGGAGGGAGGCCGGGCGTTGGTCGACAGACACAAAACACATGTGTGGCGGAGTGCACGTTGTCCATGCGCGCCATGAGACCATGAGCTGTTGAAAGTACGCCGCTCCGTGCCTAAACCACGAAAGGCACAGCAGCTCCTTACTCGCCCTGCACCATCATGAAGCCTAAACCGGCCCCCCTCACGATGAATGCTGGTCCGCACGCCTGCCCCGCACCCCCTCGGCCTGCAGAAAGCAAGCGGATCTCGCCTGCCAATCCGGCGCTGTGGGTAACCCACCTGTAGCCTCCGTCCTTCGCGTCAACATAGTTCTCGTCCCGGCTGTCATGGTTCACCATGTCTGCAGCAACCGGGGGGAAGGGCGCGATGAAACCGCGGACATACATGCACTCGTCAGTCCGGTTTGGACGAACGGCATGAGGGATTTCTGCTGCTCGTGGGTCCGTTGCTGCTGCTGCTACTTGTAAATCCACCCTTCAACTCCTTCCTCGCCCAATCAAGGGCCGCCCCCGACTGGTCCTGACCTCCCAGCACTGGGCGCCCCAACCACAACCGCAGCAAAGGCGTCAGTCGGCACCTCCCCGTCAGTCCTAGTCCTCCCTGCTGTCCCCTTGATTGCTCCCCCCTCCCCAGGCCACAGCAAGACAGCATGGTAGTGTCCGCCCCTCTTTGCGACCCCTCCCCCAGCCTCGTGAGTTCCCTTATCTCCATCCCCCCGGGTCGCCCCCCGGTACCCACCCAGCAGCGGTATCATGGACAGCACCCCGTCCCGCAGCGAAAAGGTGCGCGAACTCAGCTGGCGGGAAGGAACGGAAAAAAATGGACATGGAAGGGAAGGGGGCGGGTGAAGGAGGAGGGGACCATCAGCGGCGGGGTCAGTAGCGGGATGTAAAGCGGGGTTGGGAGGAGGTGGGCCACAGGGATGGCTGCAGGGCTAACGTGGCAGCGGGCTGTCAGGACAACTACCTTCTAAACGGCGCGGGCATTGGGTGCAACAATCCCGGAGCCGGTTGCGACTTAGCAAGCCAACGTGCGGAAGTGGCCCGGTGCCCCCATTCCCCACCTCTCATTCCCTTCTACCAGCCCCCGCGGTATGGCACACAGACATCTTACGGCAATCCCAGTACGTTCCGACTCGCGGCCACCCACCCCAATGTCATACCGGCCCTAACCCGCACCCCTACCCCTACCACCCCGCCCCCATGCAGCCGCCCAGCCGCTCTCACCAGCGACACCACGTGCAGCCAGTACGACAGGCTAACGTTCATGCGGCCCACCGCCTCGGGAATGGTAATTGCCTGCCGGGTGGGGTGGGGTGGGTAGCGCCGCGTGAGGTGGTGGGAAGGAACAGTGGCGAGGTAGGTTAGCAGGACGCAGGGGCCGGAGAGAACTAAACGGTGATGGTTCGGCGGCCCCACCGCTGACCTCGTAAGGGTCTAAAGCTCTTAACACGACCAATACTCGAACAACCGCAATTCGTGCCCCTCCCGCCCGTTTGGGCGCACCATTTTTCCGTTGTTGCGGCCCTCGAAGGTCGCATGTGCGTGTCGCTTAAAGGCCGTGGTGATATGACTCTCCTGTGTGGGGGGGGGAGGGGGGGGGAGGGGCCGGGAGTACTTGGGTGTGCAGCGGCTCTTTCTCGTGGAAGGATGCCTGTCCTCTTGCAAACAACATTAGCACCACCCACCCCGGACACTACACGTGTTACCGGTACCCTTCCCCCCCATGCAGCCCTTCCTTACCAGGGCCTCGTTAGCCAGATACTTGACGTACTGCAGCCCCGCATGCCGACAGGGTTAAAAAGGGAGAAAAGGTTTAAACGCGCGTTGAAAGCGCGTAAACGGGGTTCACATCTGGCGTTGACAGGGGATGTGGCCTAGTGTGCATGATGTACAACAACCAGCAATGGCTGTGCGGACCCCAGCAGAATGCCCGCCCATGGCCGTTCCCCTCTCGCGGGTCTCAGTGCCAACCGGCTACGCACCTCATCCGGGAAGTTGTACGCTGTTAACACCTGGATCCAATAATAGGAATGCTAAAGTTAGCAATTGGGTGCCTCTGGGCACAGTCAGGAGAAACGACAAAGCGGTGCGACCATGTATCATGACGGACAAGGCATCATAACTATAAGCAGTGAATCCTATTATGTGGCTCTTGTTAGGAGACGTATAACGTGTATGTTCTTTCAAATGTGGCAGCTTGCACACACCTCGCCTTCCTTGGGCAAGGTATCCATATAAGGCCGCAATCGTGAACATGGAGTATGCAGCTCCTTCAGTAGCAACGGCGCCACCTCCTAATTAATGCAGATAGAAGGAAATAATACTCGAATCTCATTGCAGTAGCGCGCATAGAACCGGGAAAGGGGCCGAACTGGTCAGTCGCGAGCGAGCCAGACCACGCGCCGGTCCGACTATCCTCTCTTGCAAGTAGCCCAACTTACCGCAGCGGCCAGGGGCTTGACAGATAGGGCGAGGTGTTCCGGTATGTGAATTAATACCTCGCCCTTCCGAGCGCTCCGCGTAGTGAAGACGCCCCGAAGGCCGTCAGCATTCCTACCAAGAGCGACGCTAAAGTTCCCACCTTCCTGCGCTATCCAATCCATCAGCTGTTCCTCCTCGGCACTCAAGCCAATATTCGCCTCTGATGCCGACGACGCTACAAAAAGCAGCGCTCCAACCGTGACCGACACAATAAGCGACAGCACCTTACTGTGCGCCATGGTAGCTCACTGGCACGAAACACTTTACAACTTTGCATGTTTAGCAGTAGCTTTGGGGTGATCAGGGCCATCCGCACGGTATCGTTGTACAACATGCATTGCTCATGCGTTTTGTGCGGGCTTTCACATCTGCGCAGGGGCATTTCATAGAGTTACGTTGGCTGCCATGAGCGTTTTCCAGGTTATTGCTGTGCTCTATAACAGGGTTGCGCAGCTTTTATCAACTGCGCCTAGGGGCGCGCTGCCTGTTACCGGGATCTTAGGCCTCGCACTTATATTATACGGGTACTTCCAACTACGTGGAAACAACAACAATAATAGGTCCGAAGAAGAACGCAGGCGTCAGCAGCGGGCTCCTCAGCAACAGGCGGCATCTGCAGGCAATGGAGCGCCAACCGCGGCCGCGGCAGCAGCCCAGCGGCCAACTGCTGTAGCTTCAACTGCTGCTGTCGATGCACCGGCATCATATGCATCAGCCACTCCCGTGGGTCGGGCCGTTGCTGCCCGGCTTAGCGGGGTCAAGCGCGTAACCCTCAGCCTACCGGGCGTCGCCTTCTCTGAAAGCAGCCCCGCGCAGCTGCAGGACTCCGCAAGCGTGCGGCCTGAGGTGATGGAGGTGCTGCAGGAGATGAGCCGCGTTGCTGACGTGTACCTGCTCGCGCACGTGGGGGACGATCTGGGTCAGGCTGTGGTGACGGGCGCGCTGGAGGCTGCGGGCCTGCTGGGCAGCGGGCCGGGGCAGGTGAAGCCGCATCACGTGCTGTACTGCTCCACGCTGGACGGCAAGGTGCCCATTGTACGGCAGCTGGAACCGGATCTGCATGTGGACGGCCACCCGGCCTCCGTGGATGAGCTGAAGCGCTTCCTGCCGCGGCTGCTGCTGGTGCGGGAGGGTGGTGCGAGTGGGTCGTCCGGCGCCGCGGCTAACGTGGTTGTGGCGGCATCGTTACCTGCGTTCTTTGGGCTGTGAGGAGTGGGATTGGGGGCTGTCGAGGATGGGGTTGAGGCAGGATGGAGGCTGGGTACTGTAGATGGCAAGGGGTTGGCAAGTGATAGGCGACAGGGCAGTAGGTGTTGTGTCATGGTGGTGTCTGGGAGAAGGCAAGTGGAGCAAGTAAAAAGTACAATAAAGCATTGGGGGAACGAGTGGCTGTTGGGGCGACCATGTGTGGGTTCCATCTGGAGTGTCGGCAACGGAGCTGTTACGCAACAGGGATTTCCTGGGGAGCAGTGTTTTCTGCCAGATTGGCGTCGTACTGCTCGCGGCTTGGTGGTATGATACATCGACAGCTAGTGCAAATGGCGATTCGGGTTCCCTGTCGTGCCCTTCCGGCGGAAATAGTTAGGCATTACAGTCTGGAGACCACACGTGCCCCAATAGAACAACGCCATACACGGACTGGGCCTCCGACGACCTCGTAGACCCGTGTGTTTTTCAAGTCCGGACGGCGTGTTACCGTACTCTCGCGGTCGTTTGGACACTAGTTCAGAAGCTGTGATGCTGTGATGATGCACCATAACGCGCTGCAGGTTGCAGCCATGCACATCCCAGACCTGCACGCGGCGGGCCGCCCCGTGCGCAGCTGGGTCACAATTGATTCCGGTTTGAGTCAGCACTGGTCATGCGTACAAACGGTACGGCAATGATGCATGTTGTAAACGACACATCTAGCTAGCTATCCCAACCTGTAAACTACCTATGCATGACAACACATTGCTTAGCCACTCCACATGCCTGCTACAACACCTGCCCAGCCCATGCACACCTGCTGTGCAGGGTTTGGGAGGCCTTGACACTATCACGAACAGTTCAAGTACCGGTACGCATACAAGCAGAAAGGCAAGGGAACCTGGAGCAGCTTTTCCAGGCACGTGTGGCTACGCACGATCCGCAAGCTCTCCTTGTGTTTAGCACCCCAGTGCCAGAGGACACGCCAATGATAGGCCGCATGCTCCCATACCTAATCCCCCCAAGCTCATTTACGTCTGGAAAAGCAAATACACAGCAGTCCTAAGAAAGCTAAGCCGGTCATTCCTCATTTTCCGCAAATGAAGTGGCCATAGTATGATGCCGCATCACGTCCCTCGCACTGCGTCACATCCGTGCTGCCTAGCGTTCTCCGAACTTGAGCCTCGGGGGGCGTCAACTTGGGCGCATGCCACCCGACCTCTTGCGATGTGAGCATGGGGCCGCGGAGGGTTTGCTGCGGCTCGTACCCCACACGTGTGTGGTGGATCCACTCCACTCGTTGCGTGTCGTACGAGGTGTAGGTGGCGTTGGTCGGGGCACCGGCGCTGAACTCCTGCAGCCGCTCCACGCCCTACAGGGCAGCACCATGAAGGGGACCGGGGAAAGCATACGGTAAGTTCACGTATCAGGCTGCAGCAGCACAAGATAAGTCACAGGAGAGCAAGGTGGGAGTGCAGGCAGCAGAAAGGTGGCGTGGCAGGATGCGGAGTTGGCGGGACCTGCCGCTTAGGGAAAGGCCGCGGAAGCAGGGGAGTGTTTCTTACGTACGCGGGCATTTGGGTCACGGCATCATGCTACGGAGGGCTGTGCTTCTCTTGAGGGATGACTGAGGGAGGGAAGGACCGCACATGCTGACAGGCAACAGTCCTGCTTTACATGTCGCATCTCCGACGCCCCGACCGCGAATCCGCAGGCTGCCAACCATGAGCAACCTCGGCCCACCCGGATCGGCCCACCTTGATGTACTCGTCTAGCCCCATGACACCCGACCGGTCGAAGTCCAGGTACGTGAACCAGCTGTCCACTTCATGTTTCCGCGGCTGGCGACCCAGGACGTCCTGCGCAACGCTCGGCAAAAGAACAAGGGCGCAGGTAGGGGTGTGGATGGTAGGATCCATAGAAGGGTATTGTTCTCATTCGCTCCTACTTCCCACGTGGTCCTGTACCCGTTATAGTGTGCAGCTATAGACGCAGGCCCAAAGCCGGATACTGGATGCGCCCATGCACCGCCTTCGCTTCAGCATGATCCTGCTGAGTTCTTTGCGTCGGTGGGTCTTTCCTTGCGTTGGTCGGCAGTCCTTACCCACGACCTTGTGGATGGCAGTGCACGTATTAGCCCCATACCCCGTGCCTTACACCACAGTCATATCTGGCCCCGAAGACCTTGCGTAAACAATGCACCGATTTGCGTGAAAGAAACCCAGTCGCGTACCTTCAGCATGTCCCCGAGCTTGGCTCGCACTATGTGAGAGTCCCCGTTGACCTCCAGCGTGACAGAGATGTCTGAGTCTCCAATAAGGTATTTGTTGAATACTTCCACATAGTGATCCAAAGGGAAGTTATGGAATACATACTCATGGTTGGTTTTCTTCGCTTCGCGAATAGGGTCTTGTGGACCAAGCGATGTCAGACCAAAAAAGGCCTGTGTAGAAGGACAGTAATGAGGGCTTTTTTCTGCAAGAAGCAGCAACTACTGTGCGCGTACCATGAGGTCCAAAGCGATCGCAGTCCAGCCCTCTACGCAGTATAAGATAGTAGGACTAATATTTAATCGATAAGGGTTATGTTGTGTTAATTAAAGCAACACGTGGAGTCGCAGCGTCCGCTCCATATAAGTTGCCACGACGTTTCCCCCGTTACTGATAACGAGCAACCTTCAGCTCCTAGGGACACTTGCGCCAGTCCTGTTCAGCAGGTAATTCCCTGAAACGAGTACCAAGTTGTACGACGCCGTATCATCTTGCCATAGAAGCCGATTCCGTTCCCGCGACCCACTCCTTCGCAGTCAGCAAGCAGAACCTACTAGCGCTATCATCCTAGAGAACATGTACAGAGAACATGTGCACCGTCCTATATGGGCTACGGTGATGTACGACGTGATCCCCGAGCGGTTGGAGCGGTCGGTTCCGGCGGAGCCACTGTCTCGTCGTTCGTCTTTCAGTGTCCAAAGGTACTGCTGGGGTACTGACTTTGCACGATGCTTCTTGTACATTTCGGTGCAAGTTTCTGCTTTCCTTTAGTGCCCGTCAAAGCCGTTGTGCTGTGCTTATGGAATGTGCATCGTGAAGGTAGTACGGCAAGCAGAAAAGTACGATTTGCATATTACAGGGTTCTCCGCACTAGCAGCCCTGCTCGTGACACCCAACCAGCACCCTTCGCTGCCGCCGCAGCAGCAGTAGCGTCAAGCGCTGATGGCATATCACGCGGTGGTCAATAACATAGCCCTCGCACACACAACTGTACAGAACGTCGCAGACACAGCCGCTCGTCAGTCAAGACACGCCTCGTCGCCAAAACTGGTTCCCCTCGCGAGGATTGGTTCATGATGGTGTAGTACAACGCTTGCTTGGGCCTGCGCGCCTGGCCGCCCTCCTGGGGCCGTCAAGCCGGTCCGCAAGCCCGCCATGCTATGCAGCTCGTTGCGCCGGATAGCACACCAAGCGTGGAGTCAGGAGATTGAAGAAGTCAGCTTCTCGTTTAGAAGAAGGGGACGGAGACGCCGTTGGTGGCGAAGTTGGCGCCCCAAGGGTTGGCCAGGTGCTCGCTCAGAGCTGTGTAGTGGGGGGGAGCGGGCGTGGGCAGCAGCGTGGTCAGCGTGCGGTCTGGCTGGGTGGTCGCGTCGGAACAGCAGAACCAAACAAACAAATACATGGCAGGAACCTACGCAATCGAGACGTGAAAACGTTTGCCGCTGCAAACGTGCGACCTCCGTTACCTAGTTGCATGACGCAACCCAACCCGCACACAAACGGCTGCAAGGTAAGCCACCTTCCCACTCACCAGCCAGGGGGCTCTTGCCTGTAGACCGGTCGATGTTTGCAACGGGGAAATGGGGAGGGGACGTGGGAGGAGTTAGATCCAGTGACAGTGCACGGCAGCCATTAGCAGGTCAGGCAGTGCACCAACGCAACCACAGCATATACCCCATGATCTTCAAAATCAAGTGCCGACCCCCGCGCTGCCACATGCCGCCTCCTCCCTACTCACCGGTAGCGGCGTGCTGGGCAACGAAGCCAATGAAGGCAAGCATGGCCAGGCGGCCGTTCTTGATCTCCTTCAGCTTCAGCTCACCAGCCTTGGAGGAGTCCTTGGCGAAGCTGCAAGGGGCGGACACAGCCGCATGCACGCAATGTTACAGTAGGAGGGCGGTGCTAAATCGGGCCTGCTAATGAGCACTACGTGAACAGCAGAGCGCGGCGCGGAAAGCACAGGAAGCCACTCAGTCACTCACCCAAGGGGGTCGAAGGCACCACCGGGGTAGACAACACCGCCGGCGTCGTTGCGCTGGGCCTCAGCAGCGGCCATGGCAATGAACTCCTGCGAGTGGGATGAGAAAGTCAAGAGTTTCCAGGTCAGGAAGGAGGAAGGCGAAGGGGCGCACGCCGGTACCTAACCACAGACAGCGGGGTGCAGAGGGGTGCAAGCACAGCAGGGTGGCGGGTACTTACGAAGGCCAGCAGGGCGTTCAGGTCGAAGGGCACCTCAATGCCGAACCAGGTGGCCTTGCCGCCGTTCACGGCCTGCGAGGGCACGAAGAAACCAGATCAAGGATATTGCTGCAATCGCTGCTTAATCGCCTCATGTAAGCCAAATCCTTTGTTTTTTACTTACCCACAGAGGAGCATCGTACCAGTTGCCGAAGCCCAGCAGCTCAACACCCAGGCAGCCGGCCACACCCAGCATCGCCCAGCGGCCTACACCGCGAAGCGCAAAGTCGCATTAACAACCCATTCCAGATCCGTTGCTGAATACACATGAAGATCCTAAGCAGCGGAAGAGCGGGTCCGATTGTTGCAAGCAAGCATGTCGCTCAAGACGGACGGCTTACCATGGATGACCTCAGACTCAGTGAAGCTGTATAACGACGTTGTTGTAAACGACCATGTAACGCAGGCAAAGTAGTAGTTAGTGCGTGCATAGCGACCAAAAGCGCCAGCGCTCGCTGATGCTTGCTACTTTTTGTCCTTTTCACGTACCGCTTCAGGCTGGCGGGCTCCTTAGCCAGGGCAAGGGGGTCGAAGCCGTAGTTGCTGCGATCATAGACAAAGCGTAAGCGATATGCGCGCTGGCAATGTAAATTTCCTGTAGACTCACCCTGGCAGGTCCTCGGGCAGCCAGGCGGGGGCCTCAGAGCCGGGCAGCCAGTTGCCGGCCTTCATCACGGTGCGGCAGCCATTGCTCACGGCGGAAACGCGGCGGCCCGCGAAGCCGCGAGGAGCGGCAGTCTTAGCCGACAGGGTGCGCATAGAGATGGCCATTTTTGCTAGTTGTGAGTTATTGCTATGCAACGTCCTGTGACCACTGCGTTCACTCAGCCCACTTCAAGGCTTAAACGCGACAACAATCTAGGCTGCCGTACAGATCGTGGTTTCTGAGCGTCCAAGTTGATCCGGGCATTCTTTCCCACAGTACCGTCAAGTTAAGAGCGATACCACTTACATATGCTCTCTGTTTCTGTATATGAAATTTACTCATGCTTGTAAGCGTCTGTCGACACGGCGGTACTTGCGAACATAATTCCTGTGAAGTAGACCTGCTACGTAATCCTGAGGCAAGCATCAAATGAGTCCGGAGATGAACGATCAATGGAAGGCTGCAGTGCTAAGGTCGGGGTCGTATTGGCTTAAATGACCATTGTCATAGCAATTTCCTACCTTCGTTACTGGAAAGCAGCAAGCGTGGATGTTCGCATACTGTTTAAAGGGGCCTCGCCAATGCAACGAGCCCATACCATAAGCATTGCATTCGCAAGGACGGCGCTGGGTGACTTTTCGGTCACACCATGACAAGCGCAACTCCGGACCACAACAACAGATATGCGACTCCCTGAGGCGACAGCATTCCGTCTCACCGTGAGATTATTTATGCCGTGTTTTTCCTCTATCACCTGCGCAACTGACAAGCAGCACCAAACCCTAACCATGGCCTCGATCCCAGGGCCCTGTGACGCACTAATGATCCTTATGGTTGTCCCAGTTCAATGCACGCGCGACAAGTCAAGCCGCCTTTCACCGGTATTGCATTGAATGGTGGTGGATACCGATACCTAAAGGACACCCAACAGCACGGCTCTTGACTCCCATTGGGCTCCCAGACGTCATGCATTTGCCGATGCCAAGCACGAACAGCCGTCCGTCATCATGTTACCGTGCCTAGGTCAGTTGGTATGACCCCAGCCTCTATACAGTACCGTACACCCCTCGTTTCATTATAATCCACACTGCCCCTCCCTGTAGGAGGAAGTCCTTCATTCTATAGCCCACGCAGGCCTTCACCCCATGCAACATCCCAAATGCGCCACCAACTGTAAATCTCCGCCCTACCCACGGCACTAGACCTGATCCCCTGCTGACGGCCTTAACCCCTCAAGGAACGCCACCACCGCCGCCACCCCCTGCTCCTCATACCCCGCCAAGTTGTGTGGCGCCCCCTGAACCACATGGATAGCGGCGTTGGCTCCTATCGCACGTTGCATTGCCGCAACGCGGTCCGCCACCCGGTCCGGCTTCGGTCCGCATTCGTCCGCCCCCGACACGAGCAGCAGGCAGGGTCGAGAGCCAGCCGGACCCAGGATGCGCTGCGTGAGGGAGCGGGAGAGGGGGAACCCGGGGACACGTACCGGTACGTATGCGGGCCAGCTCAGTATGTGTGGTCCGAACGTCCTACATGGTTTTGTGCAGCATGCGGTGATGTGCAGACCCATGCTCATTACAGATATTGAGCGCATCAAGGCTGTTGATGTCTCACATGCTGCCGTGGCGTCCACCAACGCTACACATGATGGCGCGTTAGGCTCGCTCCGACGCGTTGCGCGCGCTTTCCACCACCCACCTGCACAGCTTCCTCCGGCAGCCCCTCTGAAAACATGTCATCGTCTCCGCCCAGCTCATACAAGGACAGCAGCCGCGCTGCGGACATGGGCGCACTGTCCGCCACCTGCAGCCGGCACACGACCTCCTCCCCCCGCCCCGCAGCCACCAGCTCCCGCGCCCGCTGCACGTGCGGCGCCAGGCACGGGTACCCCGCGAGCCACTCATGGTCCGATACCTGCAGCGACGGGGTCACATACCGGCCAGAAGTCAGACTACTCTCCAGCTGCTACTGGGGTAGCATGTCGCCTAAGTCGGAAGCATGGGCCGCTGCCAAAAAGCGCTCACGCAAGAGAAGGACCGCACCCAGGCATCGAACAAGCTACCGGTATGTGTCCCTCTTCCCTGGGGCTAGAACCGATTAAAGCCATAGCCTACCGGCGCTTGTAAGATGGTCGCCAGGATCTCGGGCAGCGGCCCCTCTTGCTCCGCCTCCTCCCGACCCGCGGGTCCGTAGCGCTGCATGTAGCGCACCGCATCCTGGCAGCCTGTGGAGTGGCCCAGCAGCACCACCCCGCTGACCCCGTGCTGCCGCCGCAGGTGCTGGCACAGCAGGCGGAGGTCGGCGGCGTCCCGGTCCAAGCTGCCCGTGCCGTAGCCCTGAGGCAGCAGGCATTGCAGGACAGGGGACTTCCTCGACCGGCAGTGGTGGAAGCTCAATGACCGGCAACAAAGCTAAGGAAATATCCTCGCAATGTTACAGTCTCGGGAGTAGGCGAAAGAGTCGTATGCATAGCGTGGCTGGTACCTCTCACGTCCTCAGAGCCGTATGGCCTCCATGCGACAGTTTGCAGTTCACTGCAGGCCTTCAGACTCATAATCCTTACAGAAGCCCTGCAAATACCTAAGCGTGATGCAGCTCTGATTCTCATCACCGCTTGCAAACACCCACACCGTAACATGAGCTACGCTACCCACGGGCTACAGGCACGTGGTGTTTACGGGGCCATGTAAAACTGGTCACTGCAACACTCCGCAGCCAGCCTGAGGAAGCGAGGATACGTTCCAGCTCCCTAGCCCCGGCCAGCGCCTTGTGGACTCGCCCACCTGCCACGAGGACTGAATGGACGCATGCACCACCAGCCAGCCCCGCCGCGACAGCTCCTCTGACAGCGGCACAACGTACGGTGCGAACAGCAGCCCATCCGTAAGTCCACCGATTAGCACGATAGCTCGCTTAGGAGAATTGTATGAGGACTCAGCATATCTTGCTAAGAGCGCAACTTGCGGACCGGCGTTACCATATCGCACTAGCGACCCGGAAACTTCCATCGTAAACAGCAGCAGTAAAATTTAGCGCAGTAACTGCTATCCGCAGTGTTTGTTACAGGCTAAGCTCCCATCATTTTCCTTCTACTGGATCCGGAGAATCGTCATATTCCGTACAGACAGTACAGGAAAGGCGGTAATCTGTAGAGAGAGACCAAGGCATAAAAGCGAGCTGCTTTCAGCTGCTTTTATCTTTTTCCGGCAATCTTAAAGGCTTCGAGCAATGCCGTGGACGGAACCCAAACGTGCGCCGGCACCTTCCCCTCCCCAGCTTCCGGTCCGAGATCAGCTTGCGCCGCCCCGTTGCTAGCAGCCCCCTGATCCAGCGCAAAAGTATCGCCTCGCGACGCCGCCTCCCCATCAGCCCTGCCCGCTGCCCCCGGTGCTGCTCCTGGGGGTCCTGGCTTTACCCCTGCCGGGCCACCTGGGCGGCTTTGGACAGAGGAAGCCACAGACAGCTCGGTAGCCCCTGCCTGCTGCTCTGCCCTTGCTGAAGCATTCTCCCGCACGGTTGGGCCTATCATGGGCGTTCTTCCTGTCCCAAGAAGCCCCGATGGTGCTGATGCGTCGTCCAGCCGAGCCGTGCGGCTGCCTGGAGGACCAGCGCCCCGCAACTGCGGTGCCGCCATGGCGGCAGCATCGCCGGCGCACAGGTCCTCCTGGTGGGGTGGCGGCGGCACCTCCAACACCAGGTCAAGGTGCGCGTGCGGAAGCGAGCCTGCAGTGAAAGCCATGGGTACCGGAGGCAGGGCTGCGGAGTGAAGCCACATCGGGTCCCCGGGGCCAGTCGCTGCCAGCTGCTGGTAGTAGCCCGGATCGAGGAATGGCCCCGCTGTGAGGGGCAGCGTTGAGTCCCCGACCGGAGCAGCACCGGGCGGCATCCACATGAGTGCAGCGGGGTCAACCAGGGTTTCGCCTGCGTTTGCATGTGCCGGCTGGAACGGCTGGTGGCTATCCAGTAGGTAGGCGTGTGCGAGTGCGGTGTGCGCCTGCGCGGGGCCGGGGCCGTCAGCCCTGTCAGCAGGTCCGATGCCTGCGGACAGGCCGTGCAGCTGTGCCCGGAGCAGTCGGCTCTGGGCCAGGAGCTGCGAGGAGGCGTCGTCGACGACGTCAGGAGCTGGCGGGGGTTGAAGCATACTACCTGCGGTTGTAAGGGACAGCAGGAGGGAGGTACCGGTAAGAAAGCGTACCGGTGCTGCCCGCACGCGACATGCGGCACGATAGTTCCGTACCATGCTTCAGACGGCAAAAGCACACGCGGGGCAGGGTAACAAGTGTACCCCTTACTCCGCATTGGCCCTCCAGCAGCGGTACCGGTATAGCGGTAGCCCCGCTGTCTGCTGCGCACTCATGCCGCGCACCCACCTGCTTTCCCCGCGCCAGCCCCCACCAGGCTGCTGCTGTCCTCCAGCACCTGCTGCGTGCGCTCCACCTGCTGCGCCACCAGCTGCGTGCCCTCAGCCAGCGCCTGCAGCCGCGGACCCAGCTGCCGTACCACGCTGCGCGGCACCTCCGACAGCAGCGTGTGGAGGGCCTGCTGGTGGCGCTTGTCCTGTGGGAGGGGGACGGGGGCCCGAGGGGAAAATAAATGAGCAACTGGGAGGCGGGGGAGGGAGGATTAGGTTTGGGAATTGGGTTAGCCAGAAAGCCATGAAGAGGGCGGCTTGATCGGGTGAGGATTCGTAGCCATGGTAGGCAGCAAGTGCTGCTCCCTTACACAGATGGGCTACCCGCCATCACGCCACACAGGCCATTAGCCCAGTCCGTCGGCAACAACCTCGCACCTCAATCCTGCTCAGTGCACTAGCCGCCAGCGCCTGCCGTGTCAGCCGCGCCCGCTCCGCCTCCGACTGCTGCAGCTGCTGCTGCATGCCGCCCAGCTGCCGCTCGTACGCCCCCAGCGTCACGCTGGAGGCCTCGTGCGTCCTGGCTAGCTCCGCCGCCAGCACCCGCTGCTGCACGGTGAGCTGCGTCACGGCATCCGCACTGTGCTGCGCGACCCGGTGCACGCCCACGGCAGTTGCCTTGACGTCTGAGGCCGGTAGGAGGCATGGCAGCAAGGGCCGCGATGTGGTTCGCACTAAGCATTAGGAGGGTGCACGGCGGTGTAGTGAATTGCAGCTGTGCAGCTACATATACCCTTTTCAACTCCAAGTGATACTAGGTGACATCTGACGTCAGCATGGCCTGGGATGGTATTACAGGCAAAAGACCGCTCCCTGAAACAGGATCGGGCCACATCGTTCCTAAGTAACCTTGCAACCATAGCGAAGCGCAACGGGGCGTACCTACCTTCCAGGATCACCCGCTGGTCTGCGAACTGCTCCCGTGTCGCCTCCAGCAGCCGCCTGGCGGCCTCCTGCTGCCCGCTGCTCACGTCGCCCGCCAGCGCCTCCAACGTCTCCCGCAGCTCCAGGTACACACCCCGCAGCGTGTCAACCTGGGGTCGCGGGGGGACACGCGTGTCTCCAAACCAAATATGACTCAGCACTTCAAGATCCCGCTGTCGTGTGAAGGCACAATGTACACTAGCCTCCACGAACTCAAGGCGCGCCTAGAAGACGCAGCTTACCGGTAATAAACAGTGATACAGTGGTAAAAGCACGAGCTCTGGCAGGGCCGTCCTAACATACCGCCTACAGCGCACAGTCCCCCACCTGCTGTGCCTTCTCCTGCAGCGCCGCCTGCGCTGCCTGCGCCTCCGCCAGAGCTCGCTCCATATTCTGCCGCGCAGCCGCCTCCGCCTCCCTGGCCGCCTGCGCCGCCTGCCGTGCGTCTGCAAGCGCCACCTCAGCCGTGTCCGCCCGCTTGGACTCCGACAGCAGGTGCTCCCGCAGGTCCTTGGAACTGCTCCGGGCAGAGGCAGGCATGGGAGCGAGGCGGGTGCGGAGTGAGGCGATGAACACAACAAGAGGTTTGATGTGCGACACTGTCTTGCCATGCGACGCTGTTGGGCGTTGGCAAGCATGCGACTGGCTTCCTAACCGCTGCATCCCACGCGCAGGTGCCTCTCCTCTGCCACTCCTCACCCCCGCACTCAATGCCCTTCCTAGCCCGGCCCCCCGCCCATCCCCCCCTGCCGCCATGCAACTGTGTAAGCGCCCTCACAGGTTGTCCTGGTGCGCCAGCATCTCCGTCTTCTGCCGCCGCATCTCTGCCAGCTGCTCCAGCGCGCCCTCCAGCTTTAAGTCCAGCAGCCGGCTCTGCTCAGCGGCCGACGACAGCTGCTGCATCAGCTGCAGCTTCTGCCCCGTCACCGCCGCCAGCTGCTGCTGCATGGTCCGCATGTGCTGCGCTGAGCCGTCGTCGACCTGGGGGAGACAGATTGCAAAGCCGTAAGCAGAGCAGTGCGGCGCACTTTGACAGTGAAGAAGAAGCAACTTGAGGGCATGTGCCTGAGGCCGGTTGCAGTGCCTCAATTACAAGGCCTCAAACGTGAACCCCGTATGCACGGCCGCAGGTGTCCACCCACCTGCACCTCCGCATGGCAGACGCTGGGCAGCTGGTACGCGCGCTCCGCTGCATCCAGCGCGTCAGCCACCTCAGTCAGCCGCGCTACTGCCTCAAAGTGGGGCCCCTGGATGGACGAGGAGGAGAAAGGCGTACGGTATGGTGGGTACCGGTATAGAGAGAAGTTATGGGTGGTTAGGCAAGGATTGTGGCACGACACTCTGTCACAAGTACGACAACATACGGCGGGTTAGTACCGGTAAGACATGCCGCGGGAGCACATCTCCGCTCCTACCCTGTGCATGTGCGCCTGCTTGAGCTTGCTGTCCGACACCGCCGGCCTGGCGCCCGAGGCGGGCCGGGAGGTGCGGCTGGTGACCAGGTGCTCCTCCAGCTGCGACCGCAGCAGCCGGTTCTCCCGGAGGAGCATCTCCCTGGGGCCGTGGAGGGGAAGCCGTGGAGGGCCGGTGCTTGCCAGATACCGGTTGTTTGCGAGATGGTGTGTGCTGTACAGCGGTGCGCATGGACCAACGTGCATGGCGTCCTGAGAACTAAAAGGCTATGAGGATGGAGATTAGGACTGCGGTGCATGGGTGTGTGCCCACCTTGACGCACCATACAGCGTGCTGGCCTTGTAGAGCTTCTTCTGGATGTGCGCATCCACCTGCACTGTGGGAGGTTGGGGCGCTGGGCTGGCGAGTATGGCTGGTACGGTGCTTAGACGTGTGCGTGCCATCGCTGTGTTCCCCTGCGGAGTCTTTCAGCAGTGTGATGGTGTGGCAGGTCAGACGGGCTACTGTTCCCTATAATGACGAAACCCAGGCCCGACGCCTTGGGTTATGTTGTTAGTTTCATGGAAGCACGTGCATTGATCGTACCTCTTCATCACTCCACTGACACGCTTTCAAAGCCGCCCTGAGGCAGTCGCAAACTTTGTCACTCTCCTGCAGGATGGCACACGCGACGCGGTGATGACCACGCTTGCCAGGGGCAGGCAGGGGTGCGTGGATGTATGCAAGGGACTACAAGGGTTTCACCTCGAGGTCTTTTTGCAGTTTCCTGTAGCGATCCAATCGGCCATCAGATTTCTGCTCGTCAACCTGTGCTTGAAGTTTACGAATTGTCGCTTGGAGCGACTTGATAGTCTCGGGTCCTGAAGTGCATGCAGTCAGCTGACGGTTGACCCAAGCCAGACCACCCAAATCGTAGTGTTTCTATCGACCCTCTTACCTCCTAATGCTAAATATTCTGTGAAAAGGCTGGAAAGTTCGCGTGATGTTGTTGCAGTTCGTCTGCTAGCCTCTCTCCATCGCCCCAGCAGTAAGGGCTCTCGGGGGCGCATTTATTTTTTCTATTTGGTTGCTAAGTAACACAAAAGGTGTCTATGCGTAGGGAGTTGCGGAGAACTGGGGCTCTTCTTCCCACATTATGCTTTAAGGGAGCAAAGAACAGTACTTCCAGAGTTGGGACATGAACAATAGTGCAAAGCGTGTAGTACTCATTACCAGATTGGAAGCTTGAGGCTGTCGAGGAGACAGCGTGTGTTTAAAATGGATTCTGACTAAGATCGTATGGAGGTCGGGCCTTGCCTGCAGGTGCGGGTTCAATGCATCCATTCCTGCGCAAATACACTTCAGCATCTTGAGGGCAAACATTTTTAATGTCAAGCCCCATTACATGGGCCGATGAGTGGGCAGGGGCCCCTGGGTCACTGCGTCTGCGTGTCAGGCTAAGGACACGGCACGCAAGGCTCGCAGTGTACAGAAAGGCAGGATAAGCGTACGTATAACAAGCTAGGGCATGGAGCTTGCACGTGTTGATGCTATTCATGTTGCTTTCGTGCTGCAGTGTTGCCAGTCTGCCGGCCGTCTGCCGTTGCCAGGCAGACTCTGCAGCTAGAAATGCCCGGAGGCATGCGCGCATACGTTTACAGCAATCTGGAAACGTCAGTCTACTCGGCACTTCTGGCTGGAAACTATCCTAACTGAATGGGCCACCCTGCCATAGAACCTCTGCCTATACCGGCAGTAAGCTTCATCGCCAGCCTTCAACTCGCCCTTACAGCTCGCATCCACGTCAGCGACGTCAGCAAGGGAAAGCACTAGCCTTTAGCTGCGCTAGCGAATTGTCCCAAATGTCTGGACCCAATTAAAATACCCCGGGGCACCGTAAGTGGGCATGCCAAAGCTACGGCCGGCGGGCGGTGCCAGCGTGCCACCCCACCCACCGCAGCGCTCCACCCAGCACCACCCCGTCCCTCGCGTAACGTGTTATGTGAGGTGCTTCCGATCTGCACCACCTACTGGCATCCACAGCTTGCCTTGGGCCGAAAACAGTGTGAAGGGTTGGTGGGGCTTCCCTACGTCGTGTCCTGGTGCAGCAACGGACACCCACAGGCAAGCACGGCAGCACCGGTAAGCCCCCGCGCAACTAGGGCAGAGACCGCTAAGTAGTACGTTCCATACAAGCAACACGTTACTTACCCTTCCCGTACACTCTTGCCTGACCGCTTGTAACTGAATACCCTTGCAAGCAAGCCTGCCAACCGTTTAGTGCTACCGCCAGCCACCCTGCCAGCATCCTCCCACCAACACGCAACGCGACAACACCTGCACGCTCTGCAACAGCCGTTTTACTGCCTACATCCGGGCGCAGCTCCCCACAGCTCATCCGGGCCATTCCCCGTCCCCCCCCTAACTACCATGCTACGTCTATCCCCGCACCCCGCACCCTCCACCTCCCTGCCCCCCTCCGCGCCCTAACGCGCCATATTTGCCTGGTCAGTTTTCTAACTTTTACCCATGCCCTAGTGCGCCTCCGTGAGGCTCTTGAACAGGTCTCCCAGCAGCCCCCCCAGCGCCCCGTTGCCGCGCCTCACGTTGAAGAAGCCCACCTCCACCCGCTCCAGCATGGGGCCCAGCGACTCGTCGCGCCGCAACACCTCGTCGCTGTAACGCTCGCGAGCCAGCTGGAACATGGCGTGCGCGCGGGGCGACTGACCGGCGTGCTCCAGGGCCTAGTGAGGGGGAGTGGGGGTGGGGATAAAGAGGAAGAAACTTGCCGTAAGGGGTGGCAGGTGGAGAAGTGGTAGAGGATGCAAGCTGCAGCACACCAGTATTGCGCGTGCGGTTGGAACGGCTGACATACACGCATGGGCGTTAGCCGTATTAACCGTGCTAGCTCTCAGGCGTGCACGCAAGCCGACCAGCCCCTCACCAGCAGCAGCAGCTCCGCAAAGTGCGATGTGGGGGTGTCCAGCGGGCCACTCAGCTGGCAGAAGGCGCGGGACACCGCCCTCGCGTGCGCCAGCTGCGCCGCCCTGCTGGAGGGGCTGGAGGCGGCCGCCAGCACCTGCAGCAGCGCACGCAGCAGCCACAGGTCCACCTCCGCGGCGGGGCCCGACTGGGCACAGGAGTGGAGTGCTACGCGAGGGGAAGGGGAGCGGAAAATTGTATGAGAAGGGAGCCAAGGCAAGCAAGGCAACCAAGGGGAGGGGAAGCGGATTGGGGTGACTGAGGCCGCGCGGTGGAAAAGCGAGAGAAAGGCCAAGGAGGAGGACAGAGCGAGGGTGCGGTGGTTGCGGGATGGACAAACGGGATAATGGGAGGCATTGGGAGGAGAGCTGGAGGCCAGCGGGCGGAGAGGGAGGCTCCCTCAGCCCTCACCTTCAGCAAACGTCTGTGCGTCGTCACTTCGGACAAAGTGCTGCAGCGCCCGGCCAAAGCCCTCAGCGCCCAGCGACTTCCAGAGGTAGGCCGCGAAGGCCGAGTGCATGCTGCGGGCCCCGGCTGCCGCGCCACACCTGCAAGGCCAGCGGTAGCAAGGCAGTCAGCACAGCCCTCAGCGCCACCGCCACTGCCCCTAGCACGCCCTGCCTTCATCCCGCCTTCCGCCCGAGGCGTAACCTTGTCCCTTAACCCGCCTAGCCGCCTTCGCCCTGATCCGGCGGGGATCACAGCTCCTCCGGCGCCTGCCGTGCCATCAGCACCCTCCCTCTCTCCCGCCCGCCCGCGCTGTCCCTCCATAATCGCGGGCTGCCTCCTTGAACCCGTTCCCCTTTCCCCGTCACCACATGTACATGGGCCTGTCGGCTACCGGGTACTGCAGTACACAAGGCACCAGGTTCCTAGCTTCCTTCCTCATACACCCATGCGGCTCAGTTGGCTTTCTCCCCTTCCAAGCAGCCCCCCCCGCCACACGCCCCATTGCAGGACTACACCCACTTGAGCGCCCACTTGACGGCTGTTGCCACCAGACGCGCGCACTCGTCCACCACAGCCGCCGCACTGCCCTGGCCTGCTGCGGAGCCCGCAGCCGCCTCGCCACCCGCGCGGGAGGGCGGCGGGAAGGCGTGGATAATCGCCAGCAAACGCGCTACGGACGCCTCGTCGGCGGGCGTGTCAGTGCTGGTATACGTCTGTACATGGGCGGGGCCGGGGGTGGAAAGGGACGTGGTTTGCGGGTTACGTTCTTGTGTGCAGCCGTCAGGCAGGCTAACATGCGATCGCACGCCCACGTACCTCCACCAGCAGCATCCCCAGCTCCACGCCGCATGTGGTTTGGCCGTACGATAGCTGCGTTACGGCACCTTCCTGCAGGGGTGGAGGCAGGGCACATGAGCGGAAGCAAGCAAGGGTGGAGCACGACAACCAAGGACTCAGGGTGCTACACCCAGATAAGGGTTGGCAACTGTCTTGCAGGTGTGTGAAGGGAGAGCGTCACGGACGGGCGAACATGGTCGGCCTAGCAAACTGGATGCGTTTGCATGCAAGGGTGTGTACGGCCGCGCAATCGTAACGCAAGCCGGGTATGGGCTGGGCTGGAATCCGGGAGCAATCGGAAACGGTAAGATCCTTAGCGCATTTAAGCGTTCAGGTACAACATCAGGTCTACGGGTGGCATCCGAAGCACCCACCTGTAGGATTTGGATTGCATCGCTTAGCTGCTTTCTGGCCTTGCTCCGATGGTACGACGTCTTGTACATCTGCTGAGCTTCATAGTAGGCCCCTGCCTCGACTGACCCCCTTATCCTCGCCAGCGTCTGCAAAGGGTGCCGTGCATATGTGTTGCACGCAGGTTGGGTGTGCATCAGTGGATGAGGCCATCGATTTTTACTATAAGAAGCATCATAGTAACAATGTACCTTTGCGACAGAAGATGCCATCGCAAAGGCCCGAGGGCCTGCGTTCCCTTACAGTCTTTGTTCCTTCCCTCGTAAATAAGGCACTGGCAATAGATCCTTCAAAGCACTAAGTAGAAGAAAGGTACTAGCAAAAGCAAGTATGCCTTTCACCGCACATCGGACATGTTCTTCCCGTACAACTCCAAACTTCTCAGTTAGCAGCCAGTCCTTCCAGCACAGAACTCAAGTTATTTCTTGTATTAACATATTGGTCGTTCAATGCTCTAGCCTCGGTACTGCTTCCTAGCCTTCCAACGAAAATGGACGCCGACCTGGCCAGCCTTTCCAAAGAGGAGCTCGTCTCCAAGTACAAAAAGCTAAAAGAGCTGGTTAGTAATTTAGTGCTTAGTTGTTTCGTTGCGTAACGTGGACAGCGCTCGTGGTTTCTCACTCAGCAACCGTCCCTTGGTGACGGGCCGCACGTGAAACTGCAGGCGGACTATGAGAGGCGCCGAGCGGATGGGCTTGCTGAAGAGCTTAAGCTGGCGAAGGAGCACAACGTGGTCGTGGTCAGTTCCGTAAACTCCGCCGCGCATTGTACTGGAGTAGCGCCAATTACGTGCTTTGACGTGCTGCCTTGCCCTGACGCGTACAGCAAAAGCAAATTGAGCAAGAGGAGGAGTACATCACTAACAAACTGATGAAGCGCCTGGACCAGCTGAAGAAGGAGAAAGCAGTGCTGGCCAGCGAGGTGCGCGCTAACGACGCGCGTTAAACGCTGCCCCACCGGGGCCCCCGGGGCTTAACACGCTGTACTTTTGGATTTCAGGTGGCGCAAGAGGAGGAGTTCCTAGCAAACACCCTGCAAAAGCGGCTGGAGAAGGTGTGTTGCGCAACATAGCTATGCAACCCAACCAGTCAATGACTCACCTACTTCCCGTGCGGGTTTGCAGCTGGCAAAGGAGAAGGTGGATTTGGAGAACCGCCTCGAGGCGGAGCAGGTGGGTTGTTAGGGTGTTGCGCAACGGGAGGGGCATACCCGGAGGAGGTTTAGGGTACCTGCCGTGCAGACGCTTACAGCAGACGCCTAACGCACGCGCGTGTCGTCCCTAGGACAAGTTTCCCTGCACAACCGTTACCTGTGCATGCCCTTCCGGACCCGTGGTGTACCTGACGCCTGCATGCTTGCAACTTGTCATCTCTCCTACCTGTTACCCTTGACAGGAGTATGTGGTCAACAAGCTCAGGAAGGCGATTGAGCAGCTCAGCGTGGTACGTTCCCAGGACAGCATCCCTTGGTTGGGCATGGTCCGCATGGGGCGCAATCACTACTGGCATGTGATCTAGGACTAGTGCGTAATTACGGGAACTGCGGCAGAGCGAGCAATGAAAATGAAATATCGGACGCATGTTCGGTTTGAAGCTGCTTTGGGGAGGGCACCGGTATGCGGTCCTTAGGGTGATCCAACATAACCGCGGCGGGGAAGGGCCTTTCGCGTGACGATGCGACCCTCATCCTCCTCACAGGAGAAGAACAAGCTCATGTGCGAGAAGGTGGAGCTGGAGAACCAGCTGGTAAGTCAACCCGCAGCAGGCTTGCCAGGCGCATAGAAAGCGTGCCGCAGCATCTCAGGCAGCCAGGACAGCACAGGCCAGCAGCTCCTGGCCAAAGCGGGAAGGAGCTGAATACATTGGTGCCTGTGGGGTTTGCTCCTGTGCAGGAGTGCGAGCAGGAGTACATCCTCAACCGCCTGCAGAAGCAGGTGGACAAGCTTGCAAGCGACAAGCTGGCGCTGCAGAAGGTACGTGATGCTTGGCATTTGGCCTGCTGGGAAAGCTCACACTGCGTGGCAAAGGGGGTTTGCCTGGGTCTTACCTTTGCTGACCTTATGTCGCGTAACTTGTTTATGACGCCCGTGCTGTTCCTCATGTGCGCAGGAGAAGGCGGAGCTGCAGCGGACGGTAAGCGGCGAAGCGGCTGTATGTGAGACGGTAAGCGCTTAAGGGAAATAGCTGTTAACGGTTTGCGCCTCAATGCAGGTGGCTGACCTGGCGGCGTCGGTCGACAGACTCAACAAGGTTAGTGCATTTGGGGGTAGGAGTTATCGGAACGAGCTGCCAGGAGACACTGGATTGGAGGGGGATTTAACCTTAAATCGGCGTGCCCTGCTATCCTGCCAGCGGCACTCGTTGGGGAGCCTGCAGTGTCGTTCTGTTGTCCTTGCCCACCGGCATCATCTCCAACATGCTTTTGTTCCTTTCGCATTACGCAGGACAAGGTCCAGCTGGAGAACACGCTGGAGGTGGAGGAGGAGAAGTAAGCGAAGGGGAATAATGCCGGCGAGGGAGCAATGCAAGTTCCTGTTCGGACAGTAGGGTTGATTGAGGCGTAGCTGGGCTGTTGCATGGTGGGCGGGTCTTGTCGGTACCCCCACGACTTGACGACACGGGGTTTGTCTTCCGCCGCAGCATCACGAACAAGCTACAACGGCGGCTGGAGGGCGTCGTGGCCAACCTGCGGCTAATTGAGACGAAGCTGGAGGCGAAGGGCATCTCCCTGGCGTCCCTGGGCATCACGGCGTCAGAGCTGCACAGCGAGTAAGGGCGTCAACGTGTTTTCACAACTCAGTCCCCTTTTTTTGCGTCACTTCTTGCCCCGGTCCCTTCGCCTTTGCCAACTGCGCTGCCCGTATTGACGTCCATCCATTCGCCGCCCTACAACTCTTATGCATGGTCTTTCAACGTGGCGCCTCCGGACGTTAGCTGGCCGCGAGTCTACAGCCGCAGCCCCTCCAGCACCAACAACTCCATGGACCGTGTGCTCAGCGGCGCGCTTAGCGGTGGCCCCGTACCAGCCCTGCACGTGACGCCGAGCGCCGGGGTAGCGATCACCGGCAGCCGGCGGGAGCGGCCACTCAGTGCGCAGAGCAACACCGTGGAGGCGTTGCTTGCCAAGTGATTGCGCCGTGGTGCGCAAGCGCTTCTTATATGCATGGGTGGTTTTGGGCGGATTGGAGTTTTCCTAACAATTTCGCAGGATTTTGTGTCGTAGTTTCCTAGCAATGTGTCCGGATACGTCTTAGTATAATGCTCATTTCATTGATCGTGTACACAAGAACTGCTCATTGCTATACGGAGCTTGCACTTAGTGATGCAGGGTGCCAATGGTTGTTTTCGGTTGGCATGGCACAAGTACGCAGACAGATAGGGATTAGACTGGATTGTACTTTACAAATTCGGCCCTTAAACAGCTGACAGCTGGCATGGACCTGACCCGCGACGTATTATACAGTGACTGGCACAGCAATTGCGTGCCAAAACACAAAGCCAACGGCTAGTGTAACTATAGGATGTCCTTGGGCGCGCACCCCTCGACGTATTTCAACCTGCCGTCCACCATGATGAACTGGTGGTCCACGTAATCATTCATGGGCTCAACAACCTGCACAGCTGCCTCAGTATTGCCTGTGTAAAGGAAAGCAACCTGTTAAGTGGCAAGGTAAGCATATCGGCATAGAGGCATTGCGCTTGCATGTCTGCTTACCTGCACTTTCTTTCTTCAGCCTGAGAATTCGAAGCGTTGTGGTCACAGCTGCTGTTTGCGACTGCCGCGGTTGGGCAGCGGTTGACACGCCAAATCCCTTTACGAAATACTGCACGCGCATCACAGCGAACACGAGCAGCGAAACGGCGGTGGCGACCGCAACCATCCAGATGGACGCAGAGTTGTAGTACTCCAACCGCAGCACGGGATACCTGGATGGATGCGTTGCGGTGTCCGCACGAACTGGAAGCGGCGGGGACCCGCCAAGGGCATCCGCAACCAGCGTTCCCTCCTGGAGCCCCTTCGCAGTGTACAATAGGACGCTGGCAGTCGCTACAGGCGACGGCTGTTCGTGTAGGGCCGCCACATCTGCTGCAGCCGGCGTCTGCTCCGATCCAGGAGCGGATACTAAGGATTGATCCTCGCTTGTTGGCACGATGAATAACGGCTCCACAGCTTCCGCACAAGCCGCCCCGATGGATGGCGGCTCCCCAGCTTCGGGCGCAACGAATAGTGGCTCCGGAGCCTCAGCATCAGCCGCGGTGGACGACAACTCCCCTGCCCTGGCATCAGCCGCGACGAACGACGGTCCCGGAGCTTCCAGAGCAATGGACGGCTCCGCCACGCCAGCATTAGGCGACAGATCGTGTGAAGCTGCCGCAGCGAAGGCGCCGCCCTCTGGGACCGTCTCAGCAAACATTGAGCTCGCTAGGACCATCTTTTGCTGCTCAGCGCCCTCTGCAGGAAGCGGTTGGGGTTCACTTCCTGCAAAGATAGGCTCCTCAACAACGGACTGCTTCCAGGTTTCGCATGAAGAGGGCTCGGCTGCGGCTTCTTCGTCATTGGTAAGCGACGATACGGCGTCTGCGTCCGCAAGAGGTCCATGCTCGCTAACTGACACCTCGAAGTCCCCAAGCGCGACCGATGAAGTAGCAAGCGGCTGCCCGCGTGATACAACTTCCTGGACTGTGGGGTGTACCTCAGCGGTTGGGGTGCCAGCTTGACGGACAACAGCGGCGCCAACCGTCGTACTGGCGTGCTTCCGCTGGAGCTGCGCGTTGCCGGGGAAAAGGTCGTCTTGGGCCAAGAGCAGCCCGTCTAGCAGGTGGCAGTTTGGAAGGCGAGCCCAGCAAAACGGCACGCGCGCAGAAGACAAGCCGAGCCTGTGATAACTGCAGGGAAGGTGAAAGGGGAAGCACTGTCAAGGAAGGGAACATATGTACGGTTGGCAATGCGGCACCCTTCACTGGAACTTGTACATGCAACCAGCCTAGGTTACACGGCATGTCCACTTGCGATGGTCCACAACCAATCCTCCCGCAGCAAGGGTCAAGCTTACCTTCCATCCCATGCTGTCGCCTGGGTAAATGCGTGCGTGCACTGTTCCGTAGAAACAAAGTCGGACGGCTCCGCCCCAAAGCCCGGGTTCCTGCAATGTGTACACCGGCAACCGTGTAAAACACTAAAACATACTTGATGTGCACAGGTCCACGGTTGCACGCATGCAACATAACACGCTGACTGCTGCTGCAGCGCCCAGGGCAAGCGCCGTCCTACCCGTGCGGCTGGTAAATAGCCGGTGCGACAAGGATGGCTAAGGTTGCGAGCAACACACACGACGCCACAGCCCAGAGCGTGCTGCTGGCCACTGCCCCCCTGTCGGAGCGTGGCTGCTCGCTACTCAGCGACCGCGCAGGGCCCGATGCCTGTGCTTTTGCGGGCTCCTGACCGAACCCCAAGCCTCGGCGGACGTGCTTGCGTTCGCTGGGGCGATGACCGGCAACCGCGCTGCCCTTGCCAGTCTTGCGTGGCGTCTGGTCAAGGCCTGCGTCCGGTCTGGTATCGTCTGCTTCCACTTGGCACGCTCCGACGTCCATGCTGGCAGGTGCCGCAGTGCTAGGAAGGATCGAAGCTGTAGCCTGGCAACCGCCGTCGCTGCAGCAGCGATTGAAATTGCTGGCGGCGTAAGCAGCAACAAGTGCCACGCAATCCTCGGCAACGTGCACGTCTGCATGAAGGCCAGTTGCCGCGCAGGGCGCTGCAGTTGACGGCCCCGAAGACGCTGGCACTTCATGTCCACTCAAACGTGCAGGCTTTGAGCCATCAGCGGGGAATGATTGCCCCTCCGCCTTACGCTCATCGCCACCTGCAGTTTCGCTGCATGCGATGGAGGAGACCCCGCCGTCTCGCACAGAGCTGCTCACCAGCGCTGATAGGGCAAGGATGGTCTGTCGAGGGCTCCATGCCTCAAAATGGACTGATCCTGGCGTTGTTAGTCCTGAGGGCGCTGGCGAGGGTGCAGCCGACGGGACATTACCTGGCTCCAGTTGTGCTCTAAACGTTGGGGCGCCATCGCCTGAAACGGAAGAGGCGGCGCAGTCGAGCTCCGTGCCGCATCCTCGTAGGTTGAGCTTTACGGCCGCCTCCGATGTCACACAACTTGTCTTTGTAGCCCCTTGGAGCTTTCGTGCAGTTCTGTGGGAGGCACGGTACCAGGAAGCCAAGAGGATGTTAACCTTTTGGTTTGCATATGATACGGCGTGTACAATCTAGGCGGATTAAGACAGGAACCAACCGTAATTTGAGGTAGCGAATATGCATGTCGTCGCTAGGGGTACGCGCGCAGTTAATACACATCTGAAGCGCACCTGGGGACGTATAGCGAGTTGTCCCAGAGGTGTAGAGTAGACCCGGGGTGGAGGCCAAAGTTCGCGGGTGGGCTGTCATACTCGTCGGAAGTAGGGGTTGAGAGTCCCCCATTCGATTTCGTTGGGGAGCCCCAGCGGAAGGATGGTTCTCCGGGCGTATCCGGTGATGCTACCTTATCTGCACGACCCGTGGAGGCTAGATGCGTGGCTGAAGGGAATGGGATACCTGCCACATAGCAAAGCAAGCATCGCATTAGCTTGGAAACGCGTGACCGTAAAACAGCAAAGAAACCGACAGCCATTGAAGATGCTTACCCGAGAAGTTGTTGGGGGTGAAGTCAGCTACAGAACCCGGCGCAAGAATCCTTGGTCGCAAAGGCGATGTGCTATCGAGAAGGCTCTGGCGGTCTGGACTTCCGGCGGGGTTGTATGTGCTAGACGCTGGCGAATGAACATCATCTATGTTGGGTGTGCTTTGCAGCGGGGCGGGCGCCTGAACTGGTGTGCCATCTGTTGTCGCTGCAGCAACACGGCGCCAATCACCCTGTCGAAGCGCCAGCGAGCCGCTGCTCATGAGCACCGCTCTACCGCCCTGAACGAAGAGCAAATTAACAGCTGACTAGGCAGTCCTGGCTTGCATAAGTTCCAAACTCAGCAATCTAGCAGGAATTCACCTGTAGCTGAGAGGATCGCGTCCTTTCCTGGCTAGCAACCCAGACGCTAGAGCTTGCAAGCTCGTCATCACTATTTTCCCGACTCATAATGACAGGAAACAGTGTTCTTTTTTATTGTACGTGGCTATTGTAGTGTAGCAAGGGTTTAAGAGTGTGGCGCCCGAGCATAATACGTTTACTGGCACTATAACTCTTCAAACTGCGCGATCCAGGGCTCTTGCCGTACCACAGTATACTATATAAGCCAGGAGCCCGTTTAATGTCTTACAGTGCAAGCTAAGGCTACATCGACTTGGATGGCCCTTCCTATGAATGTCAGCGAGCCAAAAGCTGAACCGTGTCGTATGACGCGGTGATGATACATAACCGAGTTTTCAATATGAGGCTGTACACAGGGCAACCAGTTGATTAGCTTCAAGCAAAGAGGAGCACAGTCTGTATGGTAGGCTAGATCGCGAAGCACCGTGAGACGCATTGGGTGACAACGAGCCAAATCTGAGCGTTTAGACAACGCAATGATGGATAACCCTTTACTGAGAATTGGAAGCAACCCTGCGTCGGTGCTTGGACCTGTCCCATCGGACTGCTGCACTCGTGCCCTCACGTCTGGCGCGCCTGCGCACGGTAGCGTAGCGGGGCTTTATGGTATGGACTGGCGTTGTGCTCTTGAACCCTCTGAGATGTTTGAACGGGCCTCTGAGCATACTCTCCGGTATAGGAGATAGGCGATGACGAAACCCAAGCGAGACCGAGAGGTCCACGATGTAGCACGGTGCAACCCCCATGCCCCCGCGTATCGCTGCTTGCCTTCGCTACCTGCGTGTTGCGGTGCGATGCACCCGCTTCCGAGCGCTGTCAACACGGGCAATGATTACAACATATCAAGGCAAAGACGCAAGAGTGCGTATGATGGATTTGGTGCCGTGCGACCCTTTCGAGGGACGTGCCATACCATTTCAGCCTTGGATGAGCCCTATCATCATGATCTGTTCTTGCATTTCTAGGAACGGCATCTTCACCCGTTTAGCTCACGGGTTGACATTGGCATGTGATGACATGAATGCATTTGTATTCTGTTGATGTGTAGACCGGTAGATCAGCGGCCTCTTGACAATTTGCAGATACATGTGCGGCTATGGCCATTGTATCCAATTATTGCAACCTGACATCCCCGGGCAGGAGTGGTGTAAAAGTAGTTTCATGAAGATCTCATGCCACATTTCTTGACGGGCCACCCCCCACCTCCCCAAACTACTGTACGGCACAGGCTTTTTGTGTACGAAACTACATTTCTGCGTTGACCTCCGGGGGGGCCCGGGAGGAGCATGAGATGCAGAATACCCCCCCTGCCACAGGCATGGCTTTTGCACTCTGGCACAACCAGGCATAGCAAAATGTTATAGGACATTTGTGCATAATCATTCCTTACATATACACCATGTTATACAAGGCGTAGATATCGTTCACCATGGGGCGTTGCTGCCCACTTTAGCACGGGCTTTCCGCCCCGGAAAAAACACCGGTTGGTGTACTTGGGCGCAATGCGCACCCAAAATGCTGCAGTCAAGAAGCAAACAAATCATGAACACATACATCACCCTGCATAACATCTGTCACCTGAACTCAGCAAGTGAAAGGACCGAACTTCTGGACAGAGTACCGGTATCCAAGTCCTACCCGAAACGTCCCCATACATGAACCTTAAGGGGAGTCGCGCTGGGGTTACAGGGTCGCGAGAAAACCCCCATAAACCCCGCCCACACCATGCAAGCATTGGAACGTGTCCGACCGTCTGCTTAGTGCTCGAACTGCTCCTCCTCCGTGCTGCCCTTGAGCGCGCACACCGACGAGGTGCCCTGGCTAATCACGTTGCTGATCAGGTCGAAGTAGCCGGTGCCCACAAACTTCTGGTGGGTAGTGGCGCGGTAGCCGTCCTTCTCGGCAGCGAACTCGTTGGACTGCAGCTCAGCGTAGGCAGACATGCCTGCGGGGAACAAAAGACAGGGCCCAGTCTTAGTAATAGCTATTAATTCTTAGTGAAGCTAATGAGACGGCATGCAAGTGCCCAAGTTATTCCAGCCCAACATCCGGACCAAAATCCTACCGCGCTGGGCGTAGTCCTTGGCCAGGCTGAACATCGAGAAGTTCAGGGCGTGGAAGCCGGCCAGAGTAATGAACTGGAACTTGAAGCCCCAGCTGCCCAGGGTGGCCTGGAAGCGGGCAATGTCCTCATCGGACAGCTTCTTCTTCCAGTTGAACGACGGCGAGCAGTTGTAGGCCAGCAGCTTGCCAGGGTACTTGGCGTGGATGGCCTCAGCGAACCTGCAACGCAAGTAACATTCCGAAACTTACAAAAGAGCATCTACTTCGGCATGGTAAAGGGTTTCGGGTTTATGGGTGAAGGTTTATGAGGCTTGAGTTAACCTAGACCTATGGTTTCACACGTGATCCATGCATTGAGCTACCGGTATGCGGAGGAAGTGCGCATCTCTACTTACTTCTTGGCCTCCTCCATGTTGGGCTCGCCGGTCTCGAACCAGACCAGGTCAGCGTAAGGAGCGTAAGCCAGGCCACGGGCAATAGCGGCGTCAATGCCACCACGCACGCGGAAGAAGCCCTCAGCGGTGCGCTCACCTGCACAAAATGGAGCATTTGTTAACACAGAACAGATCAAGTCTGCTAACCTCCGGTATGCATTGCTTGTGGAGCAACACCAATCATGGCCGCCTCACCGGTCATGAAGGCCTTGTCGCGCTCATCAGCATCGCTGGTGAGCAGGTAAGCACCCAGAGCATCAGTGCGGGCCACGATGAGGGTGGGCACGTCCATGACGTCAGCAGCCAGGCGGGCAGCCTGCAGCTTCTGCACGAACTCGCCGGTGGGAACCAGCACCTTGCCACCCATGTGGCCGCACTTCTTAGCGGAGGCCAGCTGGTCCTCGAAGTGCACGCCAGCGGCGCCGGCCGCAATCATGGCCTTCATCAGCTGCATGGGAAAAAGAAGGCCGTTCAAAGGCTATAACTACCATACTCACAAATAAAATATGATTCCCCAGGCAAAACCCGCACCTCGTAGGCGTTCAGGTTGCCACCGAAGCCAGCCTCAGCATCGGCAACGATGGGGGCGAACCAGTGGATGTCGCTCTTGCCCTCGGAGTGCTGCATCTGGTCCATGCGCTGTAAAGGGAAACAAATGTGGACAAAAGGGAATAAGTTAGAGAAAAGCGGGACAAAAGATGATCCCATGATCTCATCTCAAAGGTTATTGCCAGAAAAAGAAACGAAAGACTTCACTATACTGCTTACCTCGAAGGCGTTGTTGATGCGCGTAACAATGCGGGGCACCGAGTCGACCGGGTACAGAGACTGGTCCGGGTAGGTCTGCGATGAAGGGAAATGGAAGGTACCGGTAAGCGTGTATCCCAAAACTGCACATACCCAGTAGCTTAAGGATACAAGTAATACACACCTGCAGAGCCGAGTTGGCATCGGCGGCAACCTGCCAGCCAGACAGGTAGATGGCCTTCAGGCCGGCCGCAACCGACTCGACGGCCTGACCACCTGCAGGGACCGAGGAGGAAATATACATTATTAGGTTTACATGCAAAGACTGTCAAGTACAAGACAGCGTGCTGTGACGAGGCCTTGTCCATCATCACGCCTTTTGCCGACACCCGTTTCGTTACGGCCAAACACCTTTGTTCCCATTCTGTAAGCATCCTGCCCAATATGCTCTAAGAACTTTTAAGCTCTAGATGGAACCCAGTATCGAGAAACTGACCGGTCATAGCGCCGAGCGCCGGAATGTAGGGCTCGGTGTGCAGCAGCTGCCAAAGGCGCTCAGCACCCAGGCGGGCGACGGTGTACTCGATCTTAATAGAGCCACGCAGCTTCTCCACATCCTGGCTGGAGTACACGCGCTGAACGCCCTCCCAGCGAGCAGGAACGGTGGCGGCCATGGCTGCTAATATATATATTACGATCGAGGCGAAGCAGTGGACAACTGCTTGTAGTGTGAGGCTGAACTATGCGACCTCCGCACCTAATAATGGGCCCGTCGTACAGCCGTTACAGCAGGTTGCTGACGTTTCCGTGATTTTTTACTTCCATGGGTAGATAATGAAGGTTAACATGCACTTAACCTATCACGTTGCGCATGGGCCATGCGAGATTTTGCTGAAGTCAGGCCGCAGCCTTTTGCGACGGCGATTATGGACATTACGGAATCAAGGTTGTCTTTGGACGTCTTTTGTGTCCTAAAGTATTTGCTAGGGGCCAGGTGTAAGACATGCAATCGCAGCGCTTCTCAGCTTGCCGATGCGAACATCTGGGTTTCCTTTATTTTAAGGTGAAAGCCTAGGAAGCAGTGTAACAACGGTCGTGCCCTAGGCCGAGTGTCTGGTAATAGAGCCCCACTCTTACGTATGGTCACGCTTGGGCTAGTTGGTACTTCTAGGATGGGCAAAACTAGTGTGTTTCCGTGTGCCCTGTTGCATCAAACTTCGCTGCATTGCAATGCTGTCTCGACTTGCGGCTTTGGGTTTGGGTTTGGTCCTCCCTGCATACCGGTACCATGACATGCCCCGGGGGTATCACGTTACATACATACATTTCTTATATCGGTAATAGTACTTTCCAAACTCACCAATCCACCGACTCGCCGTCCCAACCAGTTGAAAGCACGGGGACATTGTACTGAGTACACTTTCATGTTTGGGCCCAGTCACTGGCGAGGGGTTGCGGCCTTGGCACCTCATTGTCTTCAACCCAGCTTGGAGCCAGGAATGCTCTAAACGAGTGGTAATTGCAGGAAAGTTTCAACGGTGATAGCCACACCCGGCATGGCCGTGCAACAGATAGGACATAGTTCAATTCGGACTGGCGCGTAACTGCAGAAAGCCACAACGCGCGTCCATTACTAAGGAAAGCACTTTGATGTAAGGAACAGAAAGTAACAAGTTTGCAGCAAAACAACCCTAGGATCTTAATCTGCCCTCAAACGCTCGCGCCTTGGCACTTAGGAAATCCTATTCAATACTTGAGCCATTCCCACACGGAAAGGGAAGCCGAATACGTGTTCGTAGCCAAGATGAACAGTATAAGACTTACTATGAGCCGTGTAGAGCTGTTCGCCACCCTGTACGGCAGTGTACGTCAACAATACGTTCCCCAAGCTTCACTTTTGCCACGTCGGACCCTTCATGCACGAGACGGCGTACGACGTCAGCAAAGTGTGCAGTATGATTCCCAATAACATGCCACTGCAATAAAAATAACCCCTCTGCACATACGTTCGCGTTACCATACGGTTCGTCACATAGTCCTCTCAAGCCCCTGATGCCCAGAACCCACTTCTCCGCACCCCCCTGCAGTAAATCGCCATGAGCCTCGACAAGACCCCCACAGCCTCGAACGGAAGAGACCCTCAGTTCTAGACACTGGTCCACGTACAATTATTGCAGTTCTCCCCAAGCATGGGCCGGCCGAGTAGCCCCCACCATGGTGACGGCGTGTACTCTCGTGGGATGCTCGACAGCGCGCAGCTGCGTCCGCCCAGCTGATTGCCTTTATTTCCAGGATACTCAGCACATATTTCAAGACTCCACTCTGGGGTTTGTTCGCCTCGAAAGAAGGGAATCACAGAAAGACCATGACAGCTCACTGTCTCTTCTGCTTGACCGCAAGGTGACAAGCACCCAGCAGCACAAACTAGGCTGTATTTCGCGCTTTGCGGACGTGGTGCAGCCGCCTTCGCTGTCATAAGCACCTCATACCTGGCAGCTGGTGCCCGTGTTGCCAAAGCTAGCCAGGGGCACAGCAGCGACAACCGAGCGACCCTCGGGTCGGTCCTCGTCCAGCAGTCCGGCTCGCTCATAGGGACCAGCCCATCCGTCCCTGATCGTGTAGTACGTCTGGAAGCCCAGGAATGCTGCGGATACACAAGGGTGAAATAGTCTGGGGTCAGGTGCTTTACGCTGCGAAAACTCCTATCGATAACACAGGAAGCCTTGACCCCATGCACATCGCAGGCGCCCCAACCGCCTTGCTCCCTCACGCACCTACGAACATGAACGCCAGCACCACCACAACCAGGAACACCAGCACCACGGGCATCATCATGGAGGGGCCCATGTCATTGCCCCCCATCTCGTCCCATGCGGTGCGGTCTGCAACGCATGTAGGAGTGTGGAGGGCGGGTATGGAGGCAGCAGGTAGGGCTAGGGTAAGGGACCATCGAAACACCTTCGGTGAATGGTGCAGCGCGTGTCGAGGGAAGCGTATTGCATTCAAGGAGCGACCTGGGGGATAGTAGCGGCCGTCCTGAGCATGACCAATTGACAAAACACAATCCCGCTGCCAAACAAGGTGACCATGCCCCCAAACACTTGCAGCCGCCTCGTCGTCTCCCTCACAGGAAGCACCTCTCCCGCCACAACTCACGCTCAAACAGTACATGTGTTGCGGCGAAGAACCATACGCCCTGCATGAGGGTTGCCGCAACGCGTCCACATGAGATGAGGAAGCTGCGCCGATTGAGCACCTCCAGCAGTACGAACAGCGCGGTGGCCAGCATGGTGTATCCCAGCAGCGAGTGGGCCGCGATGTCCAGCGGGCTGTGCTTCTTGTGCAGCGTCATCAGCAACGTCTCGCAGAAAAATGCCATGAACAGCACCACCTGGCGTGGGAGGGGGTTGGATGGCGCCACAGCAGAAGCTGAGTTGAAGGGTAAGAAAGCAAGCATCGGGAATTGCGGGTGCAGGTGCCAAGAATTTGTAAGCTTGGAGGTAAGGTTGTCGCATGAGCACGTGTTCTGGCTTCATTGTGCAGATTCAAGGGAGAGACGGAAGAACGCGGGGAAGGAACGCGGACCCATAGAACACGACTGAGATGTACGTGACCCAACCAATACCCAGGCAACGTGTGGCGCCAAGCGACTACTGGTACTGCTGCTGTACCCTGAAACCCTCACCTGCTGCACACCCTCCGGCAGCTCCACCTCATAGCCAACCAGGTCAACAATGCCTGTGGGTGATGTTGAGGCCGTTGCGGGCACGGGACGGGACGTTAACCAGGCAGCCCGCTGCGCGAAACATGCAGGCAAAAGGGTACTGGGCACCCTGCACCCGCACCCTGCCCGCACTCTACGGGGGAACAGGGACAGGGGTAAGGGAAGAGTGCAGGGAGTTGCAGCCATGGCTGACCAAGCTTGCCTTGGCTGCCCTTGCTGATACCCAGCCCAGCAAGCTCACGCACCCGAGAGGATGAAGGGTGGGTACATGGCCGCATGCTGCCAGTTGCCGATGTGAGGGCCGTAGAAGTGTCCAGCCCGTGCAGTCCCCGGGGGGCAGATCATGGTCCTGAACACAGCAGCGAGCGGGTGGGTAAAAAATATATATATAATGAGATACTGACGAAGGGTGGGTGGGTGGGTGGGGGGGTTCAGCAGGTCGCATGTTAGGGGAAGGCCTCTTGTAACCTGAGTAGGTTTCAAACAAGCGCAGACGGACAGGGGTGCGGGAGGACGTAGTTAGGGAAGACATATGGGACCTTGACGTCGCCATCAGAGCTGTATGACGCCTAATGGAGCGCGGCCCGTTGTACGGCGTAGTATGTGGAAGGCGTGCGTTTCGCTCACCTCCAACCGCCCGCGTGCGCAAAGAAGAGCTCCAGAGACATCGCGATGAGGGGCAAGGCGACCTTGCAGATGCTTTCCGCGTACGGAGGGAATCGCCATAAAGAGTACGTCGTCTGGGAACGGTATTCCTGACTCTTGGAGCGCCGACTCGTGAAGTAGTTCCTTTGTTATAAGGTTCAGGGCACAGGAGTTATTATGGATACAAGTGGTTGTAGATAAGCGTTGTGGCTAAGAGAGTCGTTGAAGTGCAGCGCAAAGCGCTTACCTGTATGTGCCTTGAAGCCAGTGCAGACCCCAGATCAGGAATGCGACACCAGGCAAGAAGTGTCCAATCCATGAACCTATGAAGGGGAAAGACGCGGGTCATGCTCGTCGCGCTCCTGGCCACATGGCCATCAACGGCCTTAAGCAAACAAGATTACCACACGGCACCTGCTCTATACCGCCAATGAGGTATCATACACAAACAAGGGTAATACTAGAGGGAACTACCAACGGGGCTTGCAAACGCAACTAGAGTGGTTTAAAAACCGCCAGCAGTTTGCTCTCATAGGCACCAGCGAAATGTGGTCTAATAGTAAGCACAATTATCTATACGCCGAAAGAGTCAAAACGGCCACTAGAATCTGCGGTGAGTGCAACGCGCAAGCAAGCATGCATGACGACGCCCTAGTCAGAGGCGAGAGACCTGATTGGCATTGCGCACTAGAATCTTAGAAAGCATGCAAAAGCGTAAAGCTATAGCCGTATGCCTCTGAGCTTTAGACGCTTCCCGTTGCAAAAGCGCGCAATTGAACCCGCCCTGGCTCCATTGGTCGCTTTTCCTTATTTTTGGTAATACTCACCACCATCCGACATCAGAGGTTCTCCGTTACAGTACCACATGCCGTGCTCGTGTGGCATGTCCTCGCCGCCAAGGTTATGGGCGTCCATGTCCATGGATTCGCTTGCACAAAAGTGACGTTGAAAGCAGCACTATACCTGCGGACCACTACAGATGTGCCTATACTACACAAAGGTGTATTCCAGATATGCTGGCTAACAGCTTTTTAGTAAAAGGTCTAGAAGCTTTGGTAGCTCGTACATGAGCCGGTCCCGGTCCTTGGGCTGAGACACCTGTTGGCTGCCATTACATGGCGTGTCAATTTATAGGCTGGGAAGAACCCAGGTTGTCATCGAGGTCAGCAATGGCAACGTTACATGGGCTTTACGCCTATTAACTGATTTGTTGACAATTGGTGGGGGACTTCCGCCACGCAATACTGCGCATGTCACGTATATCATTTTACACAATTCCATCATTAGCACTAAACGGAAAGGGAGATCCTTTAGAATTGCCCTGTCGGAACCGATAGTGGCGGTTTAGTCAAGTCGTCGACGAGCGTCTATTTACTTCGCGTCTTACATGCTAGGAATTCCTAAAAGTGTGGCATTTAATGTCTTTACATAGTCATTATTGCTAAATGAGGCTAGTGCAGGTAATATGCGTCGGGCCCATGGTTCGTGAAAGCCCGTTTACGAACGCTACTGTACTCAAGCGCTAAAACGCAAAGCAGCCATATTCCGCGCATGTCCTGGCCGCCTAGGGCCAACATTGGCTCAATGCAGGGGAGCTTCCTCCACGAAACCAAGACATGCTTGCAACAGGTAGTTAGACGCCGCGACGGCGTTGGCTTGCCACGCGATCATGGATCATTCCAACCGCTATCAGGATACCGTTTGTCTCACATAAAACCCATGGGAGCGCACACAGCAGACTGTACATCCTCTGCTTCCATGCTGGCTGGTCCGGGTTGGGTGCCAAGATTTATTGCTCTGCATGTCAAGCTTAACCCTGTACTTTAGGTGTTCCGGTTCATGCGGCAAGCAACAAGCAAAGCATAAATGCATAATGCGCAAGGGATTGCATCGCCCCCACGAGGTAGCAGGATGGCAGGTGTGCCCCCACGAGGTAGCAGGATGGCAGGTGTGCCGTTCAAAATTACGTTTGCCCAGACCTAAGCCTGGCAGACTGAACAGAACCTGAACACCATGTGCTTGCATAGCCGCACGAAGCAAAATCAGGACCAACAGAACCTCCACGGCACATGGCGGTATCGCCCTGTGTCGTATCAACCATACAACCACCCTCAAGAACACCAACAATACAGCTGTGGTGTTGTTTTTTTCGGCGTGCTGCGCTTCTCTTGCAGTGTAAGGTTGTGTTTATCACCCGTGTTCCCTTTTTAGGGAACCATTGAAACGGTCATTCATTCAATACAGCTTGCAGCACACATTTTAGAGCGGCATATGCTTCGTCCTTCTTCTTCCATCTGGTGTAAAGCGCTCTGGTAAGCACTGTGAAGCTCAGGTTCTTGATAGGTGCTCACAACACTTCTCGGTTCCGTGCGGGTTTCGCCAGCATTCGGTTGGCCCTACTTTCACACGGCGCTACATGTACGCGTGCTGTCTGCGTTCGGACGGACGGGTTTCGTCTTGAACCGACGTTGAACCTTGAACCCTGACCTTCCCGTTGTGCAATGACAGGTTGCTGGCCTTTGGCTTTGGCGCGCTGGACTCGGTTGCTGCTTACAGTGCTCCTGGCGTGAGGTGTGTGCTGGGTGGCGCTCGGCAGGGCGGTGTATTGTGGGTTGTAGGGGCCGAAATGCAGAGCGCGAGCATAACCACTGTCGCTGCCAAACACTGTCCTATGTAAACATCTACGAGGTAACGAATCCTCTACTAGTGCGCTCTAGCGTAGGCAGCCTGTTTACGAACGCTGCTGTACTCAAGCTCTACGCACAAAGTGGCCGTATTCCGCGCATGTCCTGGCCGCCTAGGACCAACTGTAACTGCAGATGTCAGGATCGTGAGTGCGGGGGCTTACACCAACATTGGTCCATCGCAGGGGAGCTTCCACGAAACCAAGACATGCTTGCAACAGGCAATTCGACGCGTCGGTATCCCATGTCTGCTTTGGATGCAGCGACGGTGTTGCCCTGCCACGAGGTCATGGTTCGTTCCAACCGCTAGCAGGATACTGTTTGTCCCCTGTAAAACCTATGCGGACCGCACACAGCAAACCACTTGGAACCTGTTTCCATGCTAGCTGGCTTGGGGTTGTATTCTTAGGTGCCAATAGGTTACTGACCTGCATGTTAAGCTTGCTCTCATAGAGCGCTCGCTGAACTTCAGGTGTTCCATTCATGCGGCAGTACATGAAGCCGCGGGTATGGAAGGCGAGGTATGAAAGCCTGCATTGGAACCGCCTCTCCTTTCCTGCCACCATGTTGCTTATGGGGCCTAATCGGCAGGCATAGACAGGTATTTGGATGGCGTCGTAAGCCACATTACCGGCAGTAAACACCCCATGTGTGCCATTAGGCATTCTGCCAGCCGATTCCATGTAGCAGTCATAGACCTGAATTCCACCGCTGCCTGACTTCGAAATCAGTCCTGCAAGAGCTGTCCAAGCCTGGCTTATCCAGGGAGAGGAAAAGAGTAAAACTCCCAACAGCACGCATAAAGGCAGCATTGCTCCCCTACGCAGCAGACTCCGCGCTCGAGACGTGCGATCGTTGGGCACAACAAGCATTGCATTATGCGCAAGGGATTGCATCGCCCCCACGAGGAAGCAGCTTGGATGGCAGATGTGCCGTTCAAAATTACGTTTGCCCAGACCTAAGCCTGGCAGACTGAACAGAACCTGAACACCGTGTGCTTGCACAGCCGCACGAAGCAAAATCAGGACCAACAGAACCTCCACGGCACATGGCGGTGTCGCCCTGTGTCGTACCAACCATATAACACCCACAATAACACCAAGAAGACACAAGCCGCACATTGCGGCTGTGACCAAGCAGCAGCATTAGCACTTTAGCAGCAGCGGAACTTAACAGCAACACGGCGCAAGGACCATCGACCGCCCCCCTCCTCAGCCCTTCAACCCTAACCCAACTTGGGCACACCTCCGCCCTCCAACACATCACACTACTCTACAAGAACGGCAGCAAGGCATACTCCGCGTAAAACAGGTTCCAGATCCAGCGGTAGAACGACGCCACCGCCTCCCGACTGTAGCCCCCCGCATGCAGCTTGACGGTGCGCAACACCAGCACGCAGCCCAGCGCCGCGTGCGCCCCCGCCATGAGCGGCACGTTGAAGGCGGAGGGGCAGCGCAGTGCGAGCACCACAGCACCCAGATAGTTGGCCAGCAGCAGCCCGATAGCTGGGAGAATGCACAAGAAGGGAAGGCGAACAGAGGGAAGGGACCGGTTTAGATGGCCATGGGTTGAGGTCATGGGCTGTTGTATATCCCACCGCCGCCCGTCCGAGCTCTCTTCTTCCCGCTGCCATGCCGCCCCCATCCCAGCTCCCATCTAGCTACCATGCCCTCTTCCTGCTGCCATGCCGCCCATCCCAGCTCCCATCTAGCTACCGTGCCAGCACCCACCCAGCAGCGCCACATTCTTCACGCCCAGCCGCGTGGCGAAGGTGGTGATGTTGTTGGCCTGGTCGCCCTCCACGTCAGGCAGGTCCTTAGTGATGGCGATGACGGTGGCGAAGACGGTCACGAACACCGTGATGAAGCTGCGGGCAGGACAGGCAAGCAGGCAGGCAGGCAAGCACACAGCTTGGTTCCTGGCGTTAACAAGGCCGGCAGGCAGTCCGCGTGGATTCGCCGCTTGCTGTTCAAGTTCCCAGACACCAAGAGCTACCGGCAGCTCCCTTGCCACATGATACGTTGATACCACGACCTGCCTTGAGCCGCCCGCGTCAACTCTTCTACGGGTTGTCAACCCCGGCCCCCACTCGCTCACCTGATTGCGGGGCTCCACTCGAACGGTAGCCCCAGGGCTGCACGCGTGGCGCTGTAGACGCCAAAGTTTAGCAGGAAACCTCGCACGGTTGCGATGATGAGGAAGGCTGGCACCGCGTACTGTTTCAGACGCAGCGGGGGCACGCTGTAGATGGTGCCCAGGAAGAGGCCGAAGGTGTAGAGCGTCGTGATGACTTGTCCGAAGTTTGCTGCAACCACGGAAACGCCGGCGGCGGCTAGCGACAAACATAACCCCCATGCGAGCGCCGGTGATAGCTCCCCTGAGGTGGCGTGGTTGGGGGGGAATGAGGGTGTTGTGGGGTACGGTTACCATGGTATATCCAGGGTTTTTGCATAACGGCTGTGCGGGTGTGGCTGTGGTAGAGTGGTTCACCGGCGCACCGGGTGCGGACGAATGAGTAAGGAGCGTGCCAACGGTGCATGCAGGTCAGCAGGTGGTGCCGTTGATCTGACAGAAGGGCCTGCAGGCCTTCCTAAAGATCCCGGCGCGTGCATACCCGCATGCACCTGAGGCCACTGGGAGGAAGGGCTTGTTGACGACGTCGATGTCAACGTCGTAAATCTGGTTGATGCCCACGATGTAACCATTCCCACACAGCAGCGCCACCAAGCCCAGAAGTGCTCGCGGCAGAAGCGCCCAGTCTATACATTGTGGGTTTTCAATGAGCGCTCTGCAAGCATGTCCAAATTTTACGGTCAGCCCTGAAACACCGCCAAAGCCTCCCCGCGCGTAATGCAGGCCTACTTTGCCGTTACCGCGGTTGTGCCCAGGATAGTCCCACGAATGGTATGTGGGCGCAGGAACTTCCAGAATGCGTTTGGAAAGCTTGCTAACTGCTGAGCAAGGCCGCCTTCGCTTCCACCATTTGGGCCAGGTACAGACGCAGCAGACGAGACGACAGAAACGTTTCGCCGACGAGATGGCGCGGCCTAGAGCAAAATCAAAATAATCCCGTTTCATATACTGATTGATTTATTAGCGCGCGGTCCCTCGGCCGCGACTCACTGGAGCGAAGGCAATGCGCCTCCCGCGCACATACAGCAAAGGAATGCCACGACTGCTTTGGTTGTACTGGCAGTGGTGTAGTCCTCTACCGGTTGTGCTGCAAGTATCCATGGCAACAGCGCTCCTGCTCAACCTCGATTGTGGCTGAAAACAATATAGTTGCAAGTTTATAATATGCGCGTCGCAGTTCTAGCACAGCAAGACTTAAAAGACGAAGATGAAGTTACAAGGTTGTGACATTCGATTGCCTGATCCAGTTGACCGAGCGCTGAGGACGAGTAGTTCGCATGGGCCTTATGATCGCACCTTGCTTGGTTGCCAGCCGCGACTAAGAGCCAAGTTCTACAGCAACCAAATCGCGCTATGTCCTAGTATATACTATCAATCCTTGCCCAGCGAAATCTAATATGACATATGGTACCTGCCGGTACGGCACGCAGTAGCAGCAGCAACAAGATCAACACCGACGTAGCGCCGCCAGCACAATGATCAACGCCCCCTCATGCTCTACAAAGGGCATCCGGCAAGAGTTCATGCAAGACTGTGCATCATGGGCACAACAATCAATCGTTCGCGCATGCAACCGCACGAGGTTGTCTCCCAACAGTACACGATAAGCAAGGTTCGGCCCGAAACCTTCTCGCCTTCCTCTAGGTTCGCGCATCCCCATCAAGCCATCCTCACAAAGCTTTATGCCAACAACGCTTATACTAATTTAGCCAAGGGCTGATATCGAACATGAGCCAAAGCCCACCAAACCACCGGTGCCAGCATGCGAAGTGTTCGTACGTCTGCAACTGACTACTTATGGTCCACGGCCATATCAGCTGCATCACCGTGACCGCCGTTGGTGGCGCCCTCCACTGGGGCGGCAGCCGCTGGAGTCTGCTGCTGCTGCTGCTGCGACGGCGGCTCCGAGCTTTCCTTCACAGCTGCCGTGCCTGCCTCAGCCTTCACCTCCTTATCTGTCAGGTCGCGGTAGTACAGCTTGTCCCCTGCACGCGGCGAATGCAAAAGACAGTTACAAACCTTCAGTCACAGGCAAGGCGATCCGTGGCAAAGACGCAGGCAAAGAGGCAGCACCGGGCCGTGCTATTGCGTGTTCTGTTCAAGCCAAGGCTCTCGAAACTGGGTTCACAGGGCTTCGTAAGCAGTGCATGGGGCCATGGGCCTGCTAGACGCAACCCAAAGATTCACGGCGTACACTGCACATGTCCCCAACTCCCTCACATACGCGCATGTCGGGGACATACGCATGCGCCTCCTCAGCACATCTCCTCAGCGCGCCCCCCCTCACCCTTGAAGCGGCAAGTGGGCCCGACGTCCTCGCAGCCGCCTCGCACCAGCTCCCTCACCAACCGGTGAGGCAGGTCCAGGCCGAGGCAGTGCAGCAGGCGGCGCATGTCGTCCGTGCGGATGTAGCCGCAGCCTGTCCGGTCGAAGAACCTGTTCAAGCCACGGCAAGCGAGGGATACGGTGAGAATAAGAGGCATGAAAAGGACAGGAGGTTTAGGTGCAGCTGTTACTGCATCTCGGCCCTTGCACCGCTTCTACGTCCCACAGCCACTACAACGCAGCCCACGGGTACGCGCACCTGAAGGCCAGCAGCAAGTTGTAGTCTGTAATGTACTTCTTGCGCTGCTTGCGCTCCCTCTCCCTTTCCCGCTCCCTTTCGCGCTCCTTCTCCTTCTCCCTTTCCCGGTCCTTTTCACGTTCCTTCTCCCTTTCCCGCTCCTTTTCCCGCTCCTTCTCCTTCTCCCGCTCCTTTTCCCGCTCCTTTTCCTTCTCCCGCTCCTTCTCGCGTTCCTTCTCTTTCTCCCGCTCCTTATCCTTGTTTTCCCTAGCCTCCCGCGAGCTAGACCGTCCGGCTCCCTCCGCGGCCGTCGACGCCTTATCAGGAGATGGCGCCGCAGCGGCGGCAGGTGCGGGTGGCGGCGGTGGCGGCGGCGGAGCCTCCTGACTGTCAATTTCCATATCCATCTGGCAATCGGGCAAGTAGTCCAGAAGTACGTACCCAACGGGAAACGGGACAACAGCACATCTTAGGCATCTATGAAAACGGACAGCAGCAGGATTGCACCATGTAAAGGAGGCACCACGAATAAGGTCGCCATGAGCCCATGGCAGCATGGTGAAGGGCATTCTGAGGCAGCATTGGTGGGTACCCACTAGCCATTGCACAGCCCCATTACACACCTCGGCTTCAGCCTCCTCTTTAACCTCGGGAGCCGCCTGCTCCTGCGCCGGCGCAGCAGCCTGGTCCTCGGGCTTGGCGTCAACCTGGATCTCCTCAGTCGCAGCTGGGGGCGCCTCCGTTGAACCTTCCTGCGGTTCCACCTTCACGCCCTGCGGCTCCTCCGTGGGGGCTGCCTGGGGCTGCTCGGCTGCCGGCTGCGGCTCCGGGGCTCCCACCGGGGGCTGCTCCTCAGCAGCCAGCGCCTGGGGCTGCTCCTCCTTCACAGCATCGTCCATGGTGGCATCGGCACCCTCCGCAGCCGCATCCGCCGACTCCGGTGCGCCAGCCGCCGCCGTATCCATCGCAACCGGCCCTTCGTTACCGGCCGCTGGCTCAGCGTTGCCGTCCGGCTCAACCTTCACCTCGGTCTTCACCTCAGGCTTTGCCGCCGCCTCCTCTGCCGTTGCTGCCGCCTCCTCACCACCTGCCGCTGCCGCTGGCTCTTCAGCACCCGCCGCCGCAGCTGGCTCCTCACCGCCTGCCGCTGCTGCCTCTTCAGGCTGGCTCGCCGCCTCCTGGATGGGGCCCGCCTCCGCCTCCGCTACCGGCTCTGCTCCGGCGTCCCCCTCAGCCTCAGCTTCGGCATCAGCCTCCTCCGCTTGCTTGGCTACCTTGCGCCCCTTGCCAGCACGGGAACCCCGGCCGCGTCCCCGTCCGCGACCACGCGTTGCGGCCTGCGGATTGCAGCGACAAGTAATGATGCTATGCGGATTGCAGCGACAAGTAATGATGCTAGGCAGATTGCAGCGAGACATCAGCCAGGATGTAATGATCCCGTGCGGGTGTTGAGCAAGCAGCTTAAGCTGGCCACCATTGCGCGCACCTCTTAGACCTAACTGGCAACGGCTTAACCGTGACGCGAGAGACCCACTAGCCCCGTTTCCCGATGGCGTACCATGCGAAGCGCGTCGACGTGATTGCATCCTAGCGGCTAACCAACGCTACTGTAAGTCAACAATCGCAACCACTCACCGCCTTTGCCTTGCCCTTGCCCTTGGTCGCCTTCGCTGCAGGCCGTGCCTCCTCCTCCTCCTCCTCCTCGACCTTCTCCGCAGCATCCGCATCGGGCTGAGAACCTTCACCTGCCTTCTCCGCAGCTTCTGCAACGGGCTGGGAACCTTCAGCAGGCCCGTCTGCTGTCTCCGCCGGCGCCGCAGCAGCAGGAGCAGCAGTGGCTTCTGAATCAGCAGCAGCCTCAAGAGCAGCAGCTTTGGTGTCCGGCTCCGCCTCGGCCATGTTCGTGTCGGCCACCTGGGCCTCCACAGCAGCAGCCTCCTTCGCCGGCTCTTCAGCAGCAACAGGCGCAACAACAGCCTCCGAGGCTGCAGGCGCCGCCGCCTCGCCTGCCGCTGAAGGCGCCGCCGCCTCCTCTGCCGCTGCAGGCGCCGCGACTTCCTCTGCCGCTGCAGGCGCCGCCGCTTCCTCTGCCGCTGCAGGCGCCGCCACCTCGCCCGCCGACCCCTCCATCGGCTCATCCTTGGTGCCCGCTGCGTCCTCAGCCGACGTGACTGCATCCGCCGCCGCATCCTGAAGGAAGATGGAAACAAGCCGGTACGTAAGACGCGGAACCGTGACACAGGTAAAGCGGGCGCCCCCGCATGCCAAGACCGCCAAGTCCGAATTAGCAGGGCGGCCATCGTACGGCCACCGTTACCCCCGCCCTAGCCTAACGGTTACATGGGCTCTGCACTCACTACCCGGGGATGAGCATACGCCTCAGAAAGGGAAAGGCCGCTGGCAGGGGAAACCCACCTCGCCTCGCGCCCTCTTGGCGTCCTTCTCGCCACCCGCCGCCGCTCCGCCCGCCGGCTCGTGTTCTTCCGCCTCGCCGCCCTCGCGTCCCCGCTTGCTACCCGGCCCGGACGGCTGCGCGCCCTCGGCAGGCCCACGCTGCACCGCCTCCACAACAGGCGCGGGCGCGGGCGCCGGCAGGAACAGCTGCTCCCTGCGCCCATGATGTACGACAGGCACAGAGTCCAAGCGTTGGCATCGGGCACCGCAATGAACTGCCATGCAGACAGAGTGCAAACTGCCATGCCTTGAGCAGCAGCTCGCGCTGTGAAAGCAAACACCAGCCTCCAAAGATGCCAACATGACTACATGAGGAGGTGCAACCAGGTGCGTTCCTCCCGCACAACCCACACCCACCTCTCCGCCAGTAGCGCCTGGTACACCAGCGTGCCGTACTCCCGCACCAGCAAGTCCTGGAAGCACTCCGCAAAGATGGAGAGCTCAAAGGTGGGCTCATCTCGGTCCGTCTCGTCGTACTCCAGCAGGCCGTGCAGGCTGATGGAGAAGGTCTTCACGCGGTCGGCGGAGGGCCCTGCGCGGCCCCGCAGCTGGATGCAGGGCTCCTCGGGCAGTGGCACCTCGCGTGAGGCGGCGGCGGCGGCGGCAGCAGCAGGTGCGGCTGCGGAGCCGGGTCATGAGGGAACACGGGAAGAGATACCGGTAGGACTCAGCAAAAGTTTGTGCAGGCTGTCTTTACAAGGATGGCCTGAGCAAGCATGGCCTGTAACACAAGCCATTCGCATCCAAGTGCATGCAGGAGAGTGACCGGGTCCTGCATTTCACTGTTCTTTGTCACACTCACCGGAGTTGTCAGGACCGTCAGCCTTAGGGGCATCAGCCTCAGCGGCGTCGGACTTCGCAGCATCAGCCTTGGTGGCAGCCTCCTTCGCCTCCGCTGGCTGCTTGATGCTGGTGTCGGCCGAGCTGTCGGCGGCATCGGGCTTGGCCTCCTTATCCTTGCCGGCATCCTCCATGGGCGTGTCCTTGTCCTTATCCGCAGCGCCGCCTGAGGCCGCAGCCGCTCCATCTCCGCTTGCGCCGACAGCAGATGGCGCGGCCCGGGCCTCTTCCTTCTCCTTCTTCTCCTCCTTGACCTTCTCCTTCTCGGGACTGTCCTTCTTAGTCTTGGCAGCCTCCTCCTACGGGAAAGAACATGCAAGCTTGTTTAATGTCTCATACGGAAAGGCTCCACGCCCCGAGTCCATACACGGACAGGGCAGCACGAGAAGCGTCGACTAGCTACCCCAACTCACAGCTGTGCTTCTCACCACCGGAGCACTTAGGCACATGATGGAAGCCGCAACAGTAATGCCACAGCATCACATCACAGCTTAAACCTCCCGCCCACGGGCTAGTCCCGAACACCTGCATCTCACTTTTCCTTGCGGGGATCCCAGGCATACCTTCTTCTTGGCCTCAGCCTCCAGCGCAAGGCGTTGCGTCTTGAACGCCTGCTGCTGCCGCGCCTCCTCCGGCCAGGCGTCTGGCCTGGGAACGCAGGCATCCGGCACAGCCACGAACAACACCACCACCTCTTTGCAACCGGCAGCCAACGCGCTTGGCGACGATACGGATGGCGCCCGAGTTGTGGGAGATGCAGCGTCGGTGGTGGTGGCACCACTGCCAGCTTGCGGCGGCGAAGGCGCGGGGCGCGAGTAGGTCAGCTCGCACATGCGGAGCCACGTCTTGCAGGGCGACAGGTCCACACCGGCCTGGTCCTTGATGTGGCGGATGCAGGCGCGAATGAGGCCAGCGTCCTCCCTGCGGGTGGCGTGAAGGAGCGCCGAGTGGTTAAGGATGTGGAGACTTACAGCCAACATTCGTGTGCAGGTGTTGCTCAACATGCATAGGCTATTTGGCTAGTCAACCGCAATAAAAGGCTGCATGACCTCCTGTTAACAACATGATCGACACCATCCATCGCGGGTTTCCTCTCCGTACCTCTCCGGATCCCCGCCGTCCAGCTCCGGATCCCACACGCCGCCCAAGGCTCCCAATACCCCCCGCTGCTTCTCCTTGTTGCCGCCGTTGTCCCTCGCATCGCGGTCCTCCCCAGCCGCGCCGGTGCCGGCGGCTGCGGTCGCCGGCGCAGGTTGGTTTCGGAAGAACCGAGCGGCCACGAACTTGAGGGAGTTGAGCAGGTGCGAGCCGCCCTCATGGTGCGGACCCACCAACACGTCCTGCCGCATGTTCGGAGACAGACCCTGCACCAGGAGGACCTGCCAGGACAAGAAACGCACACGAGAAGCAGCGGCTCAATGTCGGCGCCGGAGGCCATATGTAATGTCCGCAAGGTAAGCAGCACCGCATAGCGTATGCGGACTTATGCCCACCTCTGCATCTCCGCTACCCCTCACACTCCACACCCATCACATGGTGAGTTGCCGACAGCTGCACCCCGTTGACTTTCTCCTTCCAGCCAGCTCACCTTTGCCACATACTTGACTCCGCCATGCATCCCCGCGCCGGCATTGCCGCCACCGCTGCTGCTGCCGCCGCTGCCGCAAGCAGCCCTGTCCGTGCCACCCCGCGTCAGGTCCTGCTCATGGTCGAACCGCACATGACGGTCCAGCGGCAGCAGGCTGGTGCCCATGCTGTCCACCGGGCCCGGCTGCGCACGCATCCACGTGCACGTCAGGCGAACAAAGTCAGGGGGCACGTGCAGGTGTGCATGGCGGCGCAGCAACTCCAGGTAGTCGCGCTCGGCGGTGGTCACGCAGGAGGGGGGCACGCGGATGCTGTACTCCGGAACCTTGGGGCGCGCAGGGGCCGGCGCCGGAGGTGGCGGAGTGGGGCTGCGGCGCCGAGGTGGAGGAGCGCGGCCCGAGGGGCCAGGTACGGGCGAGGGGCTGCGCGGCTTACGAGCCGCATCATCCTGCGGGTTTGTGGTGCAGGGACGCGGATGTTTAGACATGGGCTGTCGGGTTGGATTCGCTTAGGCGCGTTCAGCATGCAAGGATGTGTTGACACTCGGTCCAAAGCCTGTGAAGCGCTGATGGTTCAAGCACCCGCGTTCTTAAGTGTACGGAAAGGTTACCCTAAGCTTTCCACCGTACTCACCCTGTCGCGCCGAGGTGCCGGCGGGGGTGACGGGCGGCGATCCCTGTCCCGAGGAGGCGGCACCGCTCGGTCCCGATCACGATCAACCCGGTCGCGGTCACGCGCGTCACGAGCATCACGATCCCGCAGCTCCCGATCGCGCGCCTCCCGGTCCCGCAACATGCGATCCCGCAATTCGCGCTCCCGCAGGTCCCTCTCCCGCAACTCCCGCTCCCGTAGTTCACGTTCCCGTAGCTCCCGTTCACGCAATTCCCGGTCTCGCAGCTCCCTCTCACGCAGATCCCTCTCACGCAGCTCCCTCTCACGCAAATCCCGATCCCGGTACTCCCGCTCTCGGTCGCGGAAATCACGGTCGCGGTCCCGGAAATCATGCGGGGGCGGCGGAACTCCGCGCATGGGGCCAGGGCCCCGGTCGTCAAAGTCACGACGCGCCATCGGACCCATGGGTCCCCGGCCCCGATCGTCTTCGCGCATAGGCGGCGGCACCATGGGCCCCGGACCGGCGCCGTAAGGGGGCGCAGCGCGAGTCATGGGTATGGGGGCAGGGCCGGGAGGTCCGCCTCCCATGGGGCCCATGCCGCCCATGGGCCCCATGCGCGGTCCCGGGGGCCCAGCCATCGGGCCCATCGGGCCAGGGCCAGGGCCCATGCCAGCACCCTGGCTAGCGGGTCCAGCCGGGAAGTAGCGGGACGCCACTGGCTGAGCGCCGCCTGCAGGCGCGCTCGGGCCGGTGCTCGGACCCAACGGCCCAGGGCCGCTAGCCGGGGCGCCGCTGCCGCCAAGCGTGCTAGGTCCACGGCTGGTGGGAGAAGTCGCCACGCCACTGCCTGCAAACCAAGACGGTTAAAGGAAGCGCGGGTCAAAAGGCGAGCACATAGGGCAAGGGTCACACCGTCTGGCTCAACGCATCAGGCAAGTATTCAACAGCTGTACGGTAATGACGGTGTAGGGCTCACCTCCATAGCCACCACCACCACCACCAACGGCAGCAGCAGCAGCCGGCTTGGCAGCATTGTAGCTGCTGGGGGCACTGTAGGTGGACTGCTGCCCGTGTATGGTGACGGGCGCAACGGTGATGGGAGTGACTGGTTTGGTGACGGTTGCAGCGACAGAGACGGGTGCAGCCGCTGGCTTGCTGGCGGCCCCAAATGACGAGGTTGCACCGTAACTGGTAGGTCCATATTGTCCCTGTGAAGAAACAGGGCTCGTAAGACTGAGCTTGGCGTAATACAGCTGGCCCTGGTCTGCCCAACATGCGACAAAGCCCTTTCACAGCCTTCCCATGCAGCAAACATAAACCGTAAAGTCACTCCGTCAGTCGCCGCTAGGTGCACCCAGTAATCGCCCTCAAGGCAACTACCTCACCACTGCGCACTACCGGTATCCTTACCTGAGCCGTGCCAGTAGATGGCGGCCGCGCTGGGGCACCGCTGCCCCCGACGCCAGCCTGCAGCCCTGGCGGGCCGCCAATGCCCGAAACGCCAGCCGCACCACCACTTGCTGCCCCCGATGGCTGTTGCTGCGCGCTCGTGCCGTACGCCCCAGTCCTCCCTGCCCCCATCTGCTGCGCCGCTTGGCTGCTCGGCGCTGCGGCGGAGCCATAGCCCCCGGCCTGCTGAGCAGCGACACTCGAGGGTCCAGGTCCGTACGACGCGGCGCTGCCGTACGCATTGGGCGCCGCTGAGGGCCCCAGCCCGGGAACCGCCGCAGCTGCCGACTGCTGCGTGGAACCGTATGCACCTTGCTGCGTTGTCGCCGCGCCATATCCCGCCTGCTGGGGTGCCTGGGCAGACGTCATGCCGTACGTCTGGCCGCTGCTGCCGTACATGGATGCATTAGGCGCCTGCTGGGTCGCAGCAGGGGCGCTGGTGCCGTACGCTGCGGCCTGCTGGGACGGCTGTGCGCCGTAACCCCCAGTGGGTGCGGCTGCGGGTGCAGCCGCAGCAACCGGCGCGGCACCATAGGAGGGCCGTGCGGAAGCTCCCCCGTACATGGATGTACTGGTGGGCTGAGCGCTGGCTGCGGGTGCTCTGGCAGCAGCGCCGGTCCCGCTTGCGCCATACTGCTGCTGTGAGGCACCGTACTGCTGTTGCCCTGGCTGCTGCTGTAGCTGCTGCTGCGGTTGCTGCTGGGAGCCATAAGCGGGCTGGGTTGCAGCCGCAGCGCTGCTGGGCTGTCCGTATGAGCTCTGGGGGAAGCAGGACATGGAAAGCATACCGGTAAGCTCATCACGCTCGGACAAAAAAGCAATGAGTGGCAACGCAGCACATGCGAGACGGCGCTAGATAGCCGATGGACCTCCAAAGCCTGGAATTTTGAACCCACGTATCCCATGCAACCATCCTGACTGGACCAAACGCCCCCCCTTTGGAATTTCTTTTCCCCCCCCCCCCCCCCAAAATGCCGTTTTGTTCCAAGTACAGGCCGTGTAAACACACCTGCTGCACCATGCTCACAAGCTTGCTCTGCTGGTCGGCCGGCATGTGGGCCAGCGCCTGCGCCGCAGCTCCCCCAGGCCTGCCTGCGGCGCCTACACCGGTGCCCGAGCCGTACATGCTGGCCGTGCCCTGAGCCGCGCCAGCTCCCGTGGTAGTGCCCCCGTATGCGCCGTACGCGGCATTAGCTGAGGAACCGGCGCCCGAAGAGGGACCGGCGCCGTACGCGGCATTAGCCGAGGTACCGGTGCCGTACGCAGCATTAGCTGAGGTACCAGTGCCATACGCGGTGTTAGCCGAGGAGCCGGTGCCGTACGCGGCATTGGTTGCGGAACCGGCGCCAGAAGAGGTACCGGTGCCGTACGCAGCGTTAGCCGAGGGACCGGTGCCGTACGCGGCATTAGCTGAGGCACCGGCGCCGTACCCGGCATTGGCTGAGGAACCAGCTGGCGCGCCAGTACCCGCGGCTGCAGCATAGGAGCCGGCGGGTGCGTTCCTTGCTGCCTGTGCTGCGCCAGGCGCTGTGCTGGGACCCGTGGGGGCGTAGCTGCTCGGGCCCCCGGTGCCGTATGCTCCGGCTCCAGTTCCGTACGCAGTGGCAGATTGGGCCGAGGAGTAACCAGTCGTGCCTGTCCCAGGGTTGTAGGCACCCCCAGCAGCGGTGCCATAGCCTGCCCCCGAGGCTGCTGGGTAGCCCGGTTGTCCAGCGGCTGTTGAGTAATTCGACGCCGGATTGTTTCCTGCAGCTGGGTATGAGGTCGCCGCTCCCGTGTTGGGGTAGCCGGGGGCTGTGTTGCTGCTGCCATACGGGGCAGCGTTTCCAGCAGTTGGTGCATAGCCACCGCTTGCACCGGCAGAAGTCCCATATGTGCTGCCGCCAGCACCAGCGGCAGACCCATAGGCACCTGTGGGCATCCAGGTCCTCAGCAAGGGCTCTATGGAAATGGTGATGGTTAACTAACGCGCACCTTGTTGCTGGTATCCTGCGCCAGCGGTAGGGTAGCCAGCTGAAGCTCCGCTTCCATAGCCCTGTGTTGGTTATGAAGTAGCGTCGTTTGGGCGTTCACAAAGGCGGCGATCTCACGAAAGATAACGGGACGACACCATTCCAGCACCAGCGCCCTATTGGATCACGTCGCATTAAATTGCCCAATAGACTTACAGCTCCGTAGTTTGGCTGGGTCTGTCCATAAGCGCTAGCCGCCTGTTGAGATGTCCCCTGCTGCAAAAAGCGTTCAATCCCAACGTCAATAAGGCCACTTCCAAAAGCCATTTCCATAAGGTGTCGGGGATTGCTTTTTGCAGGCATCAAAAGAAAGGAATGTTCCTAGTGGTAACGGCTCACCACTTGTTGTTGTGCGGTGCCGCCATACCCCTGCGCCTGCTGGCCACCCTGGGCATAAGCCTGCCCAGGATGCTGCCCATAGGAAGAGTATTGGTTGTAGCCGTCCATCTTTTAGCTACTAAGGAACACCGCTTAACACATTCTCAAGTCCTACGCTTGCGTTACCACGAACTTCTTTACCCGTAATAAGCAAACTTGGGGGAGAAAGAATTCCTGTGTAAGTTGTAAGTTGGAATGAAGGGAGGGTTGGTGCCTTACAACTGATCACCAATCGTCAATCTTGGCATTGGCCGCATCGCGGTGAGCCGAATCCATGGCGATGCCCATTACAGGCCATACAGCGAGCAAATCCCGTGCAGCACAGGACGATTCCTGGATAGCAACACCATGCTATTGGCAAGTAGACACCCGGCAACGCATAGTCAGGCTCTAGGGAGATCGCGCTCGCGAGGGCGGTGTGTACTAGCTCTTGCAACAAGGCATCCACCCCGTCGCTCCGAACGGGAGCAAAAAGACCCGTCGCAGTGGCGCAGTATGGATGAGCTTAGGGCGTATCTGGAGCGTGAACAAGGACCCGTGCCGGGTTTCAGTTTCGTGCTAAATTGGATCTCCCAAAACGCCTTCGGGGGCCCAACGGTGCGTAACCAGCAGGTGCAGGGCGAGTACCGCCGCGTCCTGCGTGTGCCGCAAGTACCACCTTTCAGTTGGACCATGCCTGCACATCAGCTCTTCCTCAAACCGACAGCCCCTTACGCTGCTCACATGAGGGAGCAAATCATTATGGGGATCAGGTCCTCACAAATTTCCCCTGGTGGTGCCTAATCTCATTTGCAGACTCCTCGCGGACCGGCGGCACTGTACCGCTGGCTGCTGGGGTTAGTACCCTCGCCCACAACCGGCGAGAAAGTGCGCAGGTAAGCATGCTACCGCTTGCTAGCAAATGGCATTCATGCCATGCTGGGTTTGGACGTTTGGCTTCTTTTGGACCTGGTGTGGTCACGCTCTCATGCCGCACCCTTGTTGCTGTGGGAGTTCGTACCCAGGGTTTCTGGGCAAGAAAGGGCCAGAGGGCGATGCTCCCCTAGATTCTGACCAAGGCGCTATGCAGAGCGCTAGGGCCCGTTTCCTGCCCACGGGCGCTTCCGCAACCCCGCGCAGGCGCATGACCCCAGAGCTGCTCAATCGTGCAGAGGGAAGCCCCCTGAGGAGCATCCTAATCACATCACCAGCGGTGCTGGCGCAAATGGCACTCGAGGTCCCAGAGGTAGGCGTGGCGCTGGGGTGCAGGTGGGTAGCTGCGCCTAGACACGGGGAGAATGTGCGTTGCACTACGGCCTCACCTCGTTGCATTCTCCATGCCCAAGGGCCTGCATCGGGGGCGTGCGCAGATTCTTGTGCAGTGGTTCCCAACTGCCCATGCATGCTTTTACCCCGTCCATGCAGGTGCTCGACATGAGTGCTGACGAGGCAGTGGGCCGGCTGACGTCCCTCAAGGCGCTGCTGCCCGCATGTGACGTGAGCCACTTGGTTGCGAGCGAGCCCAGGTCAGGCCAGGCGTACAACCCATCGGGCGTGTAGGCTGCTGTGGAGGCTGCCAAGGGCTATGGTCGTTTGACGGCTGTAAGCAGCAGCGTATAGCTGGGTCATCAGCCATAACTGCTGGACGTCATGTGCTAGAAAGTTGAAACCAAGCGCGTTTGATTTGGCAAGGCTTTGGGTTATGCACTTATGCTCCCATGCATGCAGGCTGTATTTGGGGTTTCCGCGGGCCGAAGTTGAGCATGGGCTGCAGCGTGGGCTGTCACTGATGGCGCAGTGGTCAATACCCAGCGATGTGGTGCAGGACATGGTATCGCATGACCCGGGACTCCCCTGGGTCGTTACAGAGAGCGGTAAGGAGGCCTGGACGTAAACGGGTATACGTACATGTCATCATAACCACCACCCCAGCTTCTACGAATTCTAGCAGATGCCACTTCACTCCTAAGAAGGGCCCCTACAGCAAGACCACTGCGAGACAGTTGCGCATGCCAATAGCTTTTCCTGCCTGCCTAGCACCCGAGTACACGTCCCATTAAGCACCACAAGATTGCGGAAAACCGCCGCATGCCACCGCCCCCACAGGAGGCCACGTCCGCATGCACGTGAGCCCTTGCCGCCAAACCCCCACACACCCTTCCTCTCTCATACCCATGAAATTTCGAAAAATTTTGTAACATTATCGCATGGACTTGCTACCACATTCGTTTAACCGGCCTGGACCGGTACATGCCCTTCCTTTTAACACCCCGTCCGCACTCTGTGTGCCCTCCTCTTGGACCTCCTCAGGTCTCAAGGAGCTCCGCCAGCTGTGGCCGGCAGACTTGGTGGATGACCAGGCGCTGCAGCAGAGCGACCCGCGCGAGCTAGCACTGGCAGTGCGCGCCCTGTCGACACGACTACGCTAGCGGCATCTTGTCGGGGACATCTTGCTGGAAACATGGGCGAAACCAGCCACGCAAGAAAGCACACGGCTTGCACGACATGCAAGTAATACTTAGGCTTCTACTTAGACAGCTGTACATACAAAACATTGACTACCGTACATCGGGGCATCCGTGTTAGCCCATGGCTCCCTGGTCTGTTGCTAGGGTCTTGTGCCTGTGCCTCCAAACAACCAACGAGGCTGTGCGCCGTTGGGCTAAACGAACCACATGGCGGCCAACGCTGCGCGGATGCTGTCTGTGCACCTTAGTCGGCGTTCAAGATGGCCAGCCAGTCTTGCTCCGTTATGAGGCCATCCTTGCCAAACTCGTGAATCATGTCCTGGGGGCAAGGGCATGTGAAAGGACGTCGCGGACATGAGGAGGAGCTTAAGGCCGCGGTACTGCCCTAGACCTAACGCACGAGTACCTTCCCCTAAATACCATAGGAGGGAACCGTGAACATGGCAGCTCTGCCAAGTGTGTTCATGTTTTGCTTCCGATACCCATGCTAGTCGACAGCTCACCCTAGCGAATGTACATCTGTAACAACGCACCCACCTGCAGTTCCTCATCGGGAATGTCCAGCCCCAGGCTCCGCACCACTCGCTTCAACGCCGCAAAGTCGATGGCGCCTTGTCCCAGGTGGTCGAACAGCTGGAAGGCCCGGCGGTGCTCCTCCATGGCGCTGCGCTGCGACAACACCTCGGCCACGAGCTCACGGAACGTCTGCGGAGTACAGAGGAAGGTGCTGGACCGTGTGCTTAGGGCTGCAGCTTTGCAACTATGGCATCCATGATCGGTGACTATGGCATGGCTAGCTTCCCAACGGCTCCCAGCGCCTTCCACTGTGTTCCTCTCGTGTCCTTAAGCCACCGCCGCATATCCGTGTTTACCTGGAAGTCCAAACGATCCGCGTTCTGTTCGCCGTGCCGTGCAAGCAGGTCGAGAACATCGGCCTTCCTTACATCGAATCCCAGCGCCCGAAGAGCTACCTATGGGGGAGGGAACTGTGAAGGAAGGTGTCCTGCCCATAACATGCATAGCTCTGACAGATACCTTCAGCTGCTTTCGGCTGACGAAACCTGAGCGTTCTGCATCAAGCGTTTCGAAAGCAAACAAGATGCCCTCGCTTTCGTCCTTTGAGAGCTCACGGCATTTTGGCCTTACTGAAGTCCTTCGTACCCCTCCAAACGCAGGAGTGTTAGGTGTAGATTGATATTGCATGTTCATATTCAGAACTTCTATAGTAATCGGCATCAGCAGATCGCCGAGGTTGCTACCACCAGGTTCGGCGTGGATCCGGAACAATGCCGTCCGTTGGCCGGTCAAGGGTCAATCTGGCCGGCGGTGTCAAGGCCTAACGGATTGACAAGGAACATATACTGACCGTTGATCTAACTTAGTACAATAAGCAGCAAGCCTATATAGAGTAGTGCCAGAAACTGGCGAGCATGGAGATACGGAAATAGGACACTGTCTACTACATCCCGAATCGAGCTTATTCTGTGTCATAAGTAAGAGTAACCTGCGCTCCAACGAGCTGTGGGTGTAAGCTTGTTTTTCTGCTTGGACCTGGCATGTGGAACGGGCTGGAAAGCGCTCGCCGAATGCTGGACCGCTGAGCCTAATATTGTAAGTTGTCCTGTAGTGGCACATGGGTCATGCATGCCGGGGTTGTCTAGTCAACGTTTCGGTTTGCAGCGCATGCTTTCGTCCAGACTCAGACAACCACCTGTTAAGGAACCCTTGCTAGGGCACCGAAAGAACGGGCCAATCTGCATTCCGCAGCTAGAGTTAATAGTGGAAGCCGCGTATCGTGGTTTCTAACCAGCGCTCACATACCTGACACCTTCTTGCTGACTGTACGAATTCATCCCTTATCCTCCTTAGCCCCGCCCTCATACGCTATGCATCCAACCCCTTCGCATGGTCTTGCAGGACTAACCGCTGTGGAGCGCAGCACTACGGTATCGCTGACTATGGATCCAGGTTCAGCTGGATCGAGTACGACAGTAGACGTCCATGGATTGGATGCGGATACAGCCCTGAGAGGCTTAGACACTGGCGACATGCCAGTAGCCGCTGGAGCGCCGTGTCCGTCGGGAGATGAAGGCCCTGCACTGGAGGGTTGCGCGTCAAGCGGCACCCTGCCGGAGGATGCTGCTGAAGCAGCGGAGTCGATGCCTTCAGAGGGGTCAAGCGACTCCGAAGTCATCCACATCGACCTCACCAAGCGGCCCCCGCCGCTGCCTATGTCGGGACTGGCGTTGGAGCAAGTTGTGAGCATGCTGCCGGGTGAGTGGTGACTACCGGACCTGACCTCTTTGCTGTGTATGACGTCTTTGCTGTATTGATGACTATGGGGTGTTGACCCCTTGCAGCACGCGGCTTGGTTGTTGCCGTACACTCCTAGCTAACTGCACGCCCCTTCTTTGCAGGTAACACGTACGCTGTTTCCGGCAGCGGCATACCCATACGGGAGGCCCCTGCTTCAGAGGATCCGGGCTCGCCGCGCCCTCGGACCTCCCCCAAAGCGACCCCAGCGGCAGAAGCACCAGCAGCGAGCAGTGCCTCAGATCCTGCCGCGGATGCCGCTGCCGAGTCCCCCGCCGCGGGCGTGAATCCATCACCTGCGGGACCTGAGGGCCCAGCCGGCGCAGCGGCCCAGCCCGGCGGTGGGGAGGACACTGATGGCCCCTGCGATGGCAGCTCCCCGCGTGTGGCCTTCACCTTCATCCCTGGACTGGGTGTCGTACCCGTTGTCGTGCATGCAGACATCCTAGAGGATGAGGACAGCGATGAGGAGCGAGATGGTGAAGGCGGTGGCAGCAGCGGCGGGGCCGCTGGCTTGCACAAGGACGTGGAGGTTGAGCCTCGTAACGCACCTGGACCGGAAACCGCTGGCCCAGTGCAGCAGACGGCGGCTGGCGACCCTCCTGCCGGCGCGGTCGCAGTTGACGGTGCAGCCGCTGAGCCGGCGGTGGTGGTTCCTAAGATGGATATCAGCGAGGAGCAGCTGCGCAGCATCATACAGCAGGCTGTGGACGGCATGACGTTTGGGGATGCGGCGCTTGTGGGAGGTGACGAACCGGATGAGGATCAGGCGGAGGACGAGGAGGAGCAGCAGGAGAAAGAGCAGCCACCACCACAGCTCCCGCCGGTGCAGCAGCAGCTGCCGTCGACAGGGAGCGTACCGGTGTTTGGGGGCAGCTTCGCAGCCGAGGCAGCTGCCGCAGGCGGGTTCGGCGGTGCCGAGGAGGCGGTGGGGCCCACGCTGCCGCAGCCCATGGCTGGGTTTACGGCTTTGGGAGGCCAGGCTGTGGATGAGCCGGAGTGCCAGCTGCAGGGGCTGCAATCCGGGTTCTTTGGGGATCGTACGGCGGAGTCTGTGGACGGCGGTAGCGAGGGCGATGCTTCGGGACCTGGTGAGGATGGGGAGCAGGAGGAGGGTGAGGGTGAGGAGGCTTACGAGGAGGAGGGGCAGCAGCAAGTAGCTGGCGAGGATTCTTACATGCGCGATGAGGAGGACGAAGCGGATGTAGAGGAGGAGGAGGAGGGAGATATCTATGAAGAGGACAACATAATTCCTGGCGACATGGATTCAGACGCCTACACAGATGAGGATGAAGGCGACACAGACGCCGGAGTGGGCGGGCAGGAGCAGCTCCCAGCTGCCGCCGCCGGCGCCAGTGCCCCCAGCGCTTCCCCGGCCACCGCAACCACAGCCGCTACCACCGATGCAGGCGCCGGTGCCAGCACGGCCTCCCTGCAGCAGTCCCCCAGCGTAGGCGCTTCAGCAGCACTGGAGAGCGCCCTGCCGCCGGTCAAGGTGTTTGGTCAAGGCCAGTCCGGCCGCGGCATTGCCTTGAGCCTGCCCAGCCTGCCACGAAGCCGCTACGCAGCGTTGGATCGCAGCCCCTCGCATGGCGCGGCCAGCGGCTCCGGAGCGGCTGATACGAGCCATGATGCTGCCGACGGTGCCGCGCGTGGGGAGGAGCATCGTGCTCCTGGCAAGAGCGGCCTGGCAACCGAGTTAGGAGCAGCCTTGAGGTCCGTAGCGAGTGGACCTGCCCCCGGCCTGACCCCCAGGCCCTCCGCTAACTTCGCCGCTGGCGCTTCCCTGCCAACGCCGTTCGCTGGCTGTGTGCTTGGCACCGGTGGTGGCGGTGGTGGTGGTTCTGGCAGCGACGGAATTGACCTTAACGCCACCATTCGTTTGTCCGGTCAGTCGCTAACTGCCATACGTCAGGCAGCTCTGCAGGCGGAGGCGCACCGCCAGGCGCAGGCCATGGCGGAGGGCGACGCAGGCAAGGCCGCCGGGGACAACGCAGGCGGCGCGCACCCGCATCACACGACATCAGCCTCGCCCAGACGGGCCGGCGTGCCCAACCTGCTCAATCCCTTTGGCATGGCGAACCGGCAGGCCAGCGCTGCAGCAGGGCTGACCAACGCCGAGCCCAAGCAGGGCGCAAGCACCTCTGGTTCCAGCTTTCCTGAGGGCGACAGCGCAGGTGGCTTGGGGCACGACGCGGAGGATGCCGGGGACTTGCTACGTGACCGTTCCATCATCCCTCCTCGCTACCCGACGGATGCGCAGCGGAAGCAGCAGCAGCAGCACCACCACCATCACAGCCACCATGAGCGGAGCGAGGAGGGATCAGCCGCCTTGTCACAGAGCATTGAAGGGCATGAGGCCCGGGAGGGCGCGGAGCCGGCACCCGGCGGCAAGCAGCGTACGCGGCACCGGCGGTCCGCGGAACACATAGACCTGAATGCTATTGCCCCCGGTGACGCGCCCGAGCAAGCGGATGGCAGGTGAGCAACGATATAGCCGCTGAGGCCATGGCTTGGGGTGCATGTATGAGGGACAAATGAGGTTTTCGGAGGGGGCGAGGCGAGGCCCATGGGGTGTACTGAAGCTACGTTGGTCCTTGCCCACGCCCTTGCTTGCTGCTGCCATTTCATGCGGCAGGAATGACGCTGGAGATGAGAACCTGCACCCACCCTGTCGGAGTCTGCTGGCCATGCGCAGGGTAAGCATCATTGGGTGCGATAGGCTGCTTGGTCAGTCCAGTAACGGGGCGTTTATGTAGCGTACTGCAAAACGGCTTCCTGTCGACGGGAAGGAGTGCTGTTGCAGGCCGGCTGTGGCATTGCACCTTGTCTTTTTCTGCAGACCTTACATACACGGGCAGCATGTGCACCTCACATGTACTGGCAGCACACGCAAGGGTGTTGCCCACCTAAACAAGGTTCCTGTCACACTCGCTGCTTGCCTAACGACCCCGCCTCACGCCCCGCGCAGTCGGAGGAGGAGCTGCCCACCGCGCCGGCTGTGTCTGACAGCCCGCGCATGCTGGACGAGTATTATGAGGAGGGCAGCAGCAGTAGCAGCAGCGCTAAGAGCGTGGCAGATGAGCGGCTGATGGACGAACTCGAGGTGGGTACGGATAGTACCGTAACAGCCGTGGCGGATCCCGTTTTGTCCTGGGGGATGACGGTAGCTACGTAGTGCATGTGCCGATGGCCCCCGCGCGCATCATTCCTTTCGGTGCTTACACCGCTTGATGACATCGAATGTTGATGCTTTGTCGCTTTGCGGCTACCAGGTTAAATCTGTATCCTGAGTCTTGGCATGGAAACCTCCGCGCCCCACCCCACCTCCCCATACACCAGGCCCTGCGTGAGGAGCTGGGCCAGAAGACCACCCTGGTAGCGGGGCTGCGGGGCGAGCTGCGCAAGTTCAGCGAGCTGGCCGTGCGGCTCGAGCACCAGCTGGGTGAGCTGCGCGCCCAGAACAGCAGCCAGGGAGCTGCTGCCCCCCGGCGCGCCAGTGCCAGCGCTGGTCCCGACATCCCAGCAGCTACTGTCACCGCAGCTCCGTCTGTCACCAGCGAGACACAACAGGACGAGCAACAGCAGCAGCAACAGCATGAAGAGCAGCAGTCGTCTAGCAGCCCGGCTGCCTCATCCACCTCCCCGCCAGCCTCATCGTCCTCGGCTGCCAGCCACAGCCCACTGCCTCCGCACCCGCAGCCACATGGGTTGGAGGGCGGCGCGCGGCTGGCGCTGTACCGGGAGATCGTGTCGCAGGCGCAGCTGCATGCGGGGCGCGCCAGTGGGCCGGCGCCCGCTGACCTGCGTGACGCGCAGGAGCTGCTGCAGGGCAAGGAGACCCTGGACGCGGGCACGGAGAAGGTGATGCTCATCAAGCTGCACAAACTGGTGTCCTGGGGCTGCGAGGCGGCATGGAAGGCGTCGGTGGCGCAGCAGCAGCTGCGGCACAGCGAGGAGGCGGCGCAACGGTCGGCGCAGCAGGCGGCACAGGCGCGGAGCGCCTGGGAGGCTGAGCGGGAGCAGCTCCGGCGGGCGTTGGAGCAGCGGCCCAGCGGACCGGCAGCTGCTGCTGCTGCTGACGCAAGCGGAGACATGGCGGCAGCGAATGAGGGGTTGCGACAGCAGGTCCAGACGTCGCAGGGCGAGTTGGCGGTCGCGCGGGCGCGCATTGCGGAGCTGGAGGCGGCGATGGAGGCACTGAAGACCGCCGCTGGCAAGCCGCATCAGACACGGCTGCCACGCAGCAGCCCTGAAGGAGTAACATCTGATGTGGACAGTGCTGCCTGGGGCAAGGAGCGCCAGATGCTGCTGAAGACCATCAGCGCGCTTCAGCAGGAAGCTGAGCAGGCGCGAGCGGCCGCCGGGTCATCTGGTAGCGCTGACGCTGGTAGCTCAGTGACAGCTGCTGATGCTGACGCAGCTGCCACCAGCGGGGTGGCTCCATCCGCCTCGCCAGCACCAGCAGCGGCCGCAATGGAGGCGGCAGCCCCAGCAGCGGCCGCAATGGAGGCGGCAGCCCCAGCAGCGGCCGCAATGGAGGCGGCAGCCCCAGCATCGGACGCTGCTGCGGCCCCGGCACCCTCAGACGCTGCTGCGGCGCCGCAACCCATCTCAGAGCTGCAAGCCGAGCGCGACGCCGCTGTTGCGGAGGCTGCGGACCTGCGACGGCAGCTGGACGAGCTCCTCGCGCGTGCGGAGGAGGGCCGCGCGCATGACGCGGCAGTCATTGAAGACCTCCACCTAGACCTAGAGGAGGCGCGTGCGGCGCTGCAGCAGCAGTCCGCGGAGGCTGAGACGCAGGCGCAGGAGCAGGAGCAGCAGTGTTCTGAGCTGCTGGCCCATGTGGAGGAGCTGCAGCAGGAGCTGGCGGCGGCGGAGGCGCGGCACGAGGAGGAGCGGCGCGCGGCGCGGGCCAAGCAGGTGGCGGCGCTGGCGACCCGGGATGCGGAGATCCAGGACCTGCGGGAGCAGCTGAAGGCCGCGATGGATGACTTGGAAGAAGCAAGGGTGGGTGGGGCTGTTACCGGTAGCAGGGGGCTGTGCAGCGGGTACTGTTTTACAAAATTTGGCATGTTTACGGCGATGAGGGTTCTCGTGGTGCGCTAATAGGGTCGCTGTGGAAGTATTCTCAAGGTGTTCCACGCTTAGCACAATCCCGCTCCTTCCTCTTTTCCTGCTTGGCTGAAACGCAGGCGCAGGGAGGCACTCCCCGGGAGCCACACGACCCGGCGCAGGCGCTGGAGGCCAAGACCCAGGAGCTGGCGGCGGTGGAGGCGCAGCTGGCTGACGTGCGGGGGGCGCTCACGGAGCTGCAGGCGGAGGGCGGCGCGCTGCAGCAGCGGGTGGTGGAGCTGCAGGCGCTGCTGCGTCGCGTGCAGCAGCAGAAGGAGGACGCGGAGGCGGATGCCGTTGCGGCCCGGGCGGAGGCTGCGACGGCGCAGGTGCGCGCCGGGGATGCAGACACGGCGCTGGAGTTGGCGGAGGCGGCGTTGGGACGAGCCCGCGCGCAGCTGGACGCGTTGCAGAGTCAGGTGATGGAGTTGGAGGATGAGGCGGTTGCAGCGCGGGAGGAGGCGAGGTCCACGCGGCAGGGAGCTGAGGCTGCGCTGGAGGTGGCCCGTAAGGATGCGGAGGAGCTGCGTGCTTCCGTGGCAAGGTTGGAGGCGGAGGTACGGGAGCTGCGGGAGGCGGCGGACAGCGTTCATGAGCTGCGCAGTCAGGTGGAGGGCTTGGAGGGGGAGCTGGAGGCACAGGCGATGCGTGCAACTGTGCTGGGGCAGCACGCGGAGGACGCGGAGTCGGCGCTGGCCGCGGCGGTAGGGAAGGTGGCAGAGTTGGAGGCGGCCGCTGCTGATGCCGCGGGTGCGCGGGCAGAGGCTGCGGAGCTGCGGACAAAGGTGCTGGAGTTTAAGCAGCGGCTGGAGGATGCCGCTCAGCGCTTGGAGCAGCAGCAGCAGCAGGAGATGGGCAATGACGCGGCGCGTGCGGATCGGCTGCAAGCGCTTCAGGAGGAGCTGCGGGCGGCTCAGTCGGAGCGGGATGCGTACAAGCGAGACCTTGCGGAATGCCGTAAGCAGCTGGAGGCTGCTCGTCAGCAGCAGCAGCAGCAAGCCAACGCGGTGTCCCCGTCGCAGTCGCCCCGAAGCGTGGAGCGGCGGGAGATGCAGGGCGACAGCACCGCGGCGCAGATTGCAGCGCTGCGCCGCGAGAAGGCGCAGCTGCTAGCAGAGTGCGCACGCCTTCAGAACGAGGTGGAGCGCGAACGGGCAAACATCGGGCAGTTCCGGGCCGCCGCCTCCACTTCCGATGGCGGTCTGTCGCAGACCTCGATCGAGGCATCCTCCTCCATTTCCGCCGCCGCCAGTGAGGCGGCGCGTGTGAAGGAGGTGGAGCAGCAGCTGCTGGCGGCGAATGCGGAGCTGGAGGTGACGCGGGCTGAGCTGCAGGCGGCACGTGGGGAGCTGCAGACGGCGGGGATCGAACTGGCGTTGAAGAGGGAGTTGCTGGCGGCCAAGGAGCGGTCGCTGGTGAGCCTGCAGGAGACGGTGGATGCGTTGAAGGTGGCGGTGATGGCGACGCAGCAGGTGGGGTGGAGTGGAGTGGGAAGCGTGGAGGTTAAAGAGGTGGAGATGCAGCATGCGCCATGCCGTCTCGTCCTCGGTGGATTCAAGTGCTGCTGCTGTTTTAGGTTTGCATGGAAGCCGAGTATATGGTCGGTACTTGATCGCACAACGGCTGTTTGGTTGCCTTGCTGCTGTTGTTACAGATGCCTGGTCCGACCTATGAAAGCACTCGTGCCGAGGCTCAGAGTCGCGCCGAGGGGCTGGCTGAGGCGCGCCAGGAGGCGGCGGTGGAGGTGCTGCAGAGGCAGCTGGCGGACAGCGAGCGCACCGCCCGCAGGCTGGAGCAGCAGGTGGGACTGGGGGCACACAGCTGGGGGGCTGGACAGAGGTGGTCCAGCTACCACGGCTAGGGGCGGTGGGGCTGCGTTGCAACCTGTTGGGGCATGGGAGTGGGCGTTAAGAACCGGATAGATCCGAGATAGGACATCCTGATCTACCGTATGCTTGCGGTAGCGAAGGCATGGCTACTGCACACAGGACCACATGCGGTGGATGTTTCTTGACCTGTGTCACCGGGACTGCTACCCTGCCGCAGGTGGCCATGCTGGAGGTGCGGCTGTCGGATGCGGAGGAGTCGTCGGCGCGGGCTGCCGAGCAGCAGGCGGCATCGCAGGCCTCCTCGGAGCGCGGAGATCGCGACGTCCTGGACCTGCTGCTGCAGCTGCAGAGCAAGGATGCGGAGGTGCGCGCCGTATGCGCGATGCATGGGGTATGGGAGCCTCCCATGCATGTACCGGTATCAAGGCGTGAGCGGGCTGCTGCTGGGAGCCTGGCTCAAGAAACTGCACTGGGCGAAACGTGTCGCATGGCCTGTTTCTGGCCCATCCGTATCGCGTGACGTTACATCTCTTCCCCAGCGAACCACTAATCCCGCTTCTGCAAACGCCTTAATCCCCCTCTTTGATCTCCCGCCGCTGTTGTTTCCATCTCCACCTACCCTCCACCAGGTTGCTGATCTGCGGCGGGAGGTGGAGCTGCTGCGGCAGCAGCTGGCGGACAGCAGTGCCCGCCTGGCGTCCGCCGGAGCCGCGCACGACCCCGCCAACCTCAGCGCCGCAACCATCCACGAGCTGCAGCTGCAGCTGCTGCAGTGGCGCTCGCTAGGCGAGGACCTGCACGCGCGCTACCAGGCGAAGAAGGAGGCGCTGCGTCAGCTGAAGGAGCAGCTGGCCGCGGAGCAGCAGCGGCATGCGGACGAGCAGGCCAGGAACCAGGCGCGACTGGAAGCGGCGTGCCAGCGACTGGGGCGCCTGTCGGCGGTGAGTTGTTATGCCACTGCGATCGGTTGACATTATTATCTTAGTGCTGCCTGTATGCTTTGACAGCGCGTAACTGCAGACGCAGCGTGGCAAGGCATGATAACCTCTGACACGACTTTTCATGGCGCTAATGGTTGCCGCTCTGCGCGGTTGCCGCCCTTCCCTCTCTCATCCCTCCCACCCGCAGGATCTGGGTCTGGCCCTGCGGCGCTGCATCACCTTGGACCTGCAGCCGCTGTCCGCCGCCTCACTCACCAGCAGCCCGCGCGCACATATGGCGGCGGGTGGCGCCGGCGGGGATGCGCCCGCGGATGTGAATGCGCTGGCGGCGCTGCTGGCCCGGCAGGGGGCGGCGCTGATCGAGTCGCTGGAGACGGCGCTGGTGGGTGGGGGGCTAGGGAAGCGGCTCGAGGGGTTGCTGGCGGTGTCGCAATGCCGGCTGGGTCTGTGGAAGCGGTTGGCGTGAAGGGCGTTGTGTTTGTCTCATCTTTCTGCAGCCATCGCGGCACAGCCTCATTATGCATACGCAGCCGCCCCCAGTCGCGACGTATAACAACTCACCCCCGTCGCTCCTCCCCCGCCACTATCGTTCAACGCATGTCTTTTCCTCCTGTTCACCTGCCTGCCTCTCCCCCTTCTGCAGGAGCAGGCCGCCAGCGCTCGCGAGGAGCGGGCCAGCATGTCCACCCAGCTGTCCAGCCGGCAGGCGGTTCTTGATGATCTGCGACACCAGCTGGTGCGGCAGGCGGGAGCGCGGTCCGTGCCGGGGGACATGTCGGGAGCGCTGGCGGCGGCAAGGCTGGCGAACATGGGCTTTGGCGCGGGCTCGGGCACGGGTGGACATGGGGTGAGCGGCATGCGGCTGGGTGGTGATGCTGCCGGCGGCAGCAGCAGCAGCAGCGGCCAGCTGGGGGGCGGTGTTGGTGAGGCGGCGCTACTTTCGCCCAGGTATGGTGCGGCGAACAACGTCAGGCCGCCGGCGGGCGCTCCGGAGTTCAGACAGGTAGGGGGCGCTGGGGGGACGGTTGATGACGTGATACGGTAGGTGCAGGGAGGGAGACGACGGTGGTGTACACGCATGGAGGCTTGAGCATGCACGTCTGCGCTGCTAGAACCCGGTTACTACGTTGAGGTGCCCTACGGTACTGTGGCACATGACGATGCTGACGTTGGCTTTCCCTGTTCTTATGCCGTTCCCCACAGACCGCTTCACGTGTTGGCAGCACCGTCGGCAGCACCATCCCTGTACTAGATGCCACTGGTGTGGCCAGGGCGCCTGCGGGCGGAGCACCGGGCTCCTCCCTGCTGGGGCTCAACTATGGCAGCCGCGCTGCTGAGACCCCTGGGTTGGTCTCGAGCAGCTCCGTCGGACGCGTTAACCATCAGGCCCCGGGTTCTGTGTACCAGCAGCAGCTGCATGCAGCGGCTGGCAGGGCAACGGGCGTTCTACAAGACACAGGGGGGCTGCCGTTGCATACCCTGTCGCCTCTGCGGCTTGGAACACCCCACGATACGACAAATGTGTACGGAGGTGCTGTAGGGACGTCGGCTTCTGCTGGAGCGGGGCCCGGTCCGGCCACGGGGTTCGCGTCTTCCTCACCGAGTTTGGCGCTAGGGGCTTTGCATGAGCGCTGGTCGAGGCGATCTGGTGCGGGCATGTGAGCCGTGAATAAAGTCTTTACGTTGACGTGAAGTCAAAGTTGTATTATAGGCTCAGCACTACATGTTGCCGACGTTACGTTTAGCTGGCTATTGTGAGCGTGAGCGCAACCTTAGGGAACATCCTTTCATTATCGTAGCTGCAAAAATACCAACGCGTTCAGTGGTTGCCTGTGTTTTCTACGTTGCTCAGAGACCATATAAATAACAGCTGCCTTGCAAGGTAGGACTACAGGTATTAATCTTGCTGTCGCTTGCCAAATGCAATGACAATGCGGTGTGACCCTAACGCATAGTATACATCGGAGGACTACCAGGATCGTGTAACGGTATAATGCCATGTGGAATCGTTCCGTATTAATTCTCCTGTCGTTCAGCAGAAGGTGATTACTAAGACCGGTTGCCATCTGAAGCATGTGGCCCCGCACCTTCTAGCTGACATTATCTCATAAATGGCTTATTATATTAGCGGCTGCGAGGTCTCATGAACAGGAGTATAGCATGAACATTTCCTGCAAGCCTTCCAAGGGGCATCCGTTTAGCTTGCAGTAACCCCGGGTCCTAAAGCGCCCGGGTCCTAAAGCGCATTAGTGAGTAATGCATGCAGAAATGAGTTCGGGTCTGATTTGCGAGGGCATGCAGAACGCGTTCCTAACCGATTTGGCGAAGTACGGCAATCGCAATCTCGATCCAAATTACAGCGATCTTCCTGCATTGTTCAAGCGAATGCTATAAAGCCAGTAGGCTAGCCTGAAAACAGCGACTCACTACCCGAGTACCGAAACAAAAATGGCCTTCGCTGTTGCTACCTCCCGCAAGGCTCTGCAGGTTGCCTGCAAGGCGACGGGCAAGAAGTCCGCTGCCAAGGTGAGGCGCCTTGGGATCACCAGGGTTCACCATGTGCAATGGTTTGTGCAACAGCTGCGCAGGTAGCCCGGATCAAGTTGGAACCGTCTGATCACATTGATAACTCTGGAACATCGGCCTGACTTGTCATTGCTCTCGTGTTTGTTGCAGCCCGCTGCCCCCAAGAGCTCTGGTGTGGAGTTCTACGGCCCCAACCGCGCCAAGTGGCTGGGTAAGCGACCGGTCTGGGCGTCGACTTTTGATGGCCCCTTGTTGCTAAGCGCTGGACCTATTGTTGAGCTTGCTTTCTCCAACCGTAACCTCCTATCTACGCGTCTTGCTCAGCACATGCCGCTTGGCTCTGAGAGGCCTTCGCTTGCAAGTTTCATGGGTTCGCTTTGGGCACATGTCTCAATAAGTTATGCCTTCATGATCGCGATCACCTAGAGCACCATCGCAAATGTACCTCGCCTTCTCCAATCGCCCATCCCTGCAGGCCCCTACAGCGAGAATGCCACCCCCGCCTACCTGACCGGCGAGTTCCCCGGCGACTACGGCTGGGACACCGCCGGCCTGTCGGCTGACCCCGAGACCTTCAAGCGCTACCGCGAGCTGGAGCTGATCCACGCCCGCTGGGCCATGCTTGGCGCCCTGGGCTGCGTGACCCCCGAGCTGCTGGCCAAGAACGGCGTGCAGTTCGGTGAGGCCGTGTGGTTCAAGGCCGGCGCCCAGATCTTCCAGGAGGGCGGCCTGGACTACCTGGGCAACCCCTCGCTGGTGCACGCGCAGAACATCGTCGCTACCCTGGCCTGCCAGGTGAGGGGAGAGGAACTGGGAGGAGCAATGCTTGCATGTGACGGCATCTCTTGAGCACCATTTTGCACGTTAGCATCTGTTAGCTTAGCACCCCACGATTGAGTTAGTGTTCATCTGTGCTGCTTTGTTGTCCCTGGGTCGCTCATGCCTTCTTTCCCTTTCCCTCTCCTCTCCTCTCCTCTCCTCCCTGCCCCCAGGTCATCCTGATGGGCCTGGTTGAGGGCTACCGTGTGAACGGCGGCCCGGCCGGCGAGGGCCTGGACCCGCTGTACCCCGGCGAGTCGTTCGACCCCCTGGGCCTGGCTGACGACCCCGACACCTTCGCCGAGCTCAAGGTCAAGGAGATCAAGAACGGCCGCCTGGCCATGTTCTCCATGTTCGGCTTCTTCGTGCAGGCCATCGTGACCGGCAAGGGCCCCCTCGAGAACCTGGCTGACCACCTGGCCAACCCCGGCGTCAACAACGCCTTCGCCTTCGCCACCAAGTTCACCCCCTCCGCCTAAACTTGGTTCGCCAAGCCGTTGCTGTTTGCCGTTGGTGGTTGCAGTCTAGGTCTGCATGCGGTAGCTTGCGCTTGCTGACCTTGTTGCCATCGCCAGGATTTTGAGCTCAATTTTGTCTCTGGTTGGAGAGTGAGCGTTTCCGTTCGACAGTGCATTGACTCGACATGTGTGCGTCCGTGACATGACCATTTACGAAGCGGCCCTGAGGGCATTGAGAAGACCAATCTATTGGAGCATAGCTCCCAGGCTTGCCTCCGTCTGTAAATATGTCTGCAAGAATACTGTGTTTCTCATCTGGATGCATGGTGCATGATGGGTTGGTTGCAGTCCATGCAACTAGCGGCGCAGCGGGCAAATCATTACACGGCGAGTGCCATTCTTGACCACCAACACACCCTCAGCAGGCATTCCTTCATTCGGCTTAATGCACTGGTTCAAACTACTTAACTGCCGCAGCCAAATAACCATCACTGCACCGTCGATTCACACAGGCCATCGAACCCATCCCAAGTTGACAACTACCGGTATACGCATTCCACACATCTTCATCCCAAGCTCCTTGCATCCTGACATCAGCATTATGACAACGTCCTAACCCTATACTGTGCTAACATGCCTAAACAAAGCCGCAACAGCAAGCGCAACTGTTGACCATTACACGGTCCTAAGGGGAGCCTTTACGTGCCGCTTTACGTGCTTTACGTGCCGTCGGCCTACCGCTGCCAAGAGGCCATGGCAGTGGCAAGGAGCCCTTCAATGGGCCCTTGAACAAACAAACAAATCAAATGACCGAGGGCCATACTGCCTAAGCGGCCAACCATCCAATCCTAAGACTAATAAAGGAAAGCCGTCGCTCCCAGGCAAGACGCTACAGTTACAAAGGTGACCATGCAAGCCAGCTTTGTGCATGAGTCACATGCAGCCACCTACTAACATTCGCAGCCCCTAATTACCAAACCCTTAGCAAACCGCATTTGGCAACGGGTCCAGCCACACACCGACCTTAATCCCAGTTACCCCAGTCCTCATCCACTTCCTCCTCCTCTGCCCCCGGCTTCGCGCCTCTGGCCGGCTGCGGAGCCGCAGCTGGGGACGCATGCGTAGCTGCCGCGGGGGCGGCAACCGGCGACGCGGCACCAGGGGATGCAACCCGCTCTGGACTCGCTGCCTCCACCGCCCCATCTACCTCCGCCACTCGGGGTGAGGAGCCAGCCAGCTCAGCAGCGGCGGCGGCTCCTGCAGCTGTGGCACCCACTGCGCTGGGAGATGGTGCCGCAGCCTTGGTACCCGAGGTGACGACACACCACTCCTTGGCGCTGCTGTCACTCGACGTCTCCGCATGCGTCTCCGCCTCCACCTGCCCTGCCTCCGCCTCTGCCGCATGCCCGCTAGGGCTGGGGCTGCTGCTGCCGGCCGCCTCATCCGCCTCACCAGCCGCATGCAGCGCGCTGGCGGCTGCCGGGGACTCAGCCGGCTCCTCCGCAGCCGGCCGGGAAGCCGGCGTGCTGGGAGCGGCAAGCACGTCCGGCTCGACTGCTGCCTGGGAGACTGGCACCGCCGCAGGCGCCGCTGCATCGGCAGCCGCTGCCACTGAGGAGGAAGGCAGCGCAGGGCTGCCTGCTTCCGCGGTGGCAGCCACCGATGGCTCCTCAGCGGGAGAGGCCTCAGCGCCACCGGAGGCCAGCGCGGCGGGTGCTGCCTCCAGCTCTGGACTTGTCGCTGTTGCGCTGGGCGCCGCTGCTACTGCAGCGCTGGCTTGCGACGTCAGCTCAGCGACCTGCTCTACAGCCGCGGCGGCGGCGGCAGGCTGCTGCTCCGGAAGCGCCGCTGCCGCCTCGTCCTCGTCGCCCCAGCCCAGCGGCACCTCATCCTCCTGCAGCGTCTTGGCACGCTGTGCCAGCTGCTGCCGCTGCTCCTCCTTCTGCTGCAGCTTGTGCAGCCTGGCCGGGCAAGAGACGCAAGTCGCCGGGTGGCGGCGGGTGCAGAGGTGCATGAGCGCCGTGATACCGGTATGGAAGAACGCATGTGGTGCTGCCGTGGTTGGCTGTTCACATGGGAGGGACTTGGGTATGGCTGGGTTATGTTACACACCGGACAGGTTGTCAAGCAGCACACCGAGACGGAGATGGATCATGAAAGTCCCATTGTCCTTAGACACGACTCCGCTCCGCTTCCCTCACCACCCACCTGTAAAAGTAGCGGCTCCAAAAGTCCTGGTGCTCTACAATGACCGGCACCAGCCGCGCCTGCAGCTCCGCCATGAAGGCGTTCTCCGCCGTGATGCGGCCAATGTCCGCCTGCACGCCCGCCAGGCTGAAGCCCTGCCGCCAGCGCGCATACTCCTCCGCGTCCTCCGGCTCGTCGCAGTAGGTGCTGCTGTCGCGCTGCATGGCGGCGACCTGGGGTGGCAGCATGGCAGAAGGCAGCAGCAGGCAGAGGGTTTCGGAGGGGCTCGGCAGCAGTAGGCAGCAACGGAGGGGTTTGGCAGGGCAGCAGCAGTAGGCAGCAACGGAGGGGTTTGGCAGGGCAGCAGCAGCAGCAGGCAGCAACGGAGGGGTTTGACAGGGCAGCAGCAGTAGGCAGCAACGGAGGGGTTTGACAGGGTTCCTTGGAGGAAAGAAGGAACGGAGGTGGGGTCGAGTGACGGAAATGCTGGGCTACCGGTGTGTCGTGTTGTATGCTTTGGGGTAGGTCGGGTGATTGGACCACCAAACACCCACCTCCGCTTCGAAGCGGCTGTACTTGGCGGGTACCGATGACAACTTGGCCGCCGCCGCAGACGCCGTCGATTTGCCCCTCGCGGCGCGCTTTCCCTCACGCGACGCTGCGGCGATCTCCGTCTCCACACCGTCCTTCAGCTGCAGTCCGTGAGGGGCCCAAGGGCGCACGGGTGACACGGTGTTAGAAGGAACGCCGAAGAAGGAGCAAACCCACCAGCCCAGGCAACGGCTCACTGCATGCGAGAGACTGGCACGCATGCTGCTTCCTCCGCACCCAACTCCCACATACAGACATCCACAATACCCGCAGTCCACCCCAAACCCCACCTCATCAATGAGCTCCTTGGTGCCTTGGAACAGGCTCTTGCCCAGCTGCGCGAACGCAACGCTGACGCCCTCAATCGTCTGCCCCACATCCTTTGGCAAGTGCACCTTTTCGGGCAAATGCTGCAGCGCCTCCTCCGCCTGCGGGACCCAAGTGGGCGGGCGGGTGGGTGGGTGGGTTACAGTTGACACCGCTTTGGCGTCGGGAGCCGAAGGCTTGTAAGCAGCCAGCCCTACCTTCTCCTCAAGGTGCACCACCTGCTCTGGTATGTGCTCCACGAGCTCTGCGGTCTTGACTTTGAGCGTTTTGCCCTCCTCCCCAACTTCGCGACTGAACTGGCTTAGCTCAGTGCGCCAGTCGGTTTCAACCACGCTCTTCACCAGCTCATCCGCTCGGGCTTTGACAGTATTTTTCACGGCTGCGGCGACGCTCCAGAAGTTGAGGAGCGGATTGGCAGCACTGCAATTGCAACCATTGTCTCGAAATTAGCTAGAATACTAAGCGACAGCCTGCCGACGCTCCCTCCTTCCACTTACGTTGAGGTGCTTGGGCCCCCAGCATCGTCCGAGGATTGCTCATTCTGTTACACGACCAAGAGCCAGCGAAACCCGCGTCAGCTGAAGTGGACAGAGTGGACAACCTATCAGCAATAGGACAGTTTCGCACCTTCTCGGGTGCAGCTTGGCCTGTTTCCCCAGCAAACAGTGCATTGAACATTTTGCCCAAGTGCGAGCCTCAACTGGATTGGTCTCTCATATGAAACACCTTTACAACGTTAAGACACAACGTGCATGCCGTTAACGCACCAAAGAAAGCTGAGCCATTGCTTATGGGGAGGGCCAAGACCTAGAAAACAGCGGAACAGGAAATACGGCAGAATCCCTTTGAAGGCCCGATCATGCAAGCTACTGAACGGGGACTTCCTATCACCTACACTTACCAACATTCGAAATTCATACTCTGAACCTACCCCATCGAGGTCATTTAGTTACCTGTCAAAAGGACTTCGCCGAACGCGATTGCCCAGCTGCTTAACGTCTATAGATCATCCCTTCCCCTGCGTCACTAGTTAAGTAGTTAGACTAAAAAAATAAGAAACGCGGCGAGCAAGGTGCAGTGCGACAGCTCTCGACAAGACGACTTTGTGTCGTGTTGAGGGAACAGAGCGCAAGCAGCGACAGCTTGCGATTTCACGCAAGGAGGCATTACCTGCGGCTCGTAACCCCCGACGACGTCATCAGCGAAACACCTGGCTGACGGCATTAGCAGCTCAGCTGGGTTGCGGACATGGACGACGGCACATTCATAGACGTAAGTGTACGGCGGAGCCCGACGCGACCATGTTGGGACAGGGCCCACTCATCTGTGGCAACAATGTCCTCAGGAGCAAGGAAATCGACGTCTACGTGACACGGAGTTCATCTTACCGGTGGTGGTTGGTACCTGCGCGTGGTGGTTAGGCAAGAAGGTGAGCCCTGACGCGCCTGCATGCTGCCTCTCCACACACACACACCGGCGCGTGTAACACCTGTCCGGGGGGGGGGTGTACGTACGATGGGGACTAGCAGTCGGGTTGGGTCAGCTGCATTACTGGGATTGGTTGGTTGTCGGTTGGGTTTGAAAGTTTGCTAAGTTACACGCCTTGGGAAAGCGTCCACCTTGGCAGGGGCAGGGCATGAGCGCAGCACCAATAACATCCGGGCTTGCGGCGGCTGCCGGCTGCCCTTATGCCGGGAGAGTACTGCGGGCAATATGAGCGAACGTGTCTCAGTTCCCGGAGCTTGTTGAAGGGGCCTACCTCCTACCTCCTCGTGCATGCTGTGAAGCCGGATAGGGGAGGCCAACCTGGTGCACTGCACGGTGCACGCCACGTGTGTGTTTGGGGCCGTTGCGGGCATGTTGCGGTGCTCCCTCCACGACCCCTGGCATGCGCCATGGCTGCCGCTCCCTGTTTCCACGCCCGTCTCCACGCCGTACTCCGTTACACCCGCACCCCACCCGCACCCGCACCCCCACCTCACACCCACAATCCGGCAATCCAGTACGTTCCTACTCGCGGCCAGTTTCCTTAACCTAACCCACGCCCGCACCCACGCCCGCACCCCCACGTCGGCCCCCCCACCCACAATCCGCTCCCCCAGGCTGGCGATGTGACGCACCGGTGGACTGTGTACCTGCGGGGTGCCAACAACCAGGACATCAGCCACCTGGTGCACAAGGTGGGGCGGCGGCAGGTGTATGCGGGCGCCCGTGCGGGGGCTGTACCGCAAAGGGGGTGGTTAACGCGGGGAAACCTGGGTATGATGGCCAGGGGATGGGTGGGTGGAAATCCAGCATGTACATTTGGAGTCCAGCAACCTGCATGCCCGCTGTGTGGGCTGTTCCCACGCCCGCGAAGGGGCAACTTGGCCGGCAGAGCAACCCAGTAGCGCACCCAGGCTCACCTTCTTGGCATGCCTCTCCCGCCTCGGCCTCATGTGACCTCCCCCCCGCTCTGCCGCCCAGGTGACGTTCGAGCTGCACCACACCTTCCCCAACCCGCACCGAGTGGTCCTGCAGCCGCCGTACGAGGTGACGGAGCAGGGCTGGGGCGAGTTCGACATCAACATCACGGTGAGGCGGGCAGGCAGGGGGAGCGGAGGGGAGTGCGAGGGGGAGTTAACCCCTAAAGCAACACTAATCCTGGCCTTGCCCCGCACCTTTGCAGCTACTCTCGTACCGTGATCTTTCCATCCCATGCGCTGCCCCGCCCGCTGCCCCGCCCGCTGCAGTTGAGTTTCTCTCCCGACAGTCGCGAGAAGGACGTGTCCATCCTGCACCGACTGAAGCTGTACGAGGATGAGAACACGCCCAACACCACCAAGAAGCCCGTCATGAGCGAGGTAGGTAGGGGGTTGGCGGAGAAGGGGTGGCGGGGTGACGGCCGGGTTGGCCGGGAAAGGGACTTGGAGGGGCACGAGGGTGCAGTACACCGGTATAGCAACCTAGTACGTGGTAAGCTCCAGCAAGCGCTATACTACACCTATACTACACCGGGGCGGAAGGGAGAGGGCACCGGTGGGCCCGGTGTCCGTTGTGTGTAAAGCGAAAGCAGGTGGAGGACGACAAGGGGTCAGAGCGCATGTGATCAGGCTGCCGGGGCGGGGCGATGGTGCCCTCGCGGTTGGGAGAGTGGGAATGCGTTTGTGCTGCACGTAGGGAGTTATGGCGGAAGCATTACAGCTAGGGACTGCGGAATATCCCGGCCCGACCTCCTACGATAGTACCCTGCATCCTCCTGTACGGCACGGCACCGCCCGCTGCTGCCCCCTGCACCCCCCGCCTCGCAGATCTACGAGGAGCTGGTGTTCAGCGAGCCCGTGGAGGCCTTCTACCGCCGCATCGCAGCCACGCCGCCGCGGCCGGCCCCGCCGCTGAGCTGCCAGCCGTACACCTCGCAGCACGAGGAGCGCGCGGAGGCGGAGAAGCTCAAGGAGTGCCGCGCGCGGGTGGCGGCCATGGTGGCGGAGGTGCGGAAGGACTTTGAGGGCGCGCGGTAGGGGGGCGGTTGCGGTTGATGTTGTGTGGGGGGCCAAATTGAGGTGAATGAGAGGGGAGGTAGGCGTGTTGGTTGGGATGTGGTGTACGGTGGGTCGCTGCATGAGGTGATACGACACGGTACTTGTAGGGTGGGGACGGTACGGTGGAGGTGTACGGCGGCGGCTTGAGGTGTCAGCGGGTGGAATGGGTGGAGCCTGCTGCGGCGCAGTGACCAAGGTCAGGCCAATGGTCATGGTCGCAATGTGCGCATGGAAGTACGGAGTAGTATGCACGGGGAGACGTGGAACATTGAGATGTGGGATCCAACACAGATGTGCTCGACTGAATGCGCAAGCTGACGAGCTGTCCCATGGGTCGCCAAAGGCAATCCATGTGTAATGGAACGTTATGTCTGGGTTGTCTGGCGGCAAAATGCTGCATGCAGCGAACGGAGGCGGTATTAGACAAGACAGCATGCGCCAGTCCCGCAAGTCCCATGCAGGGTGCATTCCAGTCCAGGATACCCGCTGCCTAGATTTGCCCCTGCTACCTTACCCTCTTGCCCTTCTGGCCCAATTAGGCAAGTCTTAACAGCCCTCCGACTGCAGATGACCACCCATGCTGCGAAAACAACCCCATGCACGTTTCTGGTGTGCGGTGTTGGAGCGGTTGACAGAGAGGATTAGGAAGCTGCCTTTTGTTGTTACAAGGTCCCATCGTGAGCACACCATGGTCCCAAAGATGGGCCAAGCAAGCCAGGGACCAGCCTGCCCCCTCGCAGTGTCGCACAGCAAACGTACAGCAGCGAGGGGGTGGGGGTGGCGACAGCGTCCACACAGTAGGCACAGATGTAGCCATTGGGAAAATCGTGTGGACCTGTACCCTGAACTCTCCTCCATAATCCTCTCAAAAGAACGCTCGGTGAAACCGCCGTCTCGCCATCCGAACCATGCTTCCAAATGCCTCGAGACATCCGCTACTGCCCTAAACCCGCCATGCAGCCACTAGTAGGAGGGATGAATGCATGCACAGGTGGCTAAGCTAGGATTGCAACATTTATGCGGAAGGGGTGAACTTGGTGGCGAAGGCGAAGGCGTTGTTGACGCCGGGGTTGGCCAGGTGGTCAGCCAAGTTCTCGAGGGGGCCCTTGCCGGTCACGATGGCCTGCACGAAGAAGCCGAACATGGAGAACATGGCCAGGCGGCCGTTCTTGATCTCCTTGACCTTCAGCTCGGCGAAGGTGTCGGGGTCGTCAGCCAGGCCCAGGGGGTCGAACGACTCGCCGGGGTACAGCGGGTCGAGGCCCTCGCCGGCCGGGCCGCCGTTCACACGGTAGCCCTCAACCAGGCCCATCAGGATGACCTGGGGGCGATGGGAAGGAGGGGGAAGAGGAGATGAGAGGTAAACGAGGAACTTAAGGAAATGGGAAGTGATAAGCGTGAGTGGCATACCTAAGCAATTACCAATGCCTGATGAAGTGTGCCAGGATACGGGAGCCAGCACAGCAGCATGCACGCCACGTCCCTCCTACTTGTCCGTCACCCTACGCCCCCCTCCCAGTTCCCCTCCCCTCACCTGGCAGGCCAGGGTAGCGACGATGTTCTGCGCGTGCACCAGCGAGGGGTTGCCCAGGTAGTCCAGGCCGCCCTCCTGGAAGATCTGGGCGCCGGCCTTGAACCACACGGCCTCACCGAACTGCACGCCGTTCTTGGCCAGCAGCTCGGGGGTCACGCAGCCCAGGGCGCCAAGCATGGCCCAGCGGGCGTGGATCAGCTCCAGCTCGCGGTAGCGCTTGAAGGTCTCGGGGTCAGCCGACAGGCCGGCGGTGTCCCAGCCGTAGTCGCCGGGGAACTCGCCGGTCAGGTAGGCGGGGGTGGCATTCTCGCTGTAGGGGCCTGCAGGGACGGGCGATTGGAGAAGTAAGGCGAGTCACTTTATAGTTTTCTGTTGGGCAGGTAACCGACAAGTGATCTCCTGCACTTGTAAAGCCGAGATTGTATACAATAAAGGGCAGAGAACGCTGTGAAACACATGTAAGGATGACAGAAAACTCCAAGAGGGCAGTCCACAGCCAACGATTCGGCGCATCCTTGCACATTGCTGGTATGGAGATCTCAGCCCGATCGCTTACCGAGCCACTTGGCGCGGTTGGGGCCGTAGAACTCCACACCAGAGCTCTTGGGGGCAGCAGGCTGTTGCGAATAGGGCAACATCGCATAGATGGTGAGCATCATAAGTTGGGCCCCATACGGCCGATGGAAAGCAAGATGACACTGCGCGAAAGACGCGCTAGCAACACCTTTAAACAGCGCACCTTAGCGGCAGCCTTCTTGCCGGTCGCCTTGCAAGCGACCTGCAGAGCCTTGCGCGAGGTAGCAACAGCGAATGCCATCTTAGTGACTTTAGACGACTGGCAAGAGGTGATCAGTAGCTAACTGATACACAATAGAGAAGACTCCGGGCTTTTATACGCCCTACGCAAGGATACTGAGATGTCGTACGCACTGTCCGGCAGTGCGAGAGCACTGTCCAGACTGATGCAGCATCAGTTACTACCATCAAGCTACTAAACAGATAAGGCGGACAGGCGCAATTGTGTTTTGGCATGCTGCCGTGGCCTCAAGGGCAGCTCAGTGCCCTCGCCATCCGCCCGTCGGTCAAAGGTCGTTCATTCATCCCAGCTTTCGTCCATCCCTGCTCGATAAACGTTCCTGTGTAAATCCTGCAATAGCTCTTGCCCGGTTCAGCCGAAGATAAGGCAGGTTGATGGGACCGATCCCAACCTCTTTCCGGATGGCTAGCTACCTTTCGTCAACAGCATAGCGAATACCACGGCGAGGTTGGTTCCTCCACCAGAGAGCTAACAAAGTTCGTAATGTCGCCTGAACGTCATCGTGAATGCCCAGGGCGAATGTCTGGGCTACTCTGCAGCCCGTATGCTCCCCATCTGCCGGATCGTGTTATGCATGCCTAGGGAACCTCGGTGTCTCCTTGCGCTGTGCCGCAGTATATCCCATACATGTGTGCGCATGCCTCACGACATCCGAAGGTATCAAGTCAGGAGATGCATAGTACCCAGTTCTGCGCAGTCGTACCTCGCAACGTGTCAGCTTTAACGTCTACTGTTAATGCTTGCTTAGACGGCTGCATCAAGCCCAACTCTCATTGCAACCATGCCCAACTCGTCCTCAGTGGATCTTGTCGCTCCCTTCCCCTACACACGCGTACACACGGTGAAACCACCGCTACTTGGATCTAGGTCCATCATCCATCCAGCATGACAATACGCTGAACTACATCCCGCCAACACCGTCCAAGCAGAGATAATAAGCCCCTTCTTACACGTAGCCTAGTACCGGTATTGGTAGCCTATTCTGCCAGCCGACATATCCCAACCATCGTGTTTACGACACTGCTCTACTCAACCAAAGCCGTCATAAGTTTGATAGCCGCCAACCCCCTCATTGCCATAAGCAGAGAAGACGTTGCAGTCTTCCGCGCCCCCTCACGCCCCTTCCTTGCTCGTCTTTGGTACGCATCCGGGCGACGCAGTAATTACTTCATCATCCGATTACCGTACCGCTGCTGCGCATTCTTCCCATCCTTCCCCAGCCCTGTGCGAGCGGGATCCATATCCCCCCTTAACCCTTCCCCCTGATCCTTTGTCAGCGTCTCCAAGTAACGAAACAACGGCCGGTGCGCACCTATGAGGGACCGCGGAAAGCCACATGTGGGGTTACTCACGACCCAGAGGTTCGTGTTAGCTGCTTCAAATTTAAGGTGCTGCAGTGAATAGGCAGGTCTGGACTAGATGCGGCCCACTTGATGCTGAATGCATAGCGACCGGTGCCAAGGGGAGAGATCTGATGCCTTGCCAGGGCCTTGCTTGCCGAGACGGCGACACAGCCCAGAAGTGACACTGCCGTACTGATCGGTCACAGGGCTGTGTCGTTGTTTGTTCCGCATACGGCAATGGAGTCAAGACCAGTTTTATCTTAGTACAGAGTGTGTGGCAGGTCTAAAACGTAGGATTTATTTGCGTTGATAGCCCAAAATGGGCAGCGTGACCCACGGGTCGCTTAAACCTTCCTCGGATCTACGATCTACGAATTATTGCTGTGTTCGATGCGCATTTTCATCCATCCAAAACGCATTTTGACTGTATATGACCTTTAATAAACTGCACATCCTTTTAAACAAAGTGTACGCGCAGAAAATACCTTCGCTCCCGAAGGCGGTTGGTGAGCTTGTCGACATACATTCTCAGCACCGCCTCTTCGCCCAAACTTGTGCCATCCTCTTCCTGATCTCCCCGTTCTTTTGTCCCACGTATCTTTATACTGGAGCTGGTAGCAGCAGTTAAAGACCAGCCATGCCGAGGCGTGGGGTGCAAAGTGCTCCCGTCCGAGGTCAGTCGGGCAATTGCCGCTCGGCCTCCGCCCCAGATCCGCTGCCTCTCCACATCCGGACCTGCTTTCAGCGGCTGCCTGGTGCTGTGGAGCGGCTGCTGGGGCCGCCGGCTAGCGCGAGGAGCGCTGGCCGGGCGCCAGCTGCTGCAGGCCCGCAGCCGCAGGCGACTCGCCCAAGGTTAGGGAATGTGGAGCTTCAAGACGTCACTGATTGCTTGCAAAACATTCGCATCTATAGCGCTGCTCCTGAAATCGCTGAAGCTGAGGACGCGGCTCTAGCCGCGGCTTTTGCAGACGAGTCATTTCGTTTCGCGCTGCTCCGGCTCGTGACCAACTTCATTCGGCAATGCGTTCCGCTGCACACAGCCACACGCAATGACAGGCTGCGGAACCTTACTTCGATGCCAGCCTGCTATCTGGTTGAGGGCTTCCTTCAACGTGCAGCACGTCACGACAACGTCATCGCTCCGGCCTTGGATTTCGCGACCAAGCTGCTGCGCTCGCACAGCCTGCAGGCCTGCAGCCGCCAGCTGGCTGCCATTGCCCAGACCCTGCAAGACGCGACAAGTGCGGGTCCGGAAGGGAAGCAGCAGCAGGAGCAGCAGGAGCGGCGCCACCCACGCGAGCAGGAGCGGCAGGCACCACCATCCCTTGAAGCAACCACCTGCACTCCCGTCTGCGGACCACTGGTGCTCATCAACCATGTCGCCAATCTGGTGATTGGCATTTCCAGTCTCACCCTCCGACTGCTTCAAGGACCCACGGGTCAGCAGCCGCAGCCGCAGCCGCAGCCACGTCAGCAGCCCCTCCCCGCCGCCCACCTCACCTTCATGTCGGAGTTCGGGTCCAGCCTGCAGAGCAGTGCGGTCATGGAGCAAATGGCTCGGGTGCTGCTGCTGCTGACGATGGATGACGCAGCGGGCCCCAACGCCACGGATGCGAATGTCGTCACCTCAAAGTCGCTCTTCCTGTCCACGTACCAAGGCCTCAATAAGCTGCGCA